TTGTACACACTGATTCAGAGAAAGACAAGGTAACAATGGCGTCGATGTACCGAGATACCAAGCTATGGTGGTGCTCCAAGTTTGTCAATGACGAGTGTCCGATTAAGACTTGGATAAACTTGAAACAAGAATTGAAAAACCAATTTTTTCCTGAGAATGTGGAGTATATGGCCCGAAGAAAACTTCAAAAATTGGTGCAAACAGGAATAGTACGAGAGTTTGTAAGGAATTTTTCTACCCTGATGTTAGATATTCGAGACATGTCCAAAAAGGACAAGATATTTTATTTTTTTGAGGGCCTCAAGCCTTGGGCTAGGACAGAACTACAAAGATAAAATGTGCAAGACATGGCCACGACCATGGCTGCAGCTAAATGTCTCCACATTATAATGATGTCTCCTCAAAATGAAAAAATCTTCCATCAGCTGGCAGTAGCTTCAACTTTGGGAGTGGGAAAAAGATGACTAGGTTGGATCGACCTTTCAATGAGGGATCAAATAAGAGGCCCTTTGATCGTGATAGCACCCAACCTAAGATAAGCAACGCAGTGATTTTTAAGCCTAGGCAACTGTTAGCTTGTTTCTTTTGCAAAGGGTCGCATCAGGTGGCGAATGCTCACACAGAGGAATCTTTAATGTCTTAAGAGCCTCATCTCAAGAGTCTGCAAAAGTGCCAAAAAACGTTGAAAAAGTTGAAGATGAGCCAACCAATATGGGTTCAATAAGGTTTCTCAATGCCCTCCACACCCAATTGAATACAATAAAGAAAGAGCAGGGTAGAGGCTTGATGTATGTAAACTTAATGATTAATGAGAAGGCCACCAAGGCCATGGTAGATACGGGTGTAATCGATACCTTCATCACACCAGAAGAAGTAAAAATGTATGGTCTCTAAGTTAGCAATGACTGTGGATGAATGAAGGCGGTCAATTCGTTAGCCTTTACGATCAGTGGAAGCTCTAAGAATGTGAAGACCAAATTGGGGCCATGAGAAGGAAAGGTAGACTTTATAGTTTCTTTCATGGATGACTTTGATGTTGTTCTTGGATTGAACTTCATGATGTTGGTTCAAGTGATCCCTATACTCGTCGCTAGTTACATGTTGCTCTTAGAGAAACACCCATGTGTGGTACCGGTCACTATCCTACCAAAGAGTGAGAAGAAAATGATTTCAGCTTTATAGTTCAAGAAAATGGTAAAGAGAGGAAAACCCTCCTTTGAGGCCATATCGATCTACAAAGAAGGGTCGAGAGTGGAACCGATACCCGATGGAGTGAAAAAAATGTTAGAAGAATTCGAAAAGGTTATGCCAAAGATGTTGCCTAAGGTTCTACCTCTTCGATGAATAGTGAACCATGAAATTGAGCTCCTCTCAAGAGTTAAACCCCATACTAAAGCCCTTTATCGCATAGTCCTACCAAAGTTGGTCGAACTAAGAAAACAACTATATGAGTTTTTACAAGTCGGGTTCATTAAACCATTAAAGGCTCATTTCGAAGTGTCAATGCTATTTCAGAATAAGCATGATAGAAGTTTACGATTATATGTTGACTACAAGGCCCTGAACAAAGTCACCATGAGAAACAAATATCCCATCCCTCTTATAGTAGATTTGTTTGATCAATTGAGTCGGGTAAAGTACTTTTCTAAATTAGACTTGAGATCTGGCTACCATCAGGTCAGAATCGTTGAGAGAGATGAACCAAAAACCACTTGTGTAACACGGTATGGTGCATTTGAATTTCTTGTTATGCCTTTTAGACTGACCAATGCTCCTGTCACATTTTGTACATTGATGAATCAGGTGTTTCATGACTATCTAGATAAATTTATAGTCATCTATTTAGACGACATAGTGGTATATAGCTCCACTCTGAAAGAACATCAAGAACACCTGCGCTAGGTGCTTCGAAGGTTATAGGACCACCAGTTATACGTGAAAAAGAAGAAATGTGCATTTGCTCAGACCCAAATCCACTTTTTCGATCACATTATCGAACGTGACCACATTCGAATGGACATAAAAAAGGTTAGAGCCATTAAGGAATGGATAACATTGAAGAATATTAGTGAACTCCGCTGGTTTTTTAGACTAACCAACTATTATGGAAGGTTTGTGAAAGGGTACTCTCGCAAGACCACAGCCCTCACGGAGCGATTAAAAAAAGAGCATAAATGGTGTTGGACAAGTAAGTGCTAAGAGACCTTTGAGGGATTAAAAAATGCTATTATGAAAGATCTCATCTTAGCTCTCTCTGATATTGAAAAGCCTTTCAAAGTTCAGACGGATACATCTGATTTCACTATTAAAGGAGTGCTTTTACAACAACATCACCTGATAGCATTTGAAAGTAGGAAGCTAAGCGAAGCTGAAAGGAAATATATGGCCAGAAAAAAGAGCTCTTGACAGTAGTTCACTGCTTGAAGGCTTGGCGACATTATTTGTTGGGTTCACACTTTGTCGTAAAGATTGATAATGCGGTCGTTAGCCATTTCCTCACCCAACCAAAGCTTACAGTGAAACAAGTTAGATGGTAAGAATTTTTAACGAAGTTCGATATTTGTTTTGAGCACACCGTTAGAAAAGACCAATCAAGTGGTCGATGCATTGAGCAGACGAACAGAGTTAGCGGCCCTTAGAAGAATTGACCCCAATGGTAGCTAGTAGAACCACGATAGATATTCACAAGTTGATTGAAGATCATTTAAAGAAGGACCCACAGGCCAGTACCATCTTGAAACTAGTGAAAGAGAGAAAGTCCAAGTATTTTTGGTAAGAAAATGAGGTCTTGTGGACCAAGGAACCTCGATTGTTTGTGCCAAGAGTAAGAGGTCTGAGACAGATGCTGATAAGAGAATGTCATTACACACCATGGGTTGGACATTCGGGTTGGCAACGCACTTTGGCTTTATTGAAACAGGGATACTATTGACCTCACATGCGACAAGATGTGATGGACTATACAAAGACTTACCTCATTTACCAACAAGATAAAGTTAAAAAGAAGAAACCTACATGCATGTTTGAACCACTATCGGTACCCGTCAGACCGTAAGAAAGTATCTCTTTCGATTTCATTTTGAGCCTACCTAAAGTTGGTGATCTTAGAGCTATTTTGGTATTGATTGATCGGTTCTCTAAGTACGTTACATTCATTCCCACTCACAAGTATTGTATAATGAAAGACATAGCTCGACTATTGTTTAAACATGTGGTCAAATACTAGGGCCTCTCTCAAAATATTGTTAACGATAGAGATCCGAGATTCATGAGATTTTTTTAGAGAGAACTTTTCAAGATATTGAGATCCCAACTCAACATCTCCTCAAGCTACTACCCTCAAACCGACGGTCAAATGAAATGGTTCAATGGATTACTAGAAGAATACTTAAGGCACTTTGTTCAAGCTGATCAGAAGAACTGGCCTTCATTGTTAGACGTTGCTCAACTTTGCTTTAATTTCAACAAAAGCTCTTCTACTAACAAGAGCCCATTTGAGGTGGTCACCGGATAATTATCAAGGCTATCTCACACTTTTTTGAAAACAATATGAAGGGAAGAATCCGAAAGCCTTTAATCTCGGTAAGGAGAGGAAACAAAACACGGAGATTGAACAAGCTTACCTGGAGAAAGCATCGAAGCGAATAAAGAAATGGGCAGACAAAAGTCGCAGGGCACAATAATTCTAAGTTGGTGATTTGGTTCTTGTTTGACTAGTCTCTGAACAAACCAGGTTCTTGAGAAAGAGAGATCGTAGACTGGGTCATAGATAAAATGGTTCAGTGAAGATCTTTTTAAGGTGGGAAATGCTTCTTACAAAATTGACCCACCAAAATGGATAAAGGTGCACCTAGTATTTCATGTGAGCAACCTAAAACCTTTTCATGTAGATCTTACAGATGCTAGCCGAAGGGAGCTAACCAGAACCGTCATCACCATGAAGCCACTTTCAGAACATCAAGTCGAAGAGATCTTAACCGACAGAAAAATTAAGATATCTCAAAGACTAGTTCATGAATACTTAGTGAAGTGGGAATGATTAAGACTAGAAGAAACCAGTTGGGAAAGAGAACACAATCTTCAGAGATTTAAAAGAAAGATTAAAGAATTTCAAGCTAGCAAGTCGATGAGGACGTCGATAGAATAGGTGGGGGAAGATGTCATGAGCTAACCTTGTATAGGACAATGACCGAGGCTTAGGTTGTCATGAGCCACCCATGTATAAGACCATGATCGGGTAGATCTTTTGTGTTAGGAAAAGTGTCCCCATTTCAAACATTATAATAGTTAGTGGTAGCATAGCTCTAAAATCTTTAAGGCTTTTTAGGGGGGTGAACGGGCAGCGTACTGTTGGGCTGTCTCACCGATCGCGATACGGGCCTAGGCCATCTGCCAAGGGTTGCCTCCTGGCCCTGGCGATGGTGGGAAGTCCTGAAGTAATATCCTCGATTTTAATGAAATTCACCCTCGATTCTATTGTCCCGATTGTTACCTTGAAATATTTTTTTTTGTCGATGTGAATGTACTTTTTTGTGTGTGTTTAAAATTGATCTCGATATGAATGTGTCTTACTGCGTATGCTAGAGACTAACTGTAACTTATGATTATTTGTTCAGATATCGAACTATTAAAGATTAATTTAGGTGAAAGTGTCCATTCAAATGTCGCACAAATTATTACTTGTTGAGAGAAAACTTAATCCGTGATACAGAAGCAGCCACACACTTCCTACCACCGAACCCTTCTCAAACACCGCCAATCAGTTAGAACGTGTCGCAGTGATATTCGAAGCAGAGTTAAGCAAAAAGCAGCGATTAAACGCTTTAGTTTTTTTTTTTTCCCCTTTCCGTTCTATTTTCGCCTAAAATAGCAAAATTGAACGGAGATGAACAAGAGGTGGGGTTTTGAAACTTTCTTCAAGTCGCCTGAGAAGTACGGACTGGGGGACAATGGGATCAAGAGTACAGATAGCACGTACTGAGCTGGTATGATGACACGTGTAAGCCAACGTTCCTTCGGCTTTCGGCCTCACCTGCTTTCATTTACCCAACCCTTAGCCTTAGGGTTGGGCCTATCTATGACGAGTTGGGGTTACCATTCCGTGCTCACAATATTTTCACTTCGGTTTTTCTTTCTCTTTAATTGAGAAAAAATCATTTGAATCCTTGAGCCAAATGTCGAGATGTTCATCTTTGTTTTTATTCAATTTAATTATTTGAGTATCTGAGAAGAAAAAAATTGAAAGAACTAATGCAAGGTGTTCCCCAAAAGGTAGTGACGGCTGTCAAACAAGGCCCCCACATAGGCTAGACCACACCCCCTCAATGCTATATAAATAAACCCCACCAGCTCCCCCCAGCTAATTCCCCCTATCGTTTACGGTCAAGTTAGCCTTTGCCGGCTATCTATTTGATGCTCGTTTTTTCTTCTGCCACCATGCAACTGCTTTTCCTCTCATTGCCAGCATCACCACAGGTTCTCTTTCTGATTACACCAGTTCTATTCTCTTCTTTCTTCTTGTTGTTGGTGCTGCTGCTGTTGTTGTCTATTCATCAATGGCAACATCCCAAGGACAAACGTCTGCCACCTGGTTCCTTGGGTTGGCCTTATATTGGAGAGACTCTCAAGCTTTACACCGAGAATCCCAATTCTTTCTTTGCCAACAGGCAACAAAGGTATACATAAAAACAAATATAAGATTCAGATAAAGCTAATGAAAGAAATTGTAACTAATATTCTCTTACTTTATGGAGAAAACAAATTAATAGAAAAAATAAATAAAGAATTTCAATTTCCTTGTTGACCATTTTGTTTGTCTTTCATTTATCAGTTCAGGCAATTTGGTTGTTCTAGATTCTTTATTTTATTTCAGGTATGGAGATATATTCAAAACTCACATATTGGGCTGTCCCTGTGTGATGATTTCAAATCCTGAGGCAGCAAGGACTGTTCTGGTGACACAGGCTCAACTTTTTAAGCCAACTTATCCGCCAAGCAAAGAGAAGTTGATAGGGCCTGAGGCTCTATTTTTCCATCAAGGTGCCTATCATTCAAGGCTGAAGAAGTTGGTCCAGGCCGCTTTTTTACCTTCTGCAATTAGAGGGTCAGTTTCAGAGATTGAGCAGATTGTTTTGAAATTTCTACCAACTTGGGAGAATACCACTATTAACACCTTGCAAGAAATGAAGAGAGTATGTCCGCTTGTTATAAATATTTTTATCTGTTACTGCATGACTAGTCTCTGCACATCCCCAAGAATCTTTAAGAAAATTTTTGTTTTTATTTTGGCATGTTTAGTTTGCTTTTGATGTGGCAATGATTTCTGCCTTTGGCCACAAACAAGACTTGGAAATGACAGAAATCAAGCAACGCTATCAATGCCTGGAGAAAGGTTACAATTCTATGCCTTTCGATCTTCCAGGGACCTCTTTCCATAAAGCAATGAAGGTATATATTTTCATTCTGCTGTCTCAGAGTCTTTCGGTTTGGACTCTTCATTCCTAATATGATCAGTTCATCTTATCTGTTTTGAAAAGGCTAGGAAGCTGCTGAATGGGACCCTAAGAAGATTGATACAAGATAGAAGAGATAATAAGAAACAAGGAGGAGGATTGCTGGGAAGTCTGTTGGGGGCCAAAAACCAGAAGGTTGATCAACTGAGTGATTCCCAGATTGCTGATAATGTAATTGGAGTGATTTTTGCTGCTCATGACACTACTGCAAGCGTCTTAACATGGGTTGTAAAGTATTTGCATGACAATGGAGATTTACTAGAAGCTGTCACAGTAAATATTCTTCTCACCTTGATGATCTTGATTGAGGAGTAGCTTTTGCTTTCATTTCACTAAAAAAAAAATGGAAGGCAATCAAAATCTTTCTGTATCCTACATTTTATTCCTTCTCAATCATATCCTGCAGAGAGAACAAGAAGGGATTCAACGCAAAATAATTGAAGCAAATCGCAAGCTTACGTGGGATGATACGAGGCACATGCCACTGACAACCAGGGTGCATCATATCAATTTGACAAGTTTCATTCTGTTTTACTATTTAATACCAAATTAAGAAAATGTTTTTTTAATAGATAAAACCCATACTTACCATATATATATATATATTTGATGTTGGAATCCAGGTGATTCAAGAGACATTAAGAACAGCAAGTATACTATCATTCACGTTCAGAGAAGCAGTGCAAGATGTTGAGTTTGATGGCTATTATATCCCCAAAGGTTGGAAGGTTCTTCCTCTCTTCAGAACCATCCATCATTGCGCAGATTTCTTCCCTCAGCCCGAAAAATTTGACCCTTCAAGATTCCAGGTAAATGATCAGGCCAAGCAATACATAAATCAGTTTCTCTATACACTTGTGAAAAATAATTAATTTTTTTTATTTTTTATATATACAAGAAATAATAATATATTAATTTATAAAAATATACCACCTTAACAAATCTTGTCATTTTTTAACATTTTTCACCAAAAAAAAAAACAAAAACTATAGTAAAATCATAATAGATTAAAAATATCAAATAAAGAAAACATACACACTAGTTTTAACATTTTTAAAAGTAAAAAGCAAATGAGTAAAAGTGAATAAAAAATTTAAATTGACATCGCCAAAGTTGTATCCTTTTGTCTATAATTAAGATTGTTTATTGAGAAAATATTAAAATTTTAATTTCAGTGATTAAAATTTAAATTTGATCATTTTAAACATAAAAAAGATATTGCAAAGAATATATTTATCACTCAGCAATTTGTTGACTTTTCAAATCTTGGCGAATCATATATAAAATTGTTAATAGTGTGTCTATATATATATATATATATATATATATATATGTGTGTGTGTGTGTGTGTGTGAATAGCATAGGCATTGTTTAATATATTTGGAGTCTCTGACCAAGATTCGTGAAGTGGCTCATGCACTATCCAGTTTTGAGCAAAAATATAAGGTTATCAATGGTTTATCTGATGCTGGTGAGCTTTTCATTTATTTACCGTTAATCTTCCTCTACTCAAACCATCTGTTGATGAAATCTTTCAAGTATCAGAGGCACGTGACGTGACCTGATTCTTTAGGGTAGTAAGTAACAACAGGGCAGTTTGAATCTGTGTCTAAACTTTCTTTGGAAGTATCTGAGAGATTTCTGCTAAATTAGCTTAGGCCTTTTTGGTGTAGAATATTACTTTCTGCTATATTAATATTGTTTTCGAGTGATGTTGTTGCAGGTTCCACCGAGACCCAACACGTTTATGCCGTTTGGCAGTGGGGTTCACTCTTGTCCAGGCAGTGAACCGGCTAAGCTTGAGATGCTGGTTCTCCTCCACCATCTCACAACCAGATACAGGTACCCATTTCTTCTCTCTTGTTCACAAAATAATTGAGATGATCGAAAACGTAGTAGTTCAATTCACTCCCCCCCATTCGAGAACATAGTCATTAGGCTGTGGAAATGGTCCTAACTACTAATTTAGTCCCAATGCTGCCATTTAAGGCGAGTTGGCTTAGCCCTTTGGGGGCATCAAAAGCTACAATTTTTTTTGCATGGGGTGAAATATATTTGAAAGTAGATTTGATAATTTTAAATATAATTCGATAATGTAATATAAAAATATAAAAAAGTTATATATGGATTTAGTGTAATTATATTTTGTGTTTTAATTATATCAATATGATTAAAATATGACATTATTTATGTTATGTATGTGTCAAATAATAATGATACGTTTAAAATATGATACTATTTATAACACAAAAAATAATAAATTATTTTAATTTATTTAAGAAATAAATTAATAATTATATTTATACTATTATTTTTGTATTTAAATAGATTATAAATTTTTAATTTTTAAATATTTTTTTGGTTTAAATGCTAATTTAAATTATTTTTTGTTTAAATAAATAAATTAATCATATCAAATTGTATTATTCATATATAATCGTATTAATAGTGTTATATTGTATTGTATTATTTGAATATAAATTAATTTTAAATATATTAATCATATCGTATAATGTATAACACACATAATAAATATGTTATATTTATGTTAAAATTATTCGTACTGTGTTTAAAATTATATTTGATACGAAACACGATAAAATAACACGAATTGTGAAATCTTTTTTAAAGTCGATGGTGGATATTTTCGGAAGTGGAAGATTTTTCCACTGTATCTATCGTTACACTTGGCGTCCATGAGCAACATTCTTTGACCTATTTGCATGAAAGACAATACCAAACCTTTGAAAAAAAGATGTTTCGGCATTGTGATTATCCAATTTCAACTGTCTGTATGTCATACTTAGGCTTTTCACACAAACAATTTGAACTGGATAATTCAGATATACGCATCTACTATAGTTTTGGATATCTTTTGGAAGTTCAACGTTTAGATACTGAGAACTAGGATGACAACGCAAATTTGCTTTGTCGACGATATGGTTTACGAGAGTGGGACCCTGTATTGATCATGAACTATTACAAGGAGAATGGGACTTGTCCATGTCTTCGAGACAAAGATCGATTTTGAAAAAAATTGTCCTGCCACAAAAAAAAAAAAAAAAAGCCTACAATTGTAGTCCACATCCTGGTATCTTATCGTGTGTAGTCAGTTTTCAACGAAAGCTGCAAGAGGATAAATGTCAATGTCTAGCTAGCGAGTTTTAAGTTCAAGAAATGTTCCCATAAATTTTGTTTTCAATATCTTTTCTTTTGACGAAAACAAAGATCTTCCAGCCATATTCATTGAAAATTTTGCTCTTCTTGAATCCTTCCAATGTTTTCACTGCAGGTGGCAAGTTGTAGGAGATGAGGATGGGATCCAGTATGGTCCCTTTCCAGTGCCCAAACGGGGCTTACCTGTAAACGTCACACCTAGAAAAATCAAGAGAGCGTGAACAATAGGTTTTCTAGATTTGGACTCGTTGAAGATTGAAACATTGTTCACTCGGGCCAAAAGCAGGTTAACCCGGTGAAGCTTTTCTTCCCCCCCCCCCCCCCCCCACACGCTTTGGGAATCTTTTGTAATTGCTTAGAAGCTTTCTTGAGGTAGGTTTTTTTTATCTTGGTTTGTTCGAGTAAAGTACATGTATTGTGTACAAAAAAAAAAGAGTAAGCAAAATGCAAAAAGGAAACAAGAACTGTATTTGCATTGGGGTGTTTGAAAGCAAGTCCCTTTGACTCGCGGATCAAATCTATGTGGTTTAGAACATGAATGAAGTAGCTATCATAGGCCCGAAATTTGTCTCCATCTTCCTTTGTTACCTGGTGCATAAAGAACCAAAGATAACCTTTGCCAAAGAAGGTTTTGACCCATAGAAAGTTACCACCATGAATCAGGCTGCCTAACACGTGGCAGAAGTTGGTCATGCCAGGAATATCCCACGCGTTTCAGGCTCAGCACGAGTTTGTATAGTTTACGTGGGTCACTGAAATCTTTCCAATCAGACTTTTGTGTTGCTGAGGAAAATTGCAGGGTGAAAAAAACTTGGTTAAGAAGTGAGATTTTGAAAGGGTGTTCAACATGCTCCAATTCTTCCCTCTCAGGTTGCGTGATCTTTCATTACAAGGCATTGAACTAACCATGACTTTTGACAAATTTCTTCATCTACAAGATGTTTATAGGACACAAGTTCATGATATTGCCCTTGAACAATGAATCTTTAATAAAATGTAAAAACCGCACCGCTAAATTTAGTCCCATCAAAATGTGAAAAGAAAACAGCAACTCAGACCTTCAATCTGCACCCTTTGATGTCGAAATCATCTGTTTTGACTGCTAACTTGTGATGCATCGTTCAAGGTGTTTTCTCTCAATTGTTGGTTCAAGCATTCAGTTTTGCCAGTCCCCACATAGGTTAGGATTCTTAAAGTACTTACAAGGACCAGGATGGTGTCCAACACCATCAGGGCAAATTGCAACAGATATGAGCAGATCTGACAGCCCACCAGCTGAGCACAACTCGAGGAGAGGTCCCTCCGCAGATTGGTCCACATTTCAAACCACACACATGGAACCAATTTTAATCTATCTGCGGCTAATACATAAGCTGAGAATTGAACTCGAAACAACATTCTGAACCACCGCTCAAAGGGTTGAAATAGGGACAGAGGGGTACCCTAAAAAATGCTCATCATTCAAGCCCTTCTGAGTTTTAGCGATCTTTGTCGTTGTTTAGAACTCACATGTGCATGTTGCTATGATACAGAACAAAATATTTTCTTCCTACAATAACCAGAATGGTAGTCATGGTCTGCATATAGGAACGTGTAAAAATCACATCAGTATCTCTACCACTATAGCTCTTTCACTTAAATCAGAATGTTAAACTGGATTTTCTTTTGCAAAATGTGGTAATGCATGCCAATGAAGTTTAAGAACCCATTGAAAGCAGAACTGTAACAAAACCTATTTTACAAGGCAAAGCACATTCTGCATGAAGCATTTGTAAATGCTACAATGGCCAGTAGAAATCAATCTCAACAATGTAAAAACGTACTTACACTAAGGGGATTAGGTTTTTAGTGACGTTTTTTTTTTTTTTTTTCATGTTTAGTAACATTTATAAACGTCACTAAAAGATTAGCAGTGTTTGTCAAAAATACTGCTAAGAGTGTCAACTATACTTGTATCAGAGAAAATAGTGGTGTTTGTTTTTAGAAATGTCGTTAAATGCTAAATTTAGTAACGTTTATAATAGATAACACCACTAAATTTAGCGGTATTTATAGAAAAAATCGTTATTATATTTTGGCATTTAGTGACGCTTGTAGGCACAAATACCACTAAATTAACAATTTTTGTTTTTTAAAATTTTTTTAATATTGATTATTATCATTAAATAAAAAATATTAAAAGAAATAAAAACGAACTTAAATTCATAAACTGAATATTATAAATACATAATTTGTTTCAATATGGATGGAACAAAAAGTTTAATACATGCAACAACATTCAAATTATTTTAGTACATTAACCAAAAATCTAAAATGTATAGAGTTGATGACTGATAGATTTGAAACACTACCATTTAATGAAAGATTTTCTTACTTTGGTCATTAGCATGCTCAAGAACCTACTGAATAAAGTAATACAAATTTTAATACTTAATAATAAGCTATTTTTATATTAAAAAAATATAAATAGTTACTAAATATAATAACTGAGTTGATGGACCACCTAAATTAGTTCCTGAAAATTGTTGTTGCATAAAATTCATAAAAATATCAATCGATCATACAATTGTTGAAATCTTGCACACTCTTGGTCCATTCTAACATGCTTTTATTCAATTTTAACACGTTCATGTTCTATTTCTGCTTCCATTTGCATGAAACATTATTGTATAATTTGCAATCCCTCTCTCAATAAGGAGATGTCTCGCAAAGATGAACTTGTTGAGAATGCAAATTGCTGAGAGCTATTACATGTCATGCATTAATATCGTGTTTTTTAAACAATGCAAAAAAAAATAGAGATAACATCAATAAAAAATTTATATTAATTTTAATCAAATATTCATACATCTAGAAATCTATAGTGTAACAAAAAAAGATTAAGTATATAGCAAATACTTTACCGTGCAGTATTCACAAATGACTATAGATGTCTTTCTTTGATTCTTTATCTTTTGTTGTTGATAGTTTTCATGCACAATGAATCCTTTCAAGCAAGATTAAGTTGTTTCATCAAACATCATAATCTGAAAAATGCAAAGTACTTTACAAGAATCCTTCAAAGTTTACCTATTTCCTTTTGAATTGAAGATGTAAAGTTTAAGTATATAACATACACTATATGAAAATAATAGATATTGGAAGAAAAATACTAAATAATCTAATTGAATATGGTAACAAGTAACATTAACATGAAATCAAGAAGACAAGCACATGCACACCACCAAACATGCATATGTATGCTAGTCTTTGCATACGTCTGTTTGTAAACACGATTGTTAGTTTTGACAATCAACAGCATTGGCTACATAAGGAAAGAGAAATTTTGTATCAATAACTTTAGTAAAAGAATAAGCTTCTACTGATAAACAATAGCAATGACAAATAGACAATGCACAAAACCTATAAACTACAAACAGCACAAACACCCCCTTTTGTCTTTAACGAGGGATAAAGCTTAAAAGTACTAAATAACGTCTTTTATATGAACATTTTGCTAGTCAAGGATCCATAAGTCCAGGTAAATATCTAATACATGTTCTAGTTTACATAACTCAATAACAATCTTATTAAATTACTAGCAAATAAAGACAAAAAGAAATAATAAAAAAACAAAATCAAGTTAAAAATACTTATACATTGTAATTTGTAAGAAAATGATACGAATCCAAAAAAAAATCCCACAAAAGATTATTTAATACTCAAATTACATTTAAAACATAATAGACTATTTCAAAATAGTTTCCTAAGGATATCTTGAATGAATCAACAAATTTATGTTAACAAGTAATAACTTTTTAGTAATTTAAAAAATATTCTGTTAGAAAAAAACTAAACCTAAAATTTTATTCGTGTTTGTAACTAAATTCAACATTCAATTTCAAGTTTTTCAGAGAAAAATCATATTTTTTTTACTTTTTGTTCTATCTTGAATTTTTCTCACAAATCAAACAAAATCAAACTCAGAACTACAATAACAAAATAAATTGTTAAAAAAAAAAATGGCAAAACACTGAAAATTATCAATATTAAAATGAAGCTTACCAATGAAACTTGAACGACAGCAAAAATGCAACATAGAAGACAAGAAGTTTAACGATTTGACCAAATAAATTAGACAAAAAATTTAGAGATTTGACCCAAAATGCAAGAAAACTAACTTGAAATGAAAGGAAAGAAGATAAAAATTAACCATAAAATAACTGAAACTTAGGTAGAAAATGAGAAGAAAATGATCCAAAATGAGTAGAAATAAAAGAAATGAGTAAGGGAAAGAAAAACAAAAATAAGGTCTTGTGAGTTTGAAATTTAAAAGAAATTTAGTAGCTTTTGCTTATAGAAATGCTTTCAATAATCCCTTGCAATTTTTTTTTAGATTATTCAAGGCGTTTTTGTCAAAAAATGTATTGAATAAGCTTATTTAATTTTTTATAAGGGATTATTTAATGCGTTTTCTGATAAAAAAATATTTTGAATAATCTCTTTTAATTTTTATTAAAGGCATTTATGGGTAAAAATACTTTGAATAATCTCAAAAAAAAATTTAAAAGGAATTATTGAAGTTGTTTTTTACAAAAAATGTATTGAATATCCCTATTTAATTTTTTGTAAAAGATTATTCAAGGTATTTTTTTGACTAAAAATACCTTGAATAATCCACCAAAAAAATTGGCAGGGATTATTGAAAGCGTTTTTAGCCAAAAACACTTTAAATAACCCCACTCAATTTTTTGTAAGAAATTATTTAAGACTATTTTTGCCAAAATATCTTGAATAATCCTAAAAAAAATAGGATGGGATTATTCTTAATTTAAATAATATATTTTAATTATAAAAATATTAGAGTAGCTCAGTTGGTTAGAGCATATAGCTGTTAACTATAAGATCATAAGTTTAATCCCTCATTCTAACATTTTTTAAAGTTTTTCAAATGATTATTTTAAGTATTTTTAGACTATTTTAGTTGTTTTTGGATAACAAACACCTTCTAAGAGATCATTTCAAGTGTTTTTGAACTATTTAAGGTATTTTTAAATAACAAATGCCTTAAATAATCTAGATGGTCATTTTTCATATAACAAATGATGCAGACTAATGATTATAGAGCATACACAACATCAAGGAAGCATTGCCAGAGCTGTGGGAATCATATAATAAAAAATTAGAAGGTGTCAGATATTCCAAAATGGTTGCAAATTATATTCAGTAAAAAGTGATGTCGTAGTTGATAACTCAAGTCCAATTACTGCTTCTCAACAACAAAATGTCAAATCTGAAATTTCACAATTTCACAATCCCTCCTTTAATATTTCTGCTCTAGATTTGCATCCACAACCCCACTTTTCCTCCTCAACGTGGAATTTGTAATCTTTAATTTTAATCATCAATAAAGCATCAATAAAGCATATTTTCATGATTTAGTGTCTGCAATTAGATCTGACATTTATGTATTTATGTTGTGTAAAATATTAAAATTCATGTATTCGTATCATGTATTATATGAAAATTACGTGTCATAATTATATCGACACAAAAATATAAAATGTAATTTTTTTATTTTATTAAACTCATGTACACTTATTACTATAATTTTAAATCGTATCATTTTTATATCTTATTTTTATATCATATTTATATCATATTATCATATTATATTTTAGATTGTTACGTCTATTTGCAATCTGGACTACACTGATCATTTACTTCTCTTTTTCTTGTTTTTGAAATATATAATAATTGAAAAATTTTAAATATACTACACCATTCACTTTGTTATCATGAATTATAAATTTTTAATTTTATCATTTTAGCCTCTTAAGTTATTATTAAAAATTAAATACCCAAATATCATTTCATATCTCACTTGATAAATTCATATAGAATAATGTAATTATAAAGAGATTTCTATCATAATTTTTTATAAAAAAAATTGTTGTTTGAAAGAGATTATACATGATGAAATTTGAATTTTAAATTTACTAACTATTATATTTTAGTATGCAGATGAAATTAAACTAATTATTAAAATCTAAAATTAAAGTTTTTAAAAAGTGTTTTTTTGGTACGAAAGTTTTTAAAAAAATTAATGTAACAAATAAAATTTAAATTATAATAAAATATTTAATATAATACTTAAATTTTGAAAAATTTTAAATTAAAATAATAAAAAAATTCCTAAACTTTATTATTTTATTTAGATAAATTCTTATATTTTTATTACATATTTAAATAAATTTTTAATTTTTAATTTACACCCAAATAAAATTTTAATTTTTAATTTGTATTCAAATAAACTTATAAACTTTTAATTTTTTATTTAAATGAACCCTTAACATAAATATTTTTATTTAAAATAAAAACTTATTTTGATATAAATTAAAGTATTAATGTTTATTTAAATATAATAAAAATATAAGCGCTTATGTTAAAAAAATAAAATCGTTCATAAGTTTTTTTAATATTTTAACTAAATTTTTAACGTGGTACATTAAAAACAAATCTGGCTGACCGTGTCCGTGTCGCCATCAACGCATCTTTACTTCGACCTTACACGGAAGCATGAAGACCCCAACGTGTCCTGTTTTCATTGGACCACTTCAGCTCCCAACTTTTGCAGTACCTTCTAGATCATGACTTCTCTGCTTCTCCTTTTCTTCTCCAAACGCTCCTTCAAACGACTTTCCTTCTCTCCATCTATTTAATGCCTTCTTGAACGCTATCGTGTCTTTTCCTTTCTTCTCGCTTTCTCTCCCTTTCCCTCGTTGTTTTTGGGCTTTCATTAAAAATTTTAAAAGATTTTTTTTTCTTACATTGTTGATTCGGATCTGGTAATGTTCGATTCTTTACATGTTGTGTTCTTCATTTTGTCTTTTCAGTTTTTGTTTTTGAGTTTGTTTGATGCTACATTGGTTTATTTCATGTCGATTAAGGGTTTTTTTTTTTCTGGGTTAATTTTACATTGATGTTTTAATGTGTTCTGTTCTGTCTCTCTGGACATTTAAAACAATAATGATAATGAAATCTGTCTGAATTTGGGGCCTGTTTCGTCAATGCAAAAACTTTTGGTGATAAAAAACTGTTTTTTTTTCCCTTGAAATCAGAGTAATTTTTTGAGTTTCTAAGATGTTTTTAATATTTGTTTTGGATTATGCCTGAATTGGTAGTTTTCCTGGCGTAGCATTTTTTGAAGATAAAAAATGGAATATGAAGATCAGAGTAAGGCCTTTGATCCGAAATACGAATGTCTCTTATTTGGTAAATTTCTTATCTTTCTGTAATGAACATTCATCTGTTAATATATAAAAATGTAAGCTTTTTTGGCTAACCATTGATTTTTTTTATTTTTTTTGGTTTGATCCATTATTAAAAAACTTACAGATTTAGATGACACTCTTTATCCTCTGACTTCTGGTTTTTCCAAGGAAGTTACCAAGAACATTCAAGGTATTGTTGATGTTTCCTTGAAGGGTCTCATTACTTTGGCAAGTTGTTAGATTCCTCTTGAAATTCATAACTTTTTTTTGGATACCCTTTTCTAGAATATATGATTAAGACTCTTGGAATAGAGGAGGAAAAAGTTCCTGAATTATGTGTTTCATTGTACAAGCACTATGGCACAACAATGGCTGGTTTAAAGGTAAAGGCTGTCATAACATTCTTTTGACAGTGAAACTCTTTTGAGAATGCTTAAACTATAGAATGATGGCACGTTTTTGTCTTTTTCTTTCCCTCCAGGCTATTGGCTACAACTTTGATTGTGATGATTTTCATGGGTACTGATTTTTCTCCCATTCATGTTTTATCTGTGGATGATTCTATGTATCGTATATGGTTCTAACTTATTCCTGTCTTACAGATTTGTTCATGGGAGATTGCCTTATACAATGCTAAAACCTGACGCTGTTTTGAGGAATCTCTTGCTTAGCCTGCCTGTTCGGAAAGTTGTACGATCCTAGTTCTTATGAATTGTCATTTGTAATCATTTAGAGGCTCCCTGGTGATTTTGTTCTGGTCTTGTATACAGATTTTCACGAATGCAGATAAGAACCATGCTGCCAGGGTGCTTAACAGTTTGGGATTGGAGGACTGCTTTGAAGGGATTATATGCTTTGAGACTCTGAATCCCACAAACAAAGACAACTCTTCTGCTGATGGTTTCATCTCAAACAGTGAAATTTTTTACATCAGTAACTACAGTGCTCGTCCTGACTCTGATCTTGAACTTCCAAGCACTCCAGTTGTCTGCAAACCATTTGAAAAAGCGTTTGAACAAGTTTTTCAGATTGCCAAAATCAAACCCCAGAAAACGGTAAATTAATCAATGTTTTTATTTTTCAGAGTCTAAAAACTTTCGGAGTGATTTGAATTCAATAACTCCTTTCAATGTTACAATGTCTTGCTTTGCAGTTGTTCTTTGATGACAGCATCCGCAATCTTCAGACTGGTAAAATTATGGGCCTTAACACCGTGTGGGTAAGCCACTGAATATCTAACTACAAAGAATAATTTGCTGCCTGGTGATTTTTTTTCCTTTAGATTTTGTTATTCCTCAATTGGTTTGAGAATGTTTTACTCGCTAGTTTCCCATGACACCCATATAGGTGGGAACTTCTCATCGAACCGACGGTGTGGATTATGCATTAGAGAGCATTCACAACATCAGGGAAGCATTGCCAGAGCTGTGGGAAGCAGATGAGAAGGATGAGAACATCCGGTATTCTGGGAAGGTTTCTGTTGAGACAACGGTTAGAGCTTAGATCTTAAACCATATATATATTTGCCGTGCGTTCACCACTCTCTTTGTAACATGTAACAGAGGGGATCCTAGGAATAAAAATTTATTATCTTATTTAATTAAATTGGTCTCTTTCCCAAGTTTAATTGCATATTGTTGTTTGACTACCAGCATTTTGACCTGTTCTTTGAGACAGCCTCGAAAGTAGCCATCATAAAACAAACCATATTTTCTTATGTTAATCTCGTTAACTTTTGAAAGCATTTTGGAGATTTCCTTATTTCATATTCAAAGGAGCTTATCCAGGAACATAACAAAGGCACCAATGGGGTGGAACACATAGATCATGTTTGAAGTTAAAACAGAAGGCATCTGCTTCTCGGAGAGGGAAGAAGGAAATGAGAACATACCCACAAGCGTCTTTAAAAACTGCTGATTTTCAGCTTTATATACACCTAAATTTAAATATCTTGTCTATATACTCTTTGCCAGTCTCTTTTACCCTTGACATGTAACCATTCATGTGCCCTATGCCGATACCAAAATTTGAATCAGTCTGAATATAATTAGTTGAAATGTATACTAGCAAAAAAATCTAGATAAGTTTTTGGGCCCTTTGGAGCAAGGGTCTTCAATCAGCAAAAAATGGGCTATTTGAAATATGAAAGAAGGATGGCCCACATAAAAGTTTGAATGTGATCAGCCTTTCAGTGAATACTTTTTCCCTGTGAATGCTTGAAACTTTGGTTCTTCCTCTTTAGGCGGCTCTTGACTGTTCTTCATGGCAACCTACGGACAAAGCCAATAAGAATTCGAAAGAACTAAATGTGAATTGACTTTTTGGGAAATAAAATAAGAATTCTTAAAATATTTATGTGAATGACTAGAGTAACTTGTATCATTAAACTAGTATAGCACAACATACTTTTGTTGTTTCCTCTGGGGGCTGATTTTCATTCGAACCAAACACAAGCTTCCCAGAATGTTGACGTGAAGTAGAGCTTGATGACTTGGAAGCAACAGCTTCATTTGAATTATATTGTTTAAGCAAGGGAGAGACAGGTAGTGGAGCTGGTTGTGTCAAGGGTTTGCCATCCAAGCGCCTTGATGAACCACTGAAAGGGATGAACTTGGCAACTTTTCTTGGTGGCTCTTCTTCAACTGAAATATTCGTAGAATGGTCATTTGTTGAATGGAATAATTTGCAAATGTAACAGTCAAATTCAACAATGAAATTTTTTTCTATAAACTAAAAAACGAAAAGAAAAAAAAGAGGGAAAAACCTTTAGGTGCAATATTGTTCGATCGTAGAGAGGGTGCTGGCTTTTCAGGTTCTTTACAATCAAGAGGAGGGGCAAAGTCCACCTCACAATCAGTTTCAATGATACTGACTGCAGGGGTGGGTTTTGTTTCAACTATATTAATATAGTACTTCTTATTGTTATAGGGGACCATGATAGTGTCTCCAATGGTTAAGCAAGAGTAATTCCTCAGTGCAGTTTCCAAGCTGCGAGCAAACACAACAGAAAAGGAATTTAAGAAATAAATGTATCAGCTACTCCATAAGAAATTGCCAGAAAGATAACTAACATTGCTTTGGGGTTGGAGATGTCTAAGAAGTCATTAGCGTGCGGCTGCAGCTTCACATAGGTTCCCTTTGGTAAGCTAGCATTTTTCACCTGCACAATATCTCCCTCTTGGAGGAGCATGTTCTCCATCATCTGAAACAAAAACGCAGGACGAGCAAGCGGCACAAAATCAACAAAACACCATCTTTAAATCATGATATTAAAAGAATAAAGACAATTTAAAACCATACCCAGTATGGTACGTATATCAGGCCCTCATCTGCAACAAATTCTAAAACCCCACAATGAGAGATTCTTTCCGCAGGAGCATTAGTCAACTCGAATAACATAGGGTACTCGACATGCAAGGATGCTGGAGAGAAGAGTCATTAGGGTTAAACAAGGCTTGCATTTGCATGCATTAACCGGGATACAAAGAAGGAAGCTGAGTTATCTACTTACCAAGGCGATGAAGAGCTGAGGGAGGCATAATAACTGGCAATGACAAACAATCTTGATAATTAGTCATTTGCCTTGAAAATTACTTTTGGAAATTGAAATTAGAGTGAGGGTAAGAGATTGGGAGAGGGATAGTATCACATAAATTGGTGAAGAAGATCAACATACCTTTATCTCCCTTCTCCAGATGCGCCTGTAAAGATTTAAATGAATTAGAATCAAAGTGGAAGGAAAAGTAATGGAACAATCAAAAAATCAAGAGCACTTCATTTGCTAATATAAAAAACAGTAGCCATTAAATTGGAATATTCTACACCTCAATTAACCAAGCAATAAACTAAAAGTGTCCATAGGATCACCTACAGAGTATAGCAATAAAAGTTAAACCAACAAAAATCCTTTTTCTAAGTGTCCTGTATTCAACGTGTAACCCACCAACCTTATCAATGAAAGAGACAGATTAACAACGATAACACTGTTCAAATGTTGAATTTCCACGGTCCTGCAATCAACAAAACTAAATGAGCAAATAAAAGAGAACAATCTTAATTATCTAAAAACTATAATATAAGCTAGAGGCAGCCTGTAAGTTTGTCAAGCTAAATAGAAGATCGTTCAAGCTACATTAGCTTGTGATCAATCAATAGCCTTCAAACCAAATTGCCATTGACCATAAAACAAAAACAAAACGAGAAGGAAAAACTATAAATCATTAAACATACCATGATCACTAAGATCGAGTTCAAAACTTCTTCCCAGAAAATCACTAAAAAGTCGGCCATAAAAGAAAACAGTCAATAACTAAAAAAGGTAAGTGATATTAATCAAAGCAATAAACAAAACCCAGTTCCCATGATCAACCAAAACCAAAACAACTGATTTTATATAAATGATTAAGACTTTAACATGAAACAATAATCCCATAAAAAACATATTGTACAAAGAAACAAATATGAAGAAAAAAAAACCATTTTTTTAAAAGATGAAAAGATAAGAGACAAAGCTTGAAAGACAGGACATTGTGAAACAAATTAAGACATAATTGTGAAAATAAAAATGGGTTTTGGGTTTCCGATTGAAAGATGAAACCTTTGAGTTGGTTTTGATGAGTGAAGACGAGGATTGCCAAATATCTGTGTTAGATTGAAAGCTCTTTGCTTTTTCTTTTTATAGGTTTATGAGTCCTAAACCAACCGGACGAACCCTTTCATTGTGAAAGTATAAATTGTATAAAATTTGGATTTTAATTAATTCCTTTTTTATCCAAAATCAAAGTGTTTTCTTATAATTTATTGATTTATTTTTTCATGTAACATTGTAGATATAATAATTTAAAATATAATATGATGGTATAATTTGAAGGTGATATAAAAATTAAATGTAAAGATAATATAATTTAAAATTTTAATAATTATTATATATAAATTTAATAAAATTAAAAAATATATATTTTATATTTTTATATCGATTAAATTATGATATATAAATTTTTTATAAATACAATATTAATGCTAAAATTTTAATATTTTACTCGATCATTAAATCTGTGCTTATACTTCATAGATGGATGACCCATTCAAGGCACGTTTATCAAATACCAAATTATCCTCTCCAATTAGTGAATGCAATTTGTAATTTTTCCATTTATCCAAAAAAAAAAAAAAAAAAAAAGGCAATTTGCAAATTACAAAGGTTGGTTTGGTGGACCTCGATGGGCCCATTTAGATTGGGCCCGCATGGGTTTTGGACCTAAAATTTCAACTCCAGTCAGCCGAGAAAAAGAAATTGGCAGCCCAAAATTGAACTCTTACAAAAACAGAACAATTCCCTTCCTCTGTTTCCCTCTTACAAGAGAGTAAAAACTGAAAATTTTTGTCTTTCAAAGGAGACACATAACCATAATGTTACTTCAACTATTTGTCTTCAGACCATTTCATATTCAATATGAAAGTTGTTTGGTTTCCATCTGTTAATTGATTCTTATATTTAAATAACTGCAGCAGTGAGCACTCTCATATCATCTCTCCTTCACTTTCTCCTGGAGGAGGAGCTTGAGTTTGGATAACATCTCTATGAAGCATTCTATTGTTGCACTCTTGACTTAGCTTGTGCCCTGAGTATATATCTGATTCATCAGCAATGAACATAAAAAGATTTCCATCTGATGTCCATCATACCCTCATCTAATGATGGGGTATGCAATAGGAGATTGTTTCCTGAAAATTGTAAATTTTGTTTCCAGGGATGAAACACTGTGCTTGTGGAGAAAGCCATCTAGATAGAGGCAATCCATGGAAAGACAATTCCCCCTCTCTCCAAAAAGGGGGAAAAAGAAAAAATGAAAGAAAAGCATAGAATTTGTTGTCTAAATGCTTGTTGTGAATGCATTTGAATTCATTCTAAATAAGCACATTGGAGCTTTAACACACATGCAATCTTTACTTTAGGAGTTGATATTTACAACTAAAACAAATAGGATAGTGAGTCTACTGAATGATATAATAAGCTTTGGAAGAAATCACTCCTAATCAGAGTTAATCCCTGACAGGTTTCCAAATTGAAAGGGCAAAAATAACTCTCCCCTTCCATCCCTGCAGCATCCAGCGGCCATCCACATCTACAATAAAATCTTTATGATAACTAGATTGGACCATATTCGTCACTTTCTTCACGAGCTCCTGATCCAATGGAACCAGCTTGAACCCTGCCCTCAGAGTCCTAGCCTGCCATTGCTTATACGTCTCTGGTCTTTCAACCCTCTCCGAACCCTCGCATGCAACAACGTTCATAATGTCCTTCCCATGTATTTCCTTCTCAAACATCATCCTCTGTGGATCTTCCCGACCAACATTAGCTTCAAATATATCAAACTGAGCAGAGAAATGGAAGAGTGCCTCCCGGAACCTTGTAACAAAGAATGGAGCGTTATATGTCCCGTTTGCAATCCCATGGATGAATAATTCTGGATTGATGCTTCTGATCAATTTCAGAACAGTGTCCCTCGCACTGGTTGGCGCCATTGTGTCATCTGGAAGGTTCTTTAGCCGATACATGCAGTTAACAACAACCACTTCATCTTTCTTAATCTTAAGTTCCTCAAGTTTGATGGTTTCCCATTTCTTTGCTATCACGTTGTACTCAAATGGGACTTTGAATCTCTCACAATACCTTTTCAAGCGACGCCCCGTTTCTTCCACCCTTTCTGCAGGTCGGAAACCTGGTTGTGGAAACTCAACACCGGTAATATGAAGTTTGGGAGGTCCACCAGCCCTTGCTGAGAGACGCTGGATGAGGCAAGGCCATTGAAACCCATAGCAAATGCCAAAATCAACGATGTGGAGCGTGGTTGCCTTTTCTGCAACTTCCATTATCTTTTTATTTGCATAGAAATTAAACATTTTCTTAAAGGGGCAAGCTAAAACATACACCCTATAAGCTTTTAGGATATCAGCAGCCGAAGTCCTGTTGCTTACCAGAGGCGAATACGATGGTGCCCCCATGCCAGCCAAACGCGTCTTAAGGGCATTAGAAAAGTAATGTGCCAATCTTTGGGTTCCATCGCCTGAATCTGAAGAGTGCTGACTTATCTGTTTCAGCAGCTCATTGGCAGTCCTTTGGTCATTGATGGCTACAGCTTGTGCACATTGGGTAAGAAGACTCCACAAATCCACCACTTCACTTGTCTTGCCGTTTTTCTTTCTGCGTGTTGTTCCGCTATTAGACCCTTTTAGCTGCCCATTTTGCTGCGAGTTCCCATAAAGAGAACAATTTGGCCAGTCCTCATGTTCACCTTTGCAAAGCAGTACATCGTCGAACATCTCTGACTGCTCTGAATCTTCAAGAGAAAGCGCAGATTGCTTGTTGCTCCTACCTTCTTCCAAATAATCACCATCATCACGCTGATAATTTTTCCTTTCCCTTGATGCTGAAAGTGATTGATACCTTCCATCAGGAAGAGAAGGCCCAGATAGGTTGCTTTCTGCAGCCAAAAGCAACTTATCAACATTGAGAGAGGATTTACTAGCTTCCCCTATCTCTCTTCTGAAGTGCCTCAAAGGCTCTTTCATGGTCTCTCCTTGTAAATCCGGAAACAAAGAGGTTCTTTCAAGAGAATCAATAAGAGAAGTTTGACTGTAAGAGGAGTTGAATTCACCTGGACTGTCTATCCCACAGGATTCAACGGAGTTGGTACTAACAGTATAGCTGTTACTGCTACCACTACTGCTTTGGGTGAGATTATCATCTGGGCTATAATGATCTTGACTGGGACATAGAGAGATAGGATCGGATGAAAGTGGATACTCGTGGCCAAGGACTTCATAGAAGGATTTTTCAGCAGCTTGGAGAGCTAAGCAATCCTGCAACATGCAGGTCTTTTCCTCCAGATCTTCTTCCATTAGCATCTCATTTATATACTTGAGCATTTCATTGGCAAAAGGAATATTATCAAGGGGATGTCCGTCTGAACTCATGCCTGACGATGAAGCTGAATCAACAAGAGACTCTGGACTAGTTGGAAAGGAAGGCAGAGTTGGAACAATATGCTCAGGACTGTTTTCAAACCCATTAACAAGGTTGTGATTTGAATATACTGGCACTGAGCCATGATCAAATTTGAACCCATACGTGAAACTAGGAAAATCTTGGGAAAGGGTATCCATAGAAAGTTAGAAACCTATTTGATACAGGCAAAAAAAAAAAACCTGGATGAAATTGGATTGACAAAAACCAAAAAACTGTTCTACCCTCTTGTTGATTGCCAAAATCTTGAGAAAAACTCAAGATAGGAAAGAGGATAACTGGCTGAACAAGGGTTGAAGATATATAAATGAAAGAAAGGAAAGAACTTTGTTGAAAAGAAGAGCAGTCAAAGAGCTAAGCAAAGAACCTGGATAATTCCATAATTTCAAGACGCCTATAATAGTCAAGCTGTTGAGCTTTCTGAGTGAACCTTCTCGGAAAGTACAGTTAAGGCAGAGCAGCCGCCACCTCGTACTCACCGTTTTGAGACAGATTTTAGTGCCGAGTTAATGTATAAACTTCTAATTAAATATGACTTTTTTGGAGACAGCACTTAACATTTTAACAAAAGTTGCTTAATGCGCAAGACATTTTTTTGGTGTGCAAGCCATTTGAAAAGGCACAGTGGGAACGCGGAATTGTCTTTGCATCGTCACCATGGAGCAGCTATTGGCTGTGTTGTCTCATGACAATGACTCAATTTAAAATCAATTAGTCAACTTTGAAACTTGATAAAGTTGAAGTCACTTTATGAAAATGTCCCGCGATACCAACCATGGATAACAAAGCCAAAACAGTACCGTTGGCTTCGGATATTTTAACCGAAATATTATTTGATTAATCTTCAATTATAGTTATACCTAATACTGTTGTGGACTTCTCTCCTGGAGCCACCGGTTCCTTGTCTTTCTTCTTTGTTTGGAACCTCAGGCCGGGATTCTTTACAATGCTACATATGAAAATGGATTTTTTCTCTAGTGGAATGTTGGGTGTCCTACACTATGAATTTGTTCATCAAGATCATGAAACAGCTGACAACTCTGCATTGGACTGTAGTAGGGTCAGGACTAGAGCTGATAAAGAAAGACATTATAGCCTTCAAGCAAGGAAAAATAGCTCAAATAATCATGCATTTGACAGATTAGATTGGGTCAAAGCTCAAAAAACTGAAAACACCAACAAGAATCTAGCTAATCTATCTCCGTTATATAGGCCAGATTCATTCCATCCCATCCGAAAGGGAATTTTCTCTTGCATTACCTGATCATGCTGAGACCTTTCCTTACTATATTTGATTTTTTTTTCCTATTCTGTTGGATTTTCCAATTTGGTTTTGGCTTCCTACTACTTTGAAATATGCACCATAGACTATAAAGAATAAATATTGAGGATGTGTGAAAGGGCTATTCCGATTTGCTATGGGGAAATAAATAGTGGTTTCTTTTTCCCACCATTCGTGGCCGCTCTTCAAAGACAATGATAGCCAATTTCTATGTTGATGCAGCCCATGGGTTTGACTGCTTATCTGATTCTAGAATGGTGCAACGCATGATCAATCACGTTTGTGGTTGAGGCATTGTGTGAATGCAGTTAAAAATTCGAACTTCTCTAACTTGAAACTACAAAGAAAATGCAATGTAAATTCAATCGTAACGATATTATTTTAACACTTAAACTGTAAAGATGCTATTTAAATATATTTTACCAGTTTTTTTTACCCATGTCATGCACGTACGGAATTTTTAAATTATATTTTTATAACTTAAAATTTTAATTTATATTAATTTTATATTATATATAAATAAATATATATATTTATAACAATTTATAATTTGTAGTGCAAAATTACAAAAATTGCAAATATAAAAATTATTATAAAAGAATTCCAATAAATATTATAAAAGCTTTGAATTATAAAAGTAAAATTACATACAAATCTTAATAAAAAAGTTAATCTCTACTTTACAATTACATACACTCTTAAAAGTATATATTATTTTAGTATGAAAATTAAAATTTATACATGTGACATATCATGAAAGATTTTTTCATATTTGATTTTAAAATTTTATCATGTCAAACTTTTGTGATAAATATCTGATCGCTTATCTTTAATAAAGAAGAAAATATCGATTGTAAGAAAAAATCATAAATATATATTTGATAATTATTTAATTTTAAAATTTTAATTTATCCAAATTTAATTTTAAATTAAGATAAAAGATGTTAATATAATTTTAAAAATAGATATATGTGTAATTTTAAATTAAGATAAAATATCTTTCTCTTTTATTAAAAATCATAGAAAAATAAATATAAAAATATTATTAAATAACAGTGATTCAATCATAAATTTTATTTATTTAAATTTTTTAAAATATTAATTTAGATTGTGTGTGATTTTTTATAATTACTAAGTTTTAGAGATTTAACCTTTAAAAATCATTTGAAATTTGTATTTCATATAAATGAGTAAGAGTAAGATATGCGATACTTTTTTTTCAAGTTTAAATTAGGATAAAATTTATATACATTCAAAAATTTTGATAAATGTAAATTTTGAAACTTTAAAATTTTTAAAAATTGAATAATTGATTGGATAAAATTATTTAGAACTATCTTACATGTTAATAATATAAGTTATCCACCTAAACATTTACATAAGTAAATTTTATCAAATTTCTATGTATGTTGTAATATAATATTATATATAATATATGATTAGATTTAATAATTTAAAATATGATAAAATAATATGATACGAATATAATATGAATAAAAAATATGAATGTGATAGTTTAAAATTTTAGTAATAATTATATATGAGTTTAATAAAATTAAAATATATGTATTATATTTTTATATTAATATGAATTATAATATATAATTTTTATATAAAATATAATATATATAAAATTTAATATTTTATACGATATTTTGATTTATATTTTATGTAATTGGACACAAAAACCGCATTTGATGCATATGATTCCATTGCAGGAATCCAATCATTTTTTTTAATATATTTTAATATTTTTGATATTTTTATATAAATTTAAATTTTTTATATAATTTTTTTTTTTCATTTCTTCAATCATTTATGTGTGCCGCACGCATGAAACTAGAGGAAATTTTTATGTTCTCACAGTTGAAGAAATTATTCTCTTCTAGCAAGTCATCTGGAATAAGAGACTTTTTGCGTGAAAAAAGGTGAAAGATGTTTGGTCCTGTAGAAATTTATAGTTGACAATTTCATTAATTTTTAGAACACGTGTAAACTCAGTCTCTTCCACACCCAAAAACACGGCATGGCACAAGCCTCAACAATCCACCTCGTGCCGTGCGTGAGTTTTATTATGGTCCTGAAAGTTTCTAGAGTGACGATGGGGTCGGTTCGGTAGAAGTTGTAAACAAGTGCATTAATATTTAGATTCTAATTTTTTTTAATAATTTTTTTTATTGATAGATGATTTGTAAATTTAAAAAATTTATAAGTAAAAATTTAATGAATCGGTATATTTTAATTGAATTGATAATTTAATCTGATCACAAAATAAAATAAAGAAAAAACTTAATCTGAATTCAGTGCTTCGAATTTAGCAAGCTCTTATTCCATCATCAACAGCCAATTTACAGAAGGCCCAAGCCTCTTAATTTCAAGGGAAGAATCAGGGCTAGAGAAAGATCAAATATTATACAGATTTCTTGGTACTTCTGTTTCTTCCTTGTCATAACTTTTTTACATCATAACAATAAAAATACAAGACAATGAAGGAAGGGAAAATAATTCGACAATCCTTCTCTAAACCCATCATCAACCTAAGTTTTTTTGGCCAAAATCACTTCTGCTACTATCTCTTATTTCAGAGTTATAGACGAGAAGGCAGCTCTCTGGCTGCTGCTGATGTGGCTTCAGTTGCTGCTTGGCTTGCTGCTGAGACCAGTAGGCGTGTGCGCTTAGGACCCTGTCCAAGAGCTCCTGGGGCATCGGCTCTCCCCGCCTTTGCTGCGGGGATATTCTTGCCGTGTGCACTAGCGTTTTCCACTTATCCTGCACGGTTCCAAAATACATACCATCACAATTCACAACCACGTGATAATGCTTTTTGATCTAATCATCAAGAAGAGTCAAGCCTAGGAAAAACAACTCATGCTGTTTGTTCACTCTCCCCAGAGAAATATCAAATGCAGCAGGAAGATTCAACTAAGCTAAAATCTAAAGGAAAAAAGTGGCATTGGGTCACTTGGTAAAAGGGATAAACAAATATATTGGGAGAAATAGTGCGAGATTAGGATTCAAAAGATTCCTTGTGGGGTAGTTTTTAATTATACAGATAAAGCTACACAGTTGATAAAAGCTTGTAATGGCTGTCTAATCATTTACCTGTTGTACAAGCAACTATGCGCTGGAAAGGCTGAAACAGATTAAACTATGTTGCCTGGTGGTTCCAAGACATAAAGTGGACTGTTTGAATTTTAATGCATCAGGTTTAAAATAAAAGCAGTTGGGCAACAAACAAATAACCTAATAAAAGTAATGAAAATATGACAGGATATAAGAATTCAATTAGAAGAAAAGAAAGCTGATTTATCAGCAGATCAAGTAGAACTTTTAGAAATTAGACCAAAATCTGAACTATGAGAGAGAGAGGGAGAGAGGTAAGAAGAGAACATAAGAAATAGTTTTGCACCAACTATATGAAAACCAAGAGAATTTTTACTTACCTTCAAATCCACATATGTGCGATGCTTCACGTTATCAAAAGCTCTTAATTTAACATCACGCCACCTGCAGATTAATAAAACCATTAAAATTCTGGCCATCATAGCTTAGGGGATGTCTAGTATAACCACACAATAGGCCAGTTGTTTCTAAGTTACATCCAGCACACTCCTACATGTAAAGGACAGGAGTGGTGGGCAAAGAAAACAGAATTTTAAGTATCTTCAGAGCATATATTTTCCCCTAGAGCAGCTACTGAGGCCAGGATTTATACAAAATTCCGATTGGGTATCATGCTGAATCAATTTGAATACTAGCAAAGTAGCCAATTTCAAAGACTCGACCACATCTCAACAGCTCCTCAGTTTCTTCATTAGGTTCAAACATACCTTCCAGTTCCAAGAATCTCAACAGCCTGAACCAGAGTTTCAACTTCAGCAACAGAGAAAGGTCGACGAATTCTACGCTGCACAACTTCAGAATACTTAGATTTCCTATGAGCTGGAACCACAGCTTGTGCTTTCATAGTCATTGCTGGCACAGCTACCAGGGCTTTAGAATCAGTTGCGCCTTTGTCAAATGACATGTCAGTAGGTGAGGGTGCAGAATCATGATCACTCTCAACAAAGTTGCCCAAAATAGGCATGTGAGGCTCAGGTGAGGCATCACAATTAACCTGATTACCTAAACCGGAAGTTGCTGGATATCTAGCAACAAAAAGTATTAAATCATAAACTGAATCTGAAGAATAACCAAATAAGTCTTAATTGATTTGATAGCCTAGAATGTTTGAGAGAGATAGGAGTAAGAATCTTGAATTCTAACATGTAAGAGCTAAATATCTGATGGACCATGGTAACTATCATGCAACAACTTTCCATGATCAACAACAAGCTTCATGCATCTAATCCATGCAGCCTCATGAAACATAATACTGTTATCAAATAAAAAGTCAGCCTCTTATTCGGGGCTGCATTTAGGAGAACAAACTAGATCCTAGAAGATCATAGCTCCAATAATTGCTAGCAATTGCAACATTTTCCTTTTTTCCAAAAAAAAAAAAAACCACCTAGTGAGACCATATTTTAAACCATTACATAAGTGTAGATATCGGCTAAACTCGTAAAACTATATTTATTACCTAGCTAGAGGTAGAGGGGTATCACAGGGAAGCATTATTGGAGAACCTCCAGGACATAAAGATGGGGAATTTCGTGAAGGGTTAGGCTCCAGGCTAAAACCCAGAGCATCCATCTGGTTATCACAAGAAATCCCCATCTGCAGCAGAGTTTTATTGTCATCTCTAACCTTCTTTCCTTGAAGAAGTACACCAACACGCAATCCACCTCCAAGTATCGCTGTCACTGCCTCCATGACAGTCCTCTACAGATCAATTTGACATCATAAGGAATGCTAATGAACAAGCAACAAGTAGAATTACAATTTACAATAGACACTACCCAAATGGGTGGTGCTGCCAGAAAGACATAAACACACTTGCACATAGTGAAACTAATAGACATAATTCTTCAAGGTCCTCACGTAGCAAAATGCAATAAGAAAATCCAAGATAGCTCCATTAGCCAGTATAAAAAAAATTAAAAGCCAAAAATATCTCTAAGCATTCTGCTGCCAAATACCAACATTCGACTAAAATGAACAACAGCCAATCACTTATAACACAATTATCAGAATCATAGATCATTATACCTTCAATGAACCAACAGTAGCAGATTCTGGAATTTCAATAAACAATTCTGGCACCCTGAAAGATTTGATCCTAAGCTTCACTGAGTAAAAGGAAAGACATCTTGATGTAAGAAACTCTTTGAATGTCAGACACCAATCAAGTGAAAAGAGGACATATGAATCACTCCATTAAAGCCTCCCATACCGTGAGAATCCCTAGAGTGAGATTTGTGTTGGTCTGCTAGTGAAGATGATTCTCCAGTGACTCCACAAAGATTTAGAATGAGTTAGCAAAATACTGCTGTTAGCAATAAACACCAAGACAAGAATATAATGGCTAGAGATGAAAAGTATGCAAATCACCTCCATGCTTCTTTGAATATACACTGGAAGCATTTCCATTGATTCTCTTCTCGGGTGAATAAGAAATGCCCTCACTGCTGATTCCTCCATCCGAATTTGACACTGAGCTACAGTGTAAAAACTTCCTTTTTTTGAAAGGGTAGTTTCTTTCATATCTTAAATGCCTATCGCAGTAAGCAGACTTCAAATTCTCATCTGAAGGATCAACATATCCATTTCATTAAAATATTACACAGTTGTCAATATCCTATTTTAACTGGTACCAGACAATTTTCTCAAAGTTGCATTGATTTTAAATACAAGAAGCCACATACCAGAATTGGAATACGTCACATCCTTCAATTTTGGAGCTACTTTCCAGTACTTAGAAGACAGTATCTTCCTTATTCTTCGGTCTCCAATACGAGGTGTTGGCCTAAATGATTTTTTTATTGGGCTAGGGTGAGTACAACCTGAAGACTTTTCGTCATCATCTCTACTAACTACATTTACATCATCCCGTTTTGCAGGAAAAGAACTAAGGGGATTGTGGTCCCCACATGAACATGACTTACCACTACTGTCTGAACTAACTAGAGCGGGAGGTTTACCATCCACGACTACTGGATCCTCTAAGGGGCATGTATCAGCCAATTCTACAATGGAAACCTTATCAGCTCTATCCAGCTCCTCATCTATCAGCCCTTTAATTTCAGACTCTGGTTTAATAAAATCACCGGCTGTCCCACACACAAAGGAACCTGTCTCTACCTTACAAGACAAACTTCCCATTTCATTCTTGATTTTACCATTCATCAACTTCTGAGCATCAACTCTTTCTGAGCAATCAGAAGTTGATATAACAGAGGCAAATCCAAAATGGGCATCATTTTGAATGCTTTGTGATTTCCTAGAACTATAGTTTGGATCATTGGTTTGTAAAACAAGTTCAGAAACCAATAATTCCCTATCAGTGCTGTCTTGTTTGCAAGTTTCTAGCTTCAATGACCGATCCCCATCCCGCCTTTCCACTTTTACAGTATTTTTCCCAACTGCAGACTGATCTTCAGCACTCAATTTATTACTAGAAGCAGGAGTACTTTCTTTATCTAGTAAAAACTTTCCAGCTACAGTAGCCAGTAAGTCAAATGCACTTATTTGATCATCAACTCTCTTTCTAAATGGAACCCTTTTCTATAAAAAAGAAATAATGGTAGTTATTTAAAATAGATCAGTGTTTTTGCAAACAGAACAGGAAAGAGAGGTAAACAATATATTACCCTGGCTGATCTGGTTGCTCGCGGAATAGCAGGCACCTGATAGCCATTGAATCCATAGTCTAACCTCTTATGCAACACCATATCTCAAAGATCACACCACAAAGAACCCATCATATGCAATTCACCAGCATTCTTAAATCAATTTCCAAGAGATACAAGTATATGTCTCAACTAAGGTTAGACCCTGACAAGAGATGAATGCAAGAGTTAATCAAAATGACATAAATTGAATCTATAATCAACAGTAAAAGCCACTACCATTTAGGAAATAAATTAGAAAACAGAAAAGGAAATTCAAGGCACGACAAATGATCAAAGTACAGAAAATTTTCCTTCTATGAGAAAATAGTAAAAAAATAAATTAAAAACACATAACAAAATAAAACTCATATGCCAATACCAAGCAAAGGGCAACCCTCTAACTAATAAAAAGTAATTACACGTAAAAACATCTATATATCAAAAGCCACTGTATTTGGATCCACATCCAGTCAGCCACAAACAATCAAAATCGCTAGCTGTGCTTATGATTGTACATCTAACTCCATCTATTCACCCCCCCCCCAAAATAAAAAAACCTACAGTGACTTTAACACAATTGTCAATAAACCCAAAAGCAAAGGGCACTGACTCAATCCTGTAATTATAACTTCAAAAAGATCCACATGAGCTGATGAAAAATGGAAAATCCAAACCACCATCAACCCCCCACCTCCAATAAAAAGAAAGGGCCTTCTATGAAACTTAATATTTCAAAAACCAAAAAAAATCTTATGCATCAAATAAAACCATAAATCTGAGAAATTAAGAAAAACATTGAAAAAGAAGAGAACTGATCGAGACATTTAAAAACCAAAAATTCTCTGTTCAAAATATCAAAATTTTCCAAATTCAAAAGAGAGAACGGGAGAATAAATGAAAGAGAAATTAGCAAATTAAACTTAAAAAGAAAAACCCTTAAACCACCAAAGATCAAATCCCAGACAATTTTGCTTTTAAGAAGATCTAAAACCCTGAACAAAAATCCATCTCGAAAAACAAAAAAAAAATTATAAATAACTGATAAAAAGAAAGAATCTTTGATCCTGTCTTCGGCTTTTCCTATAAAGTGTCTCAAAAATCCCAGATCGAATAAGTTATAAACCAAATTATCGAAAACAGAAGAATTTAACGTTAGAAAGAGACAAAATTTAAGAATTTTCAGAAGAAAATTGACAACAGAGAGACAAAAGGTACATGCATTTGAAAGCTTAAAACTAGTAAGCTAAAAAAGATTAAAACGTTGGGGTCATTTAACAACTTTGTCTCGAATTACCAACCAAAATCCAATTTTCCTTCCACTTTCTCACCATTTCTCGGCAACCAAACACAAAAGGACCCACCTTGACCAAAAAAAAAAAACACACATGAAAAATATTAGAACTTTCTGGGAATTCGCTACGGAAAATCAACAAAAAATCGATTTTCTCACCTCTAAACAATGAAATGTTCGCTCAAAACACGAAATTCGCAGCTAAACGTAAGATCGCAGAAAGAACTAACAAAATTGAAAATTTTCTTCCCAGTAGGAAAAAACAATACTCTCTTCCATTTTCTATCCCATATTTTCCCGCGAAAACAAAAGGGGAAGGTTTCTCTGTGTATGTTAAACAAAAGCCATTTGGGATTCTCTCAAAATTCTTAATTCAAAAAGAAAATAATTTATTTTCTCTTTGTTTTGTCACTGATCGCCAAAACCCTCTGAAAATCACCCAACTTCTGCTTAAACCCCAACACTTATACCAGACCCCAGGTTACCGGACCTATCGGTATTCACCATAAACTTCACCAGTTATGACCGGTAGGAAGGAACAATCTAGTCCGATGGCAAGGATGAAGGATCCAATCAGGTCACATAAAGGACAAATTCGTCAATTAACCACATGGTGGAAGATAAGCATGTTACTTTCCTTTTCTTCGCAGAAATTTGTGGCTGTATTTTATTTCTGTATTAATACGAGTGCCACGTAGGAAAATACGAATAATCCTACGTGGCAAAGGAAAGGCGGTCATTGGTCGCTTTTTGGTCCTTGTTATCGACAACGTTGTGGCTGATCCTTTTTTAGAATTTTTTTTCCAAACCATTCTTTGACGGCGATAAAGGAATCTCCGTTAAAATTAACGCGGAGAATCCAATGCCGTTAAATTAGGGGAAAAGAGTTTATGGCGGGTCCTACATCAGTGGTGGACCCCACATACAAATTTTGTCCTTAATAGCGAGAAAATAAAAAATAATAATTTCAGCTTCTTGATAACTTGGAAAGAATGGGTGACACGTGGCCAAAAGGCAGTGGGTAAGCAGTACAGAGGTTCTATTCACTCGGCGTCAGTTTAGAAAAAAAGAGGGCGAAGAATGGCACAGGCGAGAGAGTTGGTTAAGAATCTAATGCGGATGTTGCCAACGTGAAATCTCAAATCCAAGAAAATCAAGGCATAGGGCAAAGATGCATGACAGTGGTTGTATAAACAACAACAACAACAACAAAGGCTGGTTTGCCTTGGAAGCCATAGCCGGCCCATGGCCATGGGATATTACGAGACACAGAGAATTGCTTTGGTTTAAGGCAAAAAGTTAAAAAAATAATAAATAATAAATAAAAGGCTCCCGAGAATAGAAAGCTGGAAAAGGGCAGCACTTTTTGGTTGTTTTATTCAAGAAATCTGTCCCAAGGCTGATTTAAATTACTGGGATTTTCAGATACTTCAATTCAAATGAAGAGAAATCCTTTGAAAAATCCCCATTTGTCACATCGTTTGCTCAGTCGAAAACCAAAGAAGCCAACTGAGGGTGAAACTGAACAGGCAATGTGAGGTAGGAATAGGGTGTAACAGGGAATTCGGTTTGATTTTGTAGGTAATATATAATATTATAAATTTATAAATTTAAAATTAATTTGATTCGAATTAAATTTTATCGATTTGATTTAATTTAATTTTTTTATTTTTATATATTATTTTAATAAAAATTTTAATATATTTAAATAATTATTTTATAAAAATTTAAAAATTAATAAAATATATAATTCAATTTAATTTAATTTTTTTATTTTTTATATTTTAATTCAAATTTAATATATATTTAATATTTAAATTTAATTCGAAACAAATAAAAATATTTAATCTAAGCTACATCAAAATTTATAATTTTCAATTGATTTTTAATTTTTCGATTTTTTTTTCCCTCTTCCCTCCTGGTGTCCATCTGACAAATGATTGGTGTGATTATTCTACAATTAATTCACCAGCCTATCTATCTAAAACACATTTTGTAATTTTGTTTACTATCTTATGTTAATTACAAAAGTTTTGCTACTCTCTTAAAATGGAGCAGATTGAATGGCAACTTGACAGAAAAAAAAAAAAAAAGTTGGTGAAATGTAAAAAATATAGGATAGGAGAGAAAAAGGACATCATGTCATCAATGAAAATGGTGTGAGATTTCTTGACGTGAAAGCAATGATCAAAACTCATGTCGTCAATGAAAATGGCGTGAGGTATAAAATCTTTTTACTCTTGATTTTTCTTAAGTAACATCAAAAATAAAAATAAAAGAAAAAAAACAGCTTCCTGCGCAGCCCAAGAGAAAATTCTTTGCTCCAGAGATCTAAGGACATCCACTATGGGATTCGCGTGTCTCCTTGTCAAGCCTAGCAGAGTCACAGAGTGAGAATCACATTTAACGTTAAAATTTTAAAGCGAATAACATTTAATTTTTTGATAATTTTAGGGTTAATTTTTATAATATAATATTTAATTTATATTTAATTTTTAATTTTTTTATATCATTTATGAAAGATTCATATTTAATTTATCAGATTTATTTAAATTTAAAAATTTTATAATTTTATTATATAAAAAATATATCGTAAATTTAAATTTTTATTTTTATATATCATAATAAATTTTTAAAAAATCTTAAGATAGAAGTGTCACGTAAAATTTGCAATGATAATAGTTTTTGGGGTTGTTTTGAGGTTTATTATGAATTTATATCTACTATTAAATAAAAAAAATGGTTTTATTTAATGGATGAGATGTATTGCAATCAAGATTACCCCTTAATTTTTTATCGTTAATTTTTATTGACTTCATTTGAAATGTTTACATGCATTAGCAATTGCAGTGTTTTTGGATTCGTCTTGATTGTTGAATCTGTTCCAAGTTTGGCGAGTTCGCTAGTTATTTAGATGCTGTATTACGATGTGAGCTGAAGCCCGAAAGGAATGCTTTTGTAATGATCTCGAGCTAATTGTAAGCAGGAATGGGGCTTTTGGAATTTACACTGGTGTAATTGGCCGGAATTGTTGATACATTCGGTGATTAGAATTTGATAAAATCATAGATTGGTTGACACTTAGAATACTAATAAGGTATAAATGAATAAAGCTTTCGATGAATTATTCGTGAATATATTCGATTTTTATTCGTAAATTTAACAAATGATATTAAATAATATTTTATATTCATTTATTAAACAAATTGAATATAAATAAAAATCTATTTAATTCATTTATATTCATGAATAAAATTATTTAAAATTCATTCATTTATTGTTCGTTTGTTATTTATTTATAATAATACTAATAAAATTATATTTTTATTTTTTACCCTAATTATATTTTAAGATTCGTTTTTGTTTGATTGAATTCGTTTATATTTGTTTATGATTTATTTGTTTAAATTTATTTGATTATAATTTGTTTATTGTTCATAAATATGTTCATTTATATATGTGCGTAAATATGTTCATTTAATGTTCGCGAAAGAACTCGTTTTCTTTAATTAAACCAAACAAGAATCGAATACAAATAATTTACTATTTAAATAAACTAAACATGAACAAATAAAGTAACTTTTTTGATAAATATGAATCGAACATAAACATATCTAAAAATAAATGAACAAACCATAAATATACATTCATTCGTACATGTTCGGTTTATTAAGACTCTAATCACTAATAATTCTTTGGCATGTATTCTGGTATACAGCTTCGCCCACTCTTGAAATGCTTTGTATCATCAATTTCCCGAAAACAATGAGAAGCTTTCTTACTTGAGAAATGCCAATAGCTATTGCTTTTCACGTTTCATCGTGCAACATTTTGGTTTTACTGATCATCAAGCTAGTTTTTTATCATGGTATATACATGTTTGATTTCAGTCTTACCTTCATAAATATCCCACTGAATTTAGCTGTTCGTGGTACAAGCGCCCGATCGTAATGAAAACATTGTTTTTCTTGCTTCAAATTATCTGTTGCCAGCGAACTTTCTGGTTAATATCATCTTAATGCCAAATCTGTATGGTTTTTGGTTTTGTTCCATGACATGCACCTCAAATCATTGTTGTATGAAACTTTAGATGTTTTCTTGAGATATTCTTATGTTTTACAAAGCAGCTGAATGAAGATCAAAAAGAGGCCTACCATCCATGCTGATGCTCAAAGCTTCACACTTCGGGGCCAAAAATATCTCTTCCTGGAAGCAATCTCAAACAACAAAAGATAATAAATTACTTTTTCAAAGAAAGATACTAAAGTCTTATATACAAATATTTTTAAGAGTCTCATCAGTTAATTCTACACCATAGGTCCAGCACCAGCAGCACATTTAATTGTAACAAAAACTTCTGCTGAGAACCTCTTATTTTATCCCTCAAAGAGAGTGAAAATCGAAGAGGAAAAAATTATGCTTCTATAGTTCTGTTAACAGTTGCAGATGAATCACATCCGCCTCCGACTTCTACCTCTTCTTGAGACGAGATATACATGGCCATATACCTATCTTTTCCCGATTCTCGAGACAGGTTGCTCCACAATGACAACCATCACCTGCATGAACAAAAAACCCTATGCGTATGCATGAACCAAAAACCCTATGCGTATGTCCTGGGAAAATAACTGAATGGTTTTCCCCAATCATACTCCTCATAGAGAGTTTTTATCATATATAAATCATAAAATTATGAAAAGAAATCGACCAAAATGGCATGCTGATTTAAGTGATTTAAGCACTGAACAACTAAGAAACATAGTGTTGAATCAGCTAAAGAAGTTATGATAGTAAAGCATGTCCAATGAAGGCATTTCTTACAAACCATCAAGATACCTAGAATGAAATGATGACAGCAAAGCTCACACATATTCTCTTTCTAAAACTTGACTACCTCCTTATTTCCTCACTTAAATCAGTCAAAAAAGAAAACATGATTAGAATATACTATTCGGGTATAAAATATAAGCAGACTACACTACCTCAGCCTTGGCACGAAACTCTAGCGTGCATTCACAAACATGACACTCTGCTCTATGGGGGGAATTATTGAATTTTTCTGATTTGAGAAATGCAAATACCTATAGGCAAATGCTAAAATCAGTTAAGACTGACTGGAAGCCTAATCGTGGTTATGTTTGTAGGAGTGGATCCAATGTCTAGGTCTAGAGATAAGTTGAAGAGAAAAGAGGGACATAAAGCCTTCTGAGTTCTGAGACATAAAACAAATGCAAGCTAAGACTCACCTCCTCCCCACAATTCGGGCATACCCCCTTCAGAGCGACCAAGTCAATTCTCCGCAGCCTTTGAAGCACTCGAACTGGAGAGAGTGTGATTTATTTAGTACGATTCTCGGGTCAGTAGAACAAAATTCTTTTTAAGAAATTGATATCAACATATTTACAGATGACAATAAAATTTTCAACTTATTTTTTTATGATTTAAAGACTTACCCAACCCAACTGAAATTATTCAACATCAGAAGTCAATATTCTAAATCAAACACTTTTTTAAAGATTCTATAGTACACTTCATTCTGTGGGTAGTCAAAAGCAGGATAAATATTGCTTTGTTAGAAGTCTTACAGCAGCTGATGCAAGTGGATAGCCAACCACCAACCCAATGCCCATGAAGAGAATGCCGTTAACAGTGGCAAGAAACTCAAAATTAGATGCTTGGCTACCACAGGAAATATCCGAACTGAATGGATCTTGATATGCTAGACTAATGGTGTAAATGATAGGCACAAGACACAATGTACATCCAAATGCAAAAATCAGGATCCATATGCTTGCTAATGCCAAACCTTGAGATAAATCTTCCTGCCCTACATCCAGAAGCTCAATATTCAACCAGAGAAAATACAAATACAAAAGAAAAGACACAACTGCACATACACCATTTTCGAAACAACAAAACCCTAAAATGGATCAAAAATCAAACTTCGCAACACATCCAGCACACAGAGAAAGTATTATATAAGACCTTACAACATCAGCTATAAAGCTGAACTAATCAGGAGCAACATCATTAAAATTTGTCATGTCCAAACCAGTTTACTAATCCGTAATAATATGTCCCATCCTGATTTGTTGATCACAGTGCTGATGCACAACGTAGATAAAGCATTGAACAGATCATAAAAAACAAAAACAACAATGATATGCAAACAATTACAATATGATTCTAAAGAGAATTACCTCTGCATCTGCATAAGTAGATTGTTGCCTTATACTGCAACGAGGATACTTAACAACCGATTTTGAACCATACCAACGTAGTTTTAACTGCATCAAAAAATCATTCACAATATATCAGTCAAAATTAACTCATAAAAGATTAAAGATTTACATGAAGTTAGTTACCTCTACTCTATCAAACATGTTATCAACTATCAAAGGCTCCCCACTGTAATCAGCATCCAGGGCCTAATGATTTACACAAACAAATTTCGATTAATTCAATTAGAATTTGGTTAATTTTTAAAATAAAATTAGAGAAAAGCGATAAAGTTTCTTATTTGGAGATACAGAGCTCCTAAGGTTTCTTAACTGGCGGTTTCGATAGGGCCAACGAATATGCAAGAGGGACCCTCCTCCTTGGCGGTAGGGAATGGCTTCTGGCCGGGAAACTCGTGACCCGAACTGAAAACGGAGGTTTGGTCAGGGTGGCGCCGGATAAGGGTAGCTTTACGACGGTGGATCCGATCACGAGAGGTCTAATGGAGTGCCACGTGCCAGCCATGAACTAGGGCTATGCAGAAATCGGGTTTCACTGAAAAAAACCGATCAAAAGCCGATATATAAGTTAAATCGGTTTCAGTTTTTTCGATTATATATATTAAATCGGTTAAGATTTTGATTAAATCGATTTAAGCGGACAGTTTTTTATTTCAAGATTACGAATCGAATCGATCGAAAAAATCGATTAAATTTTATTAAAATATTTTATATTTTTATTAATATAATTTTAATATTCTTTTAATTTTTATCTTTTACATTTGATAAAAAGATGGTCATCACCGGCTCATCTTCACCCACGCAATCCCAAACCCCAAACTTAAATCGTCAGACACACTCACCCTCACGGCCTCACCCTTTCAGTCATTTCTCGATCAATCATTGGGCACTGGCTGCCAATGCAAGTACTCAACCCTCCCTAGCTTTGTAGCTCACCTAAACACCCATTCGGTCACTTACTCATTCTCCGAAAAATATATCGAATAAACACGTCGAGAAAATTATATAAAATATCAAAAATATTTTAAATAATTTCAAAAAAAAAATTTTAAGTGATTATTAAAGGTATTTTTGATAAAAAAATTATTAAAGATATTTTTGATCAAAAATATTTTTAATAATCACTTTAAATTTTTTTCTTTAAATTTTTTTTATAAAATTATTAAAAATATTTTTGATAAAAAATATCTTAAATAATTACTTCGTAAATTTTTATGAAAAAATTATTAAAGATATTTTTTATCAAAAATATTTTTAATAACTTTTTTTAAATTTTTTTCAAAATTATTTAAGAATTTTTTGATAAAAAATACCTTGAGTAATAATTTTATAAAAATTTATGAAAAAATTATTAAATGCGTTTTTTGTCAACCTCATTAAATTTTGATTATTTAATGTATTTTTTATAAAAGATACATTAAATACTTATTTCAAAAAATTTATAAAAAGATTATTAAAAGTATTTTTTGTTAAAAATATTTTTAATAATCTTATTAAAAAAAATTTTAAAATTATTCAAAACGTTTTTTATAAAAAATATTTTGAATAATTATTTCATAAAAATTTATAAAAGAATTATTAAATTTATTTTTTATCAAAAATTAAAACTGATTATATTGAAAAATTAGCTAAAACTCACAAGATTAAATCGATTCAAATTTTTTTAATTTTTTATTAGTATTCAATCTATTTGGTTTTATTTATAGATTAATTTGGATAAATAAATTTTCGAAAATTTTGAACTGAATTAATCAAAATTGCTCAGTTCTAATTAAAAGAAAAACTTGGTTGCTATTACGACTGCCGTGGCGAAGCGAACATTTGGCGTTTGGAAACCGGAAATGATATTGTGGCCGCTAAAAAGGCAAAAATATTTTGAAAGATTTGATTTTGATCTTCAAGTGTTTGGGGAGGGGGGCGGCGGCGTTGTTTGAGGGTTTGGGTTTATATAGGTTGATGGGGATTTTGACCAGAATTCCCCCAGCTTTGAGGTTGTGATGGCGAGCCTAAATATCTGATTTGCTTGGTTATGGATTTTAGCCTCAGCCAAAAGAAAAGATATTGTTAATGCGTCAGCCGGGAGTCGAACCCGGATCTATTGCTTGGAAGGCAATTATCCTAACCGTTGGACTACTCACGCTTTCTGATGATGTGCAACAGTGTTTTCAATAACTTGACTCAATTACCAACATTGTCATGTTCATGGATTCAGAAGTTCATTGCCCTTTCAGGCTCATTTTTATGGACTCTCCTGAAATCCCAATAAATGGTCGCTACCCCACATTTTTTTCTCCATTTATGTCTAGCTGCAAGCCATTTGACAAGATTAACTGCATCATAGTCTCTCATAAAACCATCATCATCCCAAAGGTAGCGACCAACAAACAAGGAACTGAAAATGTTTCCGAATTACAAAGGAAGAGAATGCTGAGGATAAAACTGTTGACTCATTTCCGATTGTCAAGAGCATAAGGGAAACAACCAAGCGTTCAGGGGAAGAGACAGGAACAAACTTGCTGCTCCATCTCCTGTCATGGAGAAAAGGATACGAGCTGGATCTGATTCTTCTTCCTGTTCAGGATGGTAAATATATCTATATCTATATCTATATCTATATATATATATATATATATATATATATATATACTTATATATAATATGTTCACAATCTCCCCATGAAATTTAACCAAGACTTGTTGAACAACTGCCAGTCGCTTAGTATCTGGGATACGTGTGAATGTGCATCAAACCTTGGCCTAGGAGCCCCTCTTATATATATATATATATATATATATATATATACTTATATATAATATGTTCACAATCTCCCCATGAAATTTAACCAAGACTTGTTGAACAACTGCCAGTCGCTTAGTATCTGGGATACGTGTGAATGTGCATCAAACCTTGGCCTAGGAGCCCCTCTTCCAAGTAATGAAAAGCTTTAATCATGAAAGATATTGGATTATTGAAGGCTAAACTATGAGACCTAGGAGTTGGGGATTAATTGGGCCAACTTGATGTAAAGGAACCGTAGAATCAAATCTAAACCCAATCCAAACTTGGTGGCCCCAAATTTGGGTCTGATGTGCTAGGTCTTTGGTTCATACAACGGTGAAACTGAAAATAAATGATAATTCAAAGGATAATTATGAAATTAAATGTTTGTAATGGTGCAATTGAAAATTAAGTTTTTTTTTTCTATCATGGTTTCTACTTTATAACATATGCTTGTAAATTTTAGTATATTTACTAAATGACATTTTTCAAATATAACTGTCTATTAAGCCAAGATTAAGGGAGATATGGATTTGAAGGGTAAGAACAACTATTCCATTCTTAAATTATTATCACCAAATTTACTTATAATTTACACATTAATTTCCATGGTTTTTTTTTTTTTTATGAAAATGAAACTTAAATCCAGCTTTAGATTGAAATCAAACTTCTAATGCACTATTTGAAAGCATGATTAAAAATTTTCATCATATTTGAATCTGCATTTTATGATTAAACTCTATTATGCTTCCAAATGGAGCTTAAATTGTCTTTCTTGTGTAATTAAAACCGACACTCTCCAAGTGTTACCTAGTATTAGCATAAAATTTTTTTAAGAACTTGTGTTTTTTTGTTGGTAACGAAACAGATTAAATATCAAGAAAATGTCTCAATCGTGATTATATAATGATATATATTGAATCTTAATTTGTCACTGTTCATTTAAAGAATAAATAACAATTAAGAAAACCAACCAAGATTTTCATTTGTCTAATAGAAAAATGGAAAGAGTCTCCAGCACCAAGCATTTGTTCATTAGCATTTGTATGTTTTACCACCATTGGCTTTGGGTGTTTTTATCTTGAATCTGTTGTTAACATTCATAAATTAAAACATCCAAAGAACAATGTTCCGACAAGTGTCGAACATGGGATCGTTTCAAAAAGATCTTTTGGTCAGAAACAGAGCCCAACTCACTACTATAATTCAATTTCTTTGGACAGTTTCAAAGTTATGCTTTCTTCATCTTTCCCATTTTCCTTCTGTTTCTTTTTTTTTTTTTTTTATTCTAGAAATCAACATGGTATAGAAAAAAACAAACATATATTCCATTTCCCTCCTCACCATTAATTATACAGCAGAACCAAAACATAATTTATTTTGCATATGATTAAAGTAGTAGTTATTTATTTAATATATTGTTTGTATGATTTTAACTGAAATATAACATATAATTACCGTGATAATGGGGAGGATTTGTTAAAGTCTCTAAACAAAGACATAGAAGAGAAGAGAGAGAATCCGTGTAATATCAGGAAACCAAGCAAATCTTTCTTTTTTTTTTTTCTAACTGATTCATTCACGTTTCCACATTGGAGCCCCCTTTATGTTTTTTTTTTCTTGTCTTTGGCATCCTTTGACTAAAAACCAAACACAAGTAACCCGAAAGAGTGAAGTTTTGATGTTTTTTTGAAGTGGAAAAAAAGTGGTCTTTTCTTTTTGGGTCTTTAAGATGGGGATGGATTCTGGGATTGAAATCAAGATGATGAATCCAAAGAAAGTAGACAATTTGGTGCAACTGGAGGGACCAGGTCACGCCATGTTAGCATCAGCAGCACCACAGCCATCCATGTCATCGCGGCCACCTGATGGACGGCGAACGCTTCAGCACCTGCAGGAACAGATGCACGGGCAAGGAGAGCAAGGACAAGAGTTGGTTGATTTTAAGCCGTTTAAAAAGTGGGTGCCTTGGATGGTTCCAGGCTTTGTTTTGGCTAATATAGTCGTTTTTGTAATAACAATGTTCATTAATGATTGCCCCAAGAACTCGGTTTCTTGTTTGGCAGGGTTCTTGGGAAGGTTCTCCTTTCAGCCTTTGAAACAGAACCCTCTCCTTGGCCCTTCTTCTTATACGTAAGTCTCTCTCTCTCATTGTACAAATGTATCTTCTTTTATCATGTCTTTTAGAAAAATTTAAGCTTTACAGGAAATCTTTGGGATTTTTTTTTTATTTGATGGAAATTATGGATTGGTTAAATGTGCTTTCACATTTACTTTCTCTTTTAAGATGTTTCTGCATTGTTTATTTGCTGGTTTGAGGTTGATAACGTAGCAGATGAAATAATGGTCGTGAAGTAGAATATGTGAAGTTACTCATAGAAAAGAAATTTCTGAGATTTGTTGTGCTGGAATGATCATTAATTTAGCTTCTAGAGAATGATTTTGGGAAATTTAAAGTAATAAATAAACAACTTGAAATTTGGCAACTCCATAAACTAAGCCGCGCTGGTTTTATACAGATTGATATATGAAATCTGTGGTCAGTCATGATTTATTATAGGCCACCTTTAGGAAGAAATCAATGGTCAGTTTTTGCAAGTTCTGCTTTAGTTATCTTCTTTGAAGATTATATAATAACTAAAAATTCTTAGGATGATCTCTTTTTCTTTATATACTGAAGCTGTTGAGTATGTATATGTAGGCTTCTTGTCTGAAAAATGTTATCCAAAGTCACCTCTGCATTTGTCTTATCTACATTTTCAGCTAGGAAAATATATTTGTCTGGTATTTTCTGTGGTTGTTAAATACAATTTCATGAATGACCTGTCCTGATGTGTTTTTTTTTTTTTTTTTTCTTCAGATTAGAGAAAATGGGTGCTCTAGAAGTGTCTAAAGTTGTCCATGGACATCAAGCATGGCGCCTAATTTCTTGTATATGGTTGCACGCGGGGGTTTTCCACATACTTGCCAACATGTTGAGTCTTGTATTCATTGGAATTCAACTTGAGCAAGAATTTGGGTTTGGTATGCATCTTATTCCCAGCCTAACTTTGTTATCATTGATGACATCAACCTGCGTAGCATTTACTGCTTAAGACTGACTACGCACTACTTCATTTAATCTTGGTGATTTACAAAATTGAGATGTGTGTATGGTAGATTTCTATGACTAATTACTGTCCTAGTTACCAAACTAAATTGGTCATAACATTAATTCATTTTCTTTTGATCAGCATATATCAGATTATAGCCAGTTATTATTTATTTCCATTTTAATTTGTGTAAAACTATTTGAGTGGTTGTATCAGGCCTTCAAATATATCACTCTACAGAGCTGCATTATCTTTAATTTTGTTTATTTTCTGCATTGAGTAAATCATCTTTGCAATAAACGTAAAATATTGCGAGCCCTTTAAAAATTGAATTCAACATCATCATAGCAAATGCATGCCTGTGTTGGCTAATTATTGCAGTTAATTTCAGATCACATTACATAATTTTAGAAACGAAGAACTTGGTTGAAGAAACATAGATTACAAACACGCACTAGAAAGAGTCTGCACAGCTGCTTAGTGGTTGAAAGAACATTCTGCATTTGTTGATAAAGGTCACATCCGGGGCTCGCGGTCAAATGTGTGTTTCATACGAGTTTGGACTTTGATATGCTTACCACGATAGTAGACAAGGGCTATTGATTGCAGTTAGGGGTGCTTGATTTAAGCACAACCACACGAAACCAACTGAGATGTAGTGCTTTCTTATGGCTTTTTTATCTCAGTTGGACTATGTATGCCATTAACTACAGCATCAATTACTCTGCTGCTGTTTTGCATACTGGGATAGCATTGACCTGCAGAACGTTACCGCTGCAATGAGTTAGAAACTTTCTAAGTTCCTGAAATCAGCATTCTTCTACGATAATGGGTAGAGAAGGATGGGAAAGAACCTCATGAACTTGTTTTTGAAAATGCTTCAATTTACTTATTGAAAAGTTCTTTTACTAGTTTAAAGGTATTGAATCTTAACTCCAGTTTGAAATCTTTCCGCAGTGAGAATTGGGTTGCTTTATCTAATTGCCGGTTTTGGTGGGAGTTTGATGTCATCTCTTTTTATTCAGACTGGTACATCAGTGGGTGCCTCTGGTGCACTCTTTGGTTTACTAGGAAGCATGCTTTCAGAACTCATCACAAACTGGACAATATATGAAAATAAGGCACGTATGATTTCATTCTTCAGAGTTTGTTACATCTGTGAGCAAATTATCTTACAGTTTCTGGTTTCTACGTGCAGTTAGCAGCGCTGTTGACTCTCATTTTAATAATCGTACTAAATCTAGCAGTGGGAATCCTCCCACACGTGGATAACTTTGCTCATATTGGGGGATTTCTTTCTGGGTTTCTCCTTGGATTTGTGTTTCTAATCCGCCCTCAGTTTGGATATGTTAGTGAGAAACATGTTCCTCTAGGATACATTACAGGTTCTCGAAAACCTAAACACAAACCATACCAGTATGTCCTGTGGCTCATCTCTCTGATACTATTGATCATCGGGTAAGTACCCAGAATAATAAAGAACGCATCTTCATGACCTTCTAAATGTATTTGAAGGACATTTAAACAGATTCTTCTCTCAAGCTACTTGATTTCTGTCACCATTCATTTGATCTCGTCTATTATTACTTCCAGAACCCCATGCTTCTATGTATAAACAACTGGAAGATTAATATACTTTTGCTGATGCGCAATCATTGAGGGAAGATTAACACAAGTTTCATAATTTTTTCCTAGATTGACTGTTGGCCTAGTTATGCTCCTTCGGGGGGTTAACTTGAATGATCACTGTTCTTGGTGTCATTATGTGACTTGCATCCCGACCTCGTTGTGGAGCTGCAAAACACAGAAAGTGTATTGTGAGGTGAGTGGTGCTGCTCCATTTTACTTATGCCTTATCAGTTTAGTTTCTTAATTTTTGTTCATTCTCAACCAGATTAAAGCATCGCAATATCTCAATATATTGTTATAAAGGGTCTTGCTAAAATGTACTATTCATCCCTTTAACCCTTTCTTTTAATCAAGTTGCTTGTCACCCATTAATTTGAACTAATATTTTCTTGTTCACGATAATTCTGCATATTGCTGGAAAATATGGACAGCTAATAGCTTCCATGGCCCTATATTCATAGTTGAGGGGTGAGAAAAAAAATCGATAAAATAAAAATTGATTCAAAATTATAGTGTTTGATTCATTTCAGATCATTTTTTTTTATTTGGTTCAAATCAAATTCAAATATTAAATGTGAATCGAATTTCGAATCAGGAGGTAAAAAATGAAAAAAAAACTGAACCGAACGAAATTATATAAATTTTTAGTTTTTATATATTTTTTAAATTTTTATAAAATAAAATAAATATTTTATATCAAAATTTACTTAAATATATTAAAATTTTATAATAATATATATAAAATAAAAAAAAAAACTTTAAAACCAATTAAATCAAATTGATCAATTCGAATCATATGAAGATTTGATTTGAATTTAGATCGAATTTTAAAACTTTTATAATTTTATATAATATTCAAAAAAATCAAAACCATTATTACTCCTATCACAGTCTTTATACTTTGTTCACTAGTTGAAAAGTAAATATTATTAATGTTTTCACTAATTTAATTGCAGTCGATCCAATACGAGAATCAACTGAATTTGACGTGCATAAGCAATGGGAAAAGCAACATCTATACAATATCAGGTGAAAACTCTTCCCAGGTTCAGCAGCTATGTACTAATCTCTGTAGTTGAGGCACAAGCATGTATAGGAGAAGATGAATTAGTAGGCAATACAATGATTATTGTTTCAATTGTATTTGAGAGGATTTGTCTTAAGCATTTCTTTTATTATTTAGATATTCAGAGTTTCTTTTATTCAAACAATAAAATTTTTTAATTCTATAAACGGGTTAAGACTTAAGAAGCTGTTATATATTCCACTGTCAAAAAAATATTTTTACTATATATGCCCTAAAAAATATGTTTCATCATGCTAATTCTGATAATTTTAAAATTTTCACTATCAATGAATTTGATCATTTCTATTTCAAATATTATCTTTATATTAACCTTGAATGTCTCCTTAATTTCCTTTCTATATTTGTTAATGCTAGAATCAGAATTCAATACTCCACTTGGTTGCTTAGGTTGGCATTTGGCAAAGAAAAAGGAATTAGTGGCCATGATTTATTCCAAACTTCTCCTCCAATTGAATAGGAACTATCAAATTTCTTGATGTCAATGAAAGATACAGAATCTTGGTGGTTTGGAAGAACATTATTGTTTATCTCTACCATTATTATTACCTTCAATTAATCTTACACCTCCCTTTCCTGGCTATCATCCTCTCTCTTTTATTTCCTACTTTTTTTTCTTTTAAAGGAGGTTGCAATTTAGGAATAAAAAAAAATTAAAGGTAATAAAATTTAAAACTCTTAATGTGTTGGATATTACCTCTATAAATGACATGAATCAACTGAGTTAAACTGTTTTAGGTTCTCCTTTCATTATATGTTTTTTTTTTTTTCTTTTGTGGGTTGGTATATTTAGCTCCTATGAATATTAGGAGAGGTAATTAAGTTGGTTGTTAGGGTAGTTGGTAGTTAAGTTGGTTGTTAGGGTAGTTGGTCTTTTCTCAATAGAAAAAAATGGAAAAGGAAAACAATAGTCCAAGTGATCAGTATATATAATTAAGCATGTACTTGGTGAAGGTAGCTAGGTTGGAACAGAGAAAAGATCAAAGATATGATGCCATTTTTGCTTGCTTGACAAACATTTTATTATTCATTCCCATGGAGATTGCTTAAAGCTGACAACTATCCCCCACAAGGGATGCAGAGTTTCATCAAAATACAATGCTTGGTTTTGGGAGAAAAAAAATTTTTGGTCCATACATCCAACCAACGGTTCGACAATGACTAGGCTAGACTCTTGATTGCCCAAGTTCATTATTGATTTTAAAATTATAATCATCGGCAGTTGATTCAAGTTCTTCAAGCAAATGGGTTTTTTGCAAAGAAAATTTATGACATAATGCCTTCGTTTTGGGACATAAAATCAGATCAAGAACAGCATGTTTAAGTTGTCCCTAAAAAGTAGGCTCTTTAACTTCCATCATTCATTAGGTTCAACACTCAAAAAAAAAAATTTTTTGCAGTGACAAAATGTGCCATTAACTCCAAAATCAATTATTTTGGATTAACTCGAAATCTCATATAAATACACATATCCTAAACTTTCCCGATACAAAAAGGTCTGTGCCATGCAAAACAGAAGCCCAAACCCACTTATTTAGGAAGTCTCGACATGCCACCTTTGGAGTCACAGGCGCGCACAGACAGATTGTTTTACTTTTTTTGTTTAGAAACAAAACATACTATTAACTCCAAAACTGATTAATTTGAGTTAACACGAAATCTCATATAAACATACACACATTTGAAACCTTCACGTTGTGGGAAGGCCCTCAAGCCTGTGTTTCCTTTGTTCAATTAATGAATCAGATATTCCTTTGGGCATGAGTATTTGGAAAGTTTGTGTCTGAGCATGTGCAAATGAAAAGAAGATTTGTATGATATAGAATGGAAGTTTAATTCAATTGATTTATATAATTATTTTTTAAAGATAACATTAATTAGATTTTAAATTTTAATTTTAATACTTACAGCTTTTATTTTTTTATCTCACCTCATTTGAAAAAAAGAAATGTACTAAAAGGAAAGGTGTAAATTTCCAAAAAGAAGATGACACCTTGCAGCAATTGCATGTGTGGTTCCAATGACTAGTCATGGAGCAATTGCCAAAAGTTTAACAGGAAGGAAGCTCAGATCTTGTACCTTCAATTTTTAATTGTAGCCCTTGTGAACAGAAGGATACCATTGCCCCTATTCAAGAACCTTAGACTTACTGATACAACTTTGAGTCCTTGAGACACTCTGATTTTGTGAGATATGAGTGCTTTTTTTTTTTTCAATTTTTTGGGAAAAAAATTTCTTTGAAATTAAGAGGGAGGGGGGTGTCATATCCGGTGAGTCATAGTCGTCAAAATTAGACAAAAGAGACGATGCATCAAGGGGGAAGATCACATGGAGTGAAGGGACCATAGACAAAGATAGGTGTGGGAGGCAACCCTTACCCCACATGCTAACGGTCATGTTATCCTTCTTCTCGCCCACATGCATTCGCAAGTATCTCAGTTCATCAGCTGCTACAAGTATCTCAATTTCCATGTCCTAACCCAACAGCTTTACGGCCTTTCCTTCTTCCTTCATCTCTTTCTCATATGCATGGGGACAAAACTTGTGAAATTCTCCCCTTCAAACGCCCTTTTCATGCTATCTTCTAACGAATAGTTCAAACAGATTTCATGTGATCGTACATTATATAATACTATATATATATATATATATATATATATATATTGAGTAAGATAAACATGAATCTTCCTTCCAACCCTAACCGTATCCACACATGAGAATGAAAATGTATCCGTATATTCGTATGACCATATCCATGTACTATTCAAGTACAAAAAATGCAAATGTTCGTAAATTGAAGGATATTAATACTTAAAATTTTTCATCTTCAAGGAAAAAAAAGGTTGAAAAATGTCCATTGAATGTAAAATTATTACAGAATTTAAAATTTTTAAAAAGTAACATCCAATTAGTTTAAAATTTTAATTTTAACATTTGTAATAATTTTTATATCCTTAAATTGCAATCTCTTTAATATACCAGTCTTTATTAACAAATAAAAAGTGCAACTACGATTCTTCAAAATTTCCCAAATGGAAAGTTCCGAATTTGCAAATTATGTACATATGTTTTCAAAGTGTTGTTGAATGTACAGTTTATTCCAAGGGGAATTTGGGATGTCCACATCTATCTTTAAAACAAGAGATTGAGTAAGGAAGAATGAACCAAGAGAAGGGATGAACAGGGCCATGGCATTGTTTAATCCAGTTGGGCAAATGGCAAAGTCATGACTCATGACCAAAGCCATCCCTATTTCCAGCAGCCAAGGCTTTATGATCTGAGGCACCCACAATTTTGCCTCATCTCATAAAGCTGGGTGGTTGTGGAATGAGAATTGAGAAGAGAATTCAATTTCCTTATAGCATTTTTCTCACCTAAAAAATTCATGGTGTTAGTTAAAAGTTTGGACCCAATATGAGCTCAAATTTTATTATTTTCTGCAACTATGTCGAGTCAATCTTGTTCTTCTTCTAATCTTTATTAATTATTTAATATTAATATCTATAGTAATTACATAATACTGAGTTCAAAGTTTAATTTAATTAATTTATATAATCATTTTTAAATGTAATATACAATAAATTTGAAATTCAAATCCTTTCATCTGTAAATATGTAACAATGCATCCCCGTATCTTACATTGCTATCCTTTTTGTACCAAAAATTTTTATAATGTAAGATTAAGAACAGCCTGATTTGCATGGTTTGCCCAATTATTATCAGATTCTTGGATTTACAACAAAATTGGATTTGGAAGCGGGTGTGTTTTAGCTCCATGGAGTATGCTATCCCTCAAAAAAGAACAGACAATAAGAGACACTGATACACACAAAAAAAGTATAATTACAAGAACTAAACAACAAAAAACAAAGTGATAATCAACAAGTTAATCATATCTTACATTGGAGATAAGAACAAAAGGAAATGGGTTATGGCAAATAGCAGAAAGGTTAATTTCAAAGAACATAGAGGGAAACAAGTAAGCCACACCAAACACTTTTTATAATAAAATTTCACTTGATCAAGACAAATGAATAAGTTGTTTAGCAATGAAAAATGTTGTAGATAGCATAAGAAATTATTTAAATAAGAAATATAACAAATAAAGAATATGGTATAATATGTCAACCCAAACTAATTTATTTAAATTTTTTTCCTAAAAGCCATAATATTAATTTATACGATATAAAATTAAAAAGTTTTATGTATTTTTTAATTATTAAATTTAATAAATTCAAAGATGAGATGGACAAATAAAAATAAAAAAATGATTTAGTTTTAAAATAAGCAAAAAAAAAAAAACTTATGCTACAGTCAAAGCAAATATTTAAATATTTAATTTTGGGCCACACTATCAGACCAAGCATTTTATGTGGACAAAAAAAAAACTGGCATTACTGTAACAAAACTATAACTTTTATCCCAAAAAAAATATAAAATTTTGCCTAAGAAAAAATAAAAAATTCAGAGTTATTTAGTATTTTAGTTTTTTTTTATATAGAAAATACATAAAGCTATAATATTTTGGTTACTTTGAAATGAAATTTATTTGCCTTCTCTAAAGCAAAATTGCGGAGTTTCTTAACAAAAAAAAAAAAAAGTGAAAGCAAATGAATCCATCAAGGAAAATGATTAGCAATCACATGGGTTGGGGGACTATGCGAGTGAGAAGCACGCTCTACATCAGATGTAATGATGAACCCCAATGTCAGACCGGGTCCCATACTGCTGCTAGCATCAAATCCCTCCATATTTTCCTTACCTTACGTGGACAGACATGATCGATCCACGTAAATTACGTAATTTTAAAAATAAGATTTTTCTTTTTTGTTGGTGGCGTCCACATGATTTGAGAGAAAATAGGAAGATTCATGGGATGCTGTAAATGTTGACAACAAGTTCCCTTTTCTCATATGAGAAAAGGTTTTTCTCTTTTTTTTTTTTTTTAGAGATGAAAAAAAAAATTTTTAAATTGATTTGAAATTGTAATATTTAGTTTAATTTAGATTTTTTTTTGTTCAGTTTGAATCAAATTTAAATATTAAATATATCTATTAAATTTGAATTAAAGTTCAAATCAAGAGATAAAAAGTCGAACTGAATCGAATTGTATATATTTTAATTTTTTATAAAATAAAAATAATAATTTTATATCAAAATATATTTAAATATATTAAATTTTTTATATTAAAATATTATTTAAAATTAAAAATAATTAAAAATTAAAAATCAATAAACCAAATAAAACTGATAAAATTTAATTTAATTTAATTCAAATCAAATAACAATTCAAATTTTAATTTAGATCGAATTTTAAATTTTTATAATATTATATAATATCTCAAAAAATTAATTCGAATCTGATTTAAACTAAATCGTTATCACCCATAACACTTTATCAAAATAAAATCACAATCCTCTTTCTCATTGTTGGCTTGTGATTAGGGCCTTAATAGAATGAAACGATAATAGGTCAAAAACAATATGCTTGTATTATAGGTTTTTTTTTAATGTTGTAATTTAGATATAAAAAATTATATGTGTAGATATTATTTTAAAGTTATTAGATATTAATTTTTAAAAATAAATATATAAATTAATTAAATTAAATTTTAAGATTTTTAATTATAATATTTAAATAATTACCAATTACATTTGTACAATGATCTAAACCGGAATGTTTTCAAAAAACACTGCCTTATTCTTCTCAAACCATGAAAATAAAGTATGTAGTCAATTTAAAGATAAGTAATGATTAGGGATAAGAAAAAAATCGAAAAAATTAATTTAAATTTGTAATATTTAATACAATTAGCATTGATTTTTTTTTCTTTTAAATTAAATTTATAATTTTATATATTATTAAAACAAATTAACCCAAATTCAATTTAATTTAAATTATTATCATCTTTAATAATCACTCTTCTTAAATTTAATTATTCTTTCGATGAAACCATCGTCAAATCTTTACATAATATTTTTTAATGAAAAATTGATCTTTCATTCAAGTAGCTTGATTCATTCAAATTATGCCTAACTCGATCTTTTAGCCGCAATCAAACTTCAAAACATTCTCTGAAAAAGTACTAATTAAAGGGGTTTTCATGCGTTTGTAACTTAATAAAGTGCATGAATTGACAAAACTCGTAGCTAGAACATGCATGTTGATTAAAAGCAAAAAATAGAAATTAATTAAAAAAAAAGGAAAGCTAATGAAAAACGACATGGCATGGACTTGGACAGTAGAAATCAAGCGTGGGGGCGAGTGGCTCGAGATTGCGTGTATGAGCAGTTCCCTAATTACAGTTAAAGCCCGGCCGTTTTTATGGCCCGATGATTACGGGATTAAGTGGGTCCCGATCGCGTTGGATGCTGTGTTTTTTAGGCCAAATCAAAATTTTATTTTCTGATTATTTAAACATAATAAAAAATATATAAAAAACTTGAAAAATATATATTTAAAATTTTATTAAACAATAAATTTGATAAAATATCATATTTTATATTTCACATATTAATATAACTATGATATAATAATTTTTATATTTTATATATTTAATATGAAATAAAATGATATGAATATATAAATTATAAAACTTTTTATCTTATTTATATAAATGGATACTTCATGACACACTAAATATTAAAAATATATTATTGGCCAAAAATATACACTCTTTTTGTCTCATTTTTAATTATCTTTTTGAAATGTTTTAAAATTATGTATTTTTTTAGCATTTAAATTTTTTAAAATTTTAAAATTATTTTTTATGATTTTTTTTTATTTGACATTAAAAATCATAAAATTTTAATATTAAATACACTATAATTAAAGTTTTTTATTTTATAAAAATTAATTTATAACAAATATTTTGAGAAAAAAATTATATAATTTTCTTCTATCACAAAAGCACATTAATGATGGTTTGTTTGAATTTTCAGAATAATGGGCCTATATCCCTCCTTAGAGCCTCCTCTTTAAGTACGCACCCCCGCCCTCACTCTCCCTTAACTCTCACCCCCACCTTCCCATACCCTTTCCTTTCTATTGGAAAGAAAAAGAGTAGAGTTTTAGACTTTTAGTCAGAGTCTTGAAGTGGTTGGAGAAAGGAAAAAAATGGCTGTGGTGATTGTAGTATGCATTCTTCTCTTAATCTCCTCAATGTGGATGGCTGAAGCTAGAATTCCAGGAGTCTACTCTGGTGGTGAATGGCAAAATGCCCATGCTACCTTCTATGGAGGTGCTGATGCTTCTGGCACCATGGGTATGTACCTTCTTCAAGTCCTATTTCTGTCTCATTTTCTCAGATAATGCCTTGAAAGCTTCTGCTTTTTCTTCTTAATCTTCTTTTCTTTCACGATTATGGCAACATTTTGGCTTTCATATCTGACAAATCCCACTAATTCTACCAAGAAAGCAACTTTCTATCTTGCCTTAATGACAAAACTATGAAATTTCCGTCAATTTTCAAAAACCCAACTCCTCATTTCACATTTTGTACACAAAAAACCACCAAAAAGTTAAGCGCCAGCTTAACTATTTCTTTAATAATTCTTGCAGGAGGAGCTTGTGGCTACGGAAATTTGTACAGCCAAGGGTATGGAGTTAACACGGCAGCATTGAGCACAGCATTGTTCAACAATGGCTTAAGCTGCGGTGCTTGCTTTGAGATCAAGTGTGCAACTGATCCAAAGTGGTGTCATTCAGGAAGCCAATCCATCTTCATCACTGCAACCAACTTTTGCCCACCAAACTATGCTCTTCCAAACGACAATGGCGGCTGGTGCAACCCTCCTCGCCCTCACTTTGACCTTGCCATGCCCATGTTCCTTAAGATTGCAGAGTACCGTGCCGGTATTGTTCCCGTTTCCTACCGCCGGTATGTGCTCTGTTCCACACTCTTGTCTTTTTTTTTTTTTTTTTTTGTTTCTCTATTTTGGGACATAAAAATCAAATGGTAAGGGATAAAAATACATGTGAATTGTAATTAAAAAAATTATTTAAATTTTTAATATTTTATTGTAATCAATTGAATTTTAAAATTTTTAATTCAACAAAATTTAATTATGTAATAAAATTAAATAAATCAATTAAACTTTTAAAGGTATTTTAGAAAAAAAAAGTCTATTTATGTAATTTAGATATATTAAAATAAAAAATCGTCAAAAATCAAAGCCGACACCATAGTCCCCAATGTCCTAAGACTGTTTTTCCAGCCTTAACTGTTGTCTTGTTGACCAAATCTGTGTTCCATGCCTACAATCACGCTCCGAGTTTCATGCTAGCATTGCTCTTTTTTTAAGAAATAATTGGCCTCGTGTTTTTGACTTAATTACGCAGGGTGCCATGCCGAAAGAAGGGAGGGATCAGGTTCACAATCAACGGTTTCCGTTACTTCAACTTGGTTTTGATCTCCAACGTCGCGGGTGCGGGGGATATCGTGAAGGTTAGCGTGAAAGGATCCAGTACTGGTTGGATGAGTATGAGTCGAAACTGGGGTCAGAACTGGCAGTCAAACGCTGTTCTGGTTGGTCAGTCACTGTCATTCAGAGTCACAGGCAGTGACAGGCGCACTTCCACCTCTTGGAACATCGTTCCCGCCCATTGGCAATTTGGTCAAACATTCACCGGGAAGAATTTCAGGGTTTGATTTGATGATTCCGAGGAAGGACCATTTTGACAAAAAAAAAAGAAAAGAAATTATCAAATTAGTGACCCCAAAAGTTAAAAAGTTAGCAGTTAAAAAAATTCAAGTTTCCCGCCATAACCCATTTCCATTTTTACCCTTGTTTGATCAATTGGGTTTGTTTTGTCGTGTGTAAGTTCTTTCGTTTTCTTTTTATTTAATGGTCAGGGGTGGACTGAGGCGGTTGCACAAAAATGTAGCCCGTAGCCTAAATATTATAATTTAGTGTTACTGTCTATGTAGTTATGATCATATAGTGTTTCGGTTGTGTATTTTAGTAACTTTATAGTTGAATTGAATTATATATATTTGGTTTGTTTCATTTGCTTACTATTATTTTTTTATTAAGCTCTTGGTCAATGTTTTTGATATATATGACTTCAAAATAATAAAGGTTGAGTTAGTCGATGAGATGATAAGAAGAAGTTATATTTGATAATTTTTAATATGATATAAAAATAATATAAATTAAAAAATTAAAAAAATTTATTTTATATTTTTTATGTTAACATAAATTATAATATATAATTTTTATATAAAATATAATATGAATGCTCGAGCTTTTAATAAACTAAGCTTCATCTTTTCTAAAGCCTTTCTATATTTATCCCTTTAACCAATTTCCAAATGCTAGCCACCCTCATTTTCGCTGAAAGTATAAATGTAAAAGCTAATGGCATGAAAGTATGATTCTCATGGCTCCATTGACTGATACATAAAAAAACAAAGGTTAAAAATTGGTAAGCATTACTCTTTGAGTGGAAAGATATGCATAAATCATTAAGTTAAATGTTCGGATGCATATTACGGTAATGTTCGTTTCTGTGATTTGCAGGTGAAAGTATAGATAGGAAACAAAAGCTCTTACATGGGGATGGTCCAGGGTGCTACTTTTTCAGGGTTTGATGGAAATGAAGCTTCCCTTTTTTAACCTGTTGAAGCTAAGCAACAGGACACATGCCTTGGAGCAGCACTAGTACTGATATTGTTCTCTCTTTCCAACTCTTGCCACTTACCAAGAAATTTCCGTTAAGCCTATGTTTGGATGCAAGTGCAATTCTATTGAGGTGCAATTAAATTTTAATTACAATAAGTTGAATTTAAATGAAATTTATTCGATATAAATTTTTTATTAAAATTTTTTTTAATCACAGTTATAATAATTATTATTATTTTTTAATTTTATTAAAATTAATCTCATTATTTATTCAAATGAACTCCACGCAGATACATCCTTATTTTCAAATTGAGATTTTAATCACACAACATATTTTTTAGTTAGTTTTTTTTGGGCCATTTTATAACATACAAGCAAAGGTTGCCGATCAATGAAAGATCCCAAGTACAGCATGTTTGCAAAATGTATGATCCAATACTCGATTCCACTGGAATCTAAAGCTATCCGTTAAGAAGATAACAAAATTTCAACTAGAGATTTGTGGTGATGGCAGCTCTTTTAACACGTTGAAGGAGTTGAGATTTTTTCTTGGATTTGCTAAAAACATGAAGCCAAAAAAATCCTTTATTTCTTTCAAGTAAAGGAAAGTTACAAAAAAAACATTAAATTTCATTTCTTTCAAGGTCCAATGCATTTGCTTGATTTGCATTAAACCAAATCTAAGCAGCACATGGAGTGTGGGCCAATTGTGGGGTTTTTTTTTTTGGTTGATGCTTCTCTGTACAGATGTGAGTTAGGACTTGGGAAGAAGTTGTACTTTCTTTGTTTTGTTGGTTTTGAAGGAGAAAGATCCTTCTTTGGATTCCTATTTTACCTCAAAAAGGAAATAGCAAATTAGGGCTTTGGATTCCTTCTGTACTAATTTGCTTTCCCCTGTTTAAGGGGTGGTTTGGCCCTGGCAAGTGGGCTCCCTTGTTTAAAAATTCACCTTTCCTCTGATGATTTGTGCTATGATTTGGTAACACATGGGCATTGAATAAAAGATTAAAAACTAGCAATTGAGTGTTTGGTTTAATAGGAATTGAAAGAATGGATTTCAAATCTCACTTCTTCTTACCAATTCATGAAAAATGATTTTCTTTTGAAATTTTATAATGTCTTAATTTTATATATTTTTTTAATAAAAAAATAATAAACTAATCATAAAGGTTTTTTAAAACTTCTTTTTTCTATTTAATGGAGGGTTAACAAAGTAAATTTAATCTCAAAAAAAGAAAAAGAATACAGCAACTACAAGAGTGCTCTTAAATGCATTCTCATTTTTTCTCTTCACACCCAAACTTTTTTTTTTTAATTTTTTTATAAGTAAAATTCTTTAATTACTTTCTCACAATTTTGCAGAGTTTTTATGACTTCTTAAAAATGAATTTTTAAAAAATCATAAATTTTTTAAAAAATATATTTCTGAAAAATCATAAACTTTTTTAAAAAATATTTTTTCAAAAAGTTATAATTCTTTCCATAAATTTAACTTTCTTAAAATTTATTTTCAAAAAGGTTTATAATCTGCTCGAAATCTATTTCCAAAAAAATTATGAATTTTTGGAAATCAATTTCTAGAAAAATTTATGATTTTTTGAAAATTTATTTCCAGAAATTTATGTGAAAGAAAAAAAATAATCAATTAATTTTTTAACAAAAAATTTAGATATGAAAAAAAAAATTACAGTTCATTTAGCAGCACTCCAAGTACAAATAGATATATTATTGGGCCACACTCATTTTTAGCCCATGGATTTTTCTTTTCATAAAGAATAATTGACTTTCCAGCCTGCTAATTCAGGGCCCAAAAGTTTTAGCATTGTCACGACATACCCCAATGTAGACACCCCCCCTTCCTGTCAGAGAATAGAAAGCTGTCCACAGCAGTGTAAGGGCAGTCAATTTTTCATCTTAGTCATCAAGTATTTCCTGTACAATCACAAATGAACGTAAAATGGAAACCATATATTTGCATAAGAGAGATAAAAAAATATGCTACAGGAGCAAGAACCAAGTTTGTGGAACAACAAACCGGACCATTTCTATGTTATACCTTGAACAAGCATGAGAACAACATGATCGAGCAGATAAAGACGGGCAGGCAGCATTTCTTAGTGGGTAATTTTGAATTATTACAAACCATGTGTGTGCCAACAGAGAAGATTTGGCTTATATGATACCTTAGAATTTCCTTCCTTGTCTGTGAGTAGAATCTTAAAAAGATGCCAGCTAAGAACCCGAAGGAACTCTAGCTCCTTTCTCATCAGCTAGTTCATCTGAGCATTTTCTCTTGGCTGCAGCATGGAAGAGTTTACAGTGTCCAGTTCCCGATTCTCTTGACACCAATAATGATTATGAAACTTTGTGAAACAAGGAAAAGAGGGCTATAGAAAATGGTTCTGTCAAAGAGTCATCTTTGAAACTGATTCTGAAACCCTTTTCAAACAATAAATGAATAACAAGCTTGACCAAAACCTGAATTGAAAAAAAAAATCACCGGGAAAGATTCACTTTATAACAGATTAACATGCTACAAATACAAGTAAATTGGGCACAGGAAAAGGCCCATTCACTCTTGGGCTTGACTGGCGGTGTCCAAGACATGTACTTGACAGCCTATAGATTTTTATGAGAAGTGTCGACTAATTTAATTTAAGCTGATAAAACAAGCTTCAATCATGGGTATAAGATATATATATTTTTAATTTTTTATCAACTAAATTCAAAAAAATTAATTTTATGTTTTTGTTTCTACTATATTAAAGATATAATTGTCCACTTGTTTTGTTAGAGATATTTTTAAGTTTAAAAGACAAAATAATTTATAATTTTTGAATCGAGTTGACGTGTTAGATTAATTAAAATTTAAAAAATTAAATCAACTCAATCATCTTACTAGTCTATCCATTAAACTCTTCAAATTGTTGACTTGTCATTTTTTAATTGAATGATTAATGTCTAATTTAATTTGATTTATTCTAAAATTAATTTCAAACAATTTAAATTAATTAAAACTCTTTATCTCATAAATATAAATAATGTCGTCCAAATATTATTTCACTACCTTGCTTTTCTTATACTTCTCTACAATCTCCTTCTTATTTTCCATAAATCTATGATTTAAGCGTCAGAATATGAATTGAGAACACTTTCTTCTCCTATTTTCAGGATTTTACCCGTAAAAGGCACAGCTCGGCACTAACAGCTATGATAGCTAGCTATAAGCTGCTTTAGTTTTGTAGCTTTTCTCCATCCAATTAATGTAGGATCAATTGGACAGTATATGTACATACAGATGATACTATATATGAGCAAACACTGATTTCTCCCAACGATCAAGTTGCAAGAGTAAGGACGCAAATAAAGAAACAAGTACAAAAACATTGTTGGTGCATCGATTATCCTGTATTGAATCTCCCATTTTTGTGTCTAAGAAAGTAAGAATTTGATCCACTCATCCTTCCTGAATTTCCCCGATATACATGAGCCTAACTCTAGTACGTACTTGTTACAGCATCAAAATTATCCAGGAACAAAATTAAAGCCTATTCAATGTGCAAGACCAAAATAACAAAAAAAAAAAAAAAGATCAGTCGGCACACTTGATGTGTTTAACCAAAATGGGAATGGTGAGTTAGAATTGGCGACGTGAAGAGGATAACTGATGCTTTGCATAGCCAAGAAAGTGATTCATTCATCCCCTCGGGTCCTTGATGATCAAATTGTGGAACCACCGCACACCTTGCTTAGTCTAGTATAAGATTATTCGTCCACCCCCTTCATACTATTTCTTGCAAGGAAAGAATCGTGAGGATAGCATTCGCACACGTATACTTGCAATTTTTATTTGATTAATTTATATAACTATCCTTAAGAAGTGATTAATATATTTAGTAGGTTTAAAATTCAAATTATCTTTAGATGCAATCTCTTATGTAAAAATTATTATTCAATTCATTGTTTCAAATATCTAAAAATTTCAAGGATATGAACCAAAAATGATGAAACTTTCTTATCTTTAGCAACTATTGAGTAAAATTTCTAAGATAGTACCCTTTTTAAAATTGTTTCTATACAATTAATGTTGTTGAATTGTTAATATATATATATATTTATATATATTCATCTAATTAAAGGTAATGGTACTATGCTAAAGAACCCTTCTTTAAAGTTGTTGTCGCTTGCCCTATAAATGTGGCACCACCTTTCACTACCTAGTAGCCATTAGCTACGCTAGACATCTATCTCGAAGTTGTCTCTCCGAGTGTGCAGGGCGTAAAATGTCTGGTGTGTGGATATTTGACAAGAAGGGTGTGGCTCGCTTGATATCCAATCCAACCAGAGAATCCTTCGAGCAAAAAGATCCAACTTATTATCCTGGAACGTCCACCGCACCAGGGGCTCGACCCCGGGTCCTGGTCTACCTCCCAACCAACCAAGTGATCCGCTCCTACTCCGAGCTCGAGCAGCGTCTGTCTGAGCTTGGTTGGACTCGCTACTACAACTTCAGCCAACCTGACCTTCTTCAATTCCACAAATCAGAAAACTCAACTCACCTCATTTCCCTCCCAAGAAATTTCGCCAACTTTAGGTCCTTACATATGTTCGACATTGTCGTCAAGAACAGGTCTTTCTTTGAAGCACGTGAACCCTCGGTTAGAAGACATTGTGCCTGATGCATGACATCAAACACTAGTATACAGAAACATCCGATGTTGGTTAATTTTCAACCGACTCTATAGCCAGGCAAAGTGGTTTCTCTGGCGAAATACTGCAAGCATGGCTGACTGGAATCAATCTGTACGAGATTCCTATTTACATTTTAGGGAAAAGAAAAAAAGGAAGAGGAGATATTGATTCTTTGTTAACTGTTTTAGTATACAAAATCTTGTGCCATGTGCCTTCTCAAATATATATTCTCTAGCTAATATATAGGTCCGATTCCAATGAAATGAGATACTTCTTTCTGTTTGGTTGCAACTTTGAACAAAAAGTTTTTCATGTTAAGTGGTTATCATGACTGATGCTTGGTTCTAGTTTTGCGTTATTTTTGTTTGTTCAACCTTTCTTTGATCTGATTCGTTCTGCTTTCTCATTTCCAATAGGCTTCAGTAATTCTAATTTTTTTGTGGAACAAAAGCCAAAGCTCACATTCCCTGCACGCGTCTATTGATTTTGTTTGTTATTGCATGCATGTGAATGCGATAAGTACTGTGACAATGTAGCATCTTTAATTACTGATTCAATCTCAGTAACTCTTTTCCACTGATCAATCGTCTAACCATATGACTGATCCACAGTACTAGCTCGACAACTATCAACATATTCATAATTAAGTTTCTATAAACTTTCATTCCAAGGTTACTTTTATGCAAATTGTATGGCAGTCGATCCCTGCTAATAGTTTTGGTTAATCTTATATGAATTCCCTTCTTAAAAAACTGTAAAAGAATGACAGAAATTAAGATCATTAATTTTTTGTCAGGAATCAGGGAAGAAAAATTTCCTAATTCCTTATTGACAGCTAGTTGACAGATAGAGCGTGTAAAAGCTGAGCTTCCATTGCAGAGGCTGTTATAACTAAGGGAAAAAAATGTACATGTTCATGTTCAACTTCATGTTTGGATTATATTTCGGGCATAGCAATTTGGTTAACTGGTAACAGGGTAAGGCCAAAGGGTAGTTCGTTCCTTTTCTACTCATAACTACAAGAAGCTTCAATGGGAGGAAAAAGAAAAGAGAAAACATAAGTAGTATTTGATACTATTCAAATTATGGGTTTCATGCATTATCTACGGCCAATCTCTATGAGCACAAGATTGGTAAGTCAAGCAAATTAAAGGTCTCATTCGGAGCTAAGCAGGAGATTTGGTCAGTAGCGATGGGAGATCTCAGAAGAAAAAAAACGTTGCAGCCTGCAGAGAGAGTACGATATCGATCAAAGCGGATAGATGAAGTGAAAAGAACAGTTCACAGCAACTTTCGATTTGACAAAACAATCGGCCATCGAGTTTTCACAGTGCTAGCTGTTGCTGCAGCTACTGCAACGTAGTACAGATAATATATATTATAAATTTTATGAAATCCTTCTTTCTTTTTCTTTTGTTTAAGTTAACCTTGAGCTACGATCCTAGCTAGGGACCATAGACGTGTTCAGAGCTGAACTGCTCATGCATGCGGCAGCCAGCAGCCCCCAATCCATCATTACAATTTACATGAAGTCTCACCTCAGCTGCTTTCACATGATGGCTCATTGCCTATATCTACATGAAATGATAAATGTTGGTGAACTACGATAAAAATTGAGATTGTTTATTGAACCCAGACTTAGTTTATGATCTTGCAGAAACCAAAATCGGCCCCAAAATAATGTAATAATGGATAATGGACTTTCAGAAAGATCCTGGTTCATGGTTAGTTATAATGATAATAAAAAATGGGCTTCTACAAGACCAGCTTTAGAACCCATTTCAGTGATTCCCTTTTTCTTGGACGTCACCAGAAGGGTGGGTAATCTAATCCGAATATATCGGATTTCGATTCGACTTTATTTTATAGGTCTTCCTGTTTTTTTTTTTTTTATTCATTTTTTATCGGATCGAATTTTTTTGAAAAAATGTTAGATCAAATTTTAGGTAAAATTCGATTAAGTATATATATTTTAATTATTTATTTAATTTTATATTTATATGTTTATATTTTTTATATTTATTTAATCTATATTTACATTAAAAATAATATATTTTTAAATAATATTTTATTAATTTTTAATCAAATTTAATTTATTATTATTTTATACATATACAAGTCGAATTAAATTTAAATATAAAATTTAATATTTTAATATCAAATCAAATTATGATATTTAATAGATAAAATTAAATTGAATTCGAATCGATAAAAACTCGTCTCACCTCCACCTTAATCCGTTGCTATCTTAAGCCACAAAGTAGATGAACATGTTATTATCGAAATCAAAATTGGACAGCAAAAATGGTCCCAATGAAATTTGCCAAAATAGTCAGAAACTTGTAATTGGTGGCAAAGCACCCAATTAGACAAATTACTTTATATTGATGAAGCTTATGATGTTGAAACAAAATAAAAAAAAAAATTTATTTTTTATTAGTTAATAAATCATGAAAAAATAAGGTGCTATAACTATGAGCTTCTTTCTATATTTTTAATGTATTTGAACTAATATATAATTATAGACACATCATTTCGTCATTATGTTCATAATTTATTTGTATTGACATTTAAAACAATTCCAATTTAGCAGTTAGTTATATTAAAAGCCCCTGATATTGATATTTCTGTTTGACCATAATATTTTTAATTTCAAAAAGTTGTAAATTATTTCAATAATCATGTTTAAAATACCATGACATTAACATAGGTATTGTCTTTTCTTAGTATTTATTAAGCTATTTACACATGGAATAAAAATATTATTATTTAAAAAAAAAGGGTATTTGAATAAATTTGTTGAATAACATATTTAAGTATTTATCATTAAATTAAAATTTTGAGTTTTAGAATAAAGAATTTTGAAGCTAATGTTTATATTATTATAATTTTTTTATACAAAAGAGATAAAAAAATTAAAATTTTTGAAATTTGAATTTGAATTTTATTAAAATTTATTTTTTAAAAATAATTATATAAATTAATTGAATTATATTATTATAATTTTGTCACAAACAAAAAAAAATACTATTTAATAAAAAAGAAAAGAATAGTATATAAAAATCTAATCTAATGCAAATTGTAGAGGTGATAATGATTTAAATCAGATTAAATTCAGTTCAATTTTTTTAATAATACATGATATTACGAATTTTTAAATTTGACTTGATTTTTTTTAAATTAATTTTTTGAACCAAATTTTATCAGTTAGGTTCAATTTGATTAATTGGATTTTTAAATTTTTTTGTTTTTTATATTATTTAATAGAGTTTTTAATATATTTAAATAAATTATATATATAATAATTATTTTTATTTATTAAAATTTAAAAAATATATAAAAATTAATAAAAATATATAATTTAATTCAATTTGATTTTTTTTTTTTCATATCTAAATTTGAACTTAAAATATATATTTAACATTTAATCTTGAATTGAATTAAATATAAAAAAGATAATGTAAATCAAATAGAATATTATAAATTTAAATTAATTTAAAATTTTTTCGATTTTTTTTTCTAGCACACAGGGAATTGTCCCTACAAAGTACACCCCCAACAACCAAACACTATAAACCCCTCCAAGTGACCAACCTCAATGGGACCTTTTCTCTGCCGTCCTGTCCGATTCTTGCAGTTCTCGGCATCGATCCTCCCCTGCCATCGCCTTCGTAATCTCTGGCGAAACGACAGCTTCCTTAACAACGCTCCCAAACAGGGAACCAAACCAACCCAAACCCAAAATTATACCTTTGACGTTAAAAAAAAAAAAAGAAAAATGGCTTTTTTTTATATCAACCAATCAGAGTTCGTTGATCTCCTCATCACTTCCCATTTGACCCCAACAACTCTCTCTCTCTCTCTCTGTTTTTTTCTATCCTTGTTGAAACTCTACATTTCGAATAGCTATGAAGTGTTTTCATTTTATTAAAGGGGAGAGGAGGGACGGGGGAGATGACGGGGAAGTCGTTTCCAGGGCATCGTCGAAGGTGACATGGACGAGGTCGTTGAGCGTGGCATCGAGCACCGTCGACACGTGTCGTTCCGAGTTCGACTCCGAGTCGACCAGAGATTTTGCCTCGGGCTACTCGGCGGTGAGTTTCCGCGAGTTTCTGACTCAGCGTCGAGCTAACGATCTGCGCGCGTTCACATTTGCGGAGCTCAAATCAGCTACCCGCGGGTTCAATAGAGCTCTTTTGATTGGTGAAGGTGGGTTCGGGTGCGTTTACAAAGGAGTCGTTATGGTTCCTGATGAAGCTGACGATGGTCGTGATTTAAAGTTGGATGTCGCCATCAAACAGCTCAATCGTCACGGTTTCCAGGCATAGTCCCCTTTTATTTCCGTTTGTTTCAGCTTTCTGTTCGAAAAGTTTGAACCCTTTTATGCGTTGAATGGATTGAGCATAATTGTATTTCTCATGGGATTTGGATGTTTTTGCATTGCTAGTATTCAGGGGCATAACGAATGGATCAATGAAGTGAACTTTTTGGGTGTAGTTAATCATCCGAATCTTGTAAGATTGGTGGGATATTGTGCGGAGGATGATGAGAGAGGGATTCAGAGACTTCTAGTCTATGAGCTTATGCATAATAAAAGCTTGGAAGATCATCTGTTGGCTCGGATGCCATTGCCATTGCCATTGCCTTGGGTGACAAGATTGAAAATTGCTCAAGATGCTGCCCGGGGTTTGGCTTACCTGCATGAAGAAATGGATTTTCAAGTATATACTGTTTTAATGACAAAAGCAAAATCATTTTCATGCTTATGTTATCTACATTAGTTTGATAATGCCTGTTTTTACTCGAAATTCTTACTTTGTACTTTCGACTATGCGAATTGTGTGATTATCTTCATGATTTTGAAGTGCTTCATGATCTGTGCAGCTAATATTTCGAGATTTTAAAGCATCAAATATTCTACTAGATGAGGACTTTAACGCGAAGCTCTCTGACTTTGGATTGGCTAGGCAAGGACCCGCTGAAGGATTTGGCCATGTTTCAACAACAGTAAGTTAATTATCACCTTTGTTTAAGCTATCCAAGCATAATTCTCTTTTTGGGTGTCATGATGTGGATTTAATGGCTTATACCTTGGAAATTTAATTCTTGCAAATGTAAACTATCAAGCTGAGATGTCTCTTTTAAATTGGAGCTTAAATCAAATTCCAACTGTTGCTAATAAATCATTTTTTCCTTTACTGTTTCATTGAAAATGTTTGTAAGGTTGTGGGCACAGTAGGTTATGCTGCTCCTGAGTATGTGCAAAGTGGCAGGCTAACTGCAAAGAGTGATGTTTGGAGCTTTGGGGTGGTTCTATATGAGCTCATCACAGGAAGGCGAGCTCTAGATAGTAATCTACCTCGAAGTGAGCAGAAGCTCCTGGAATGGGTGAGACCTTATGTATCAGATTCAAAGAAATTTCATCTTATTGTAGATCCTCGCCTTGAAGGACAGTATTGCATAAAATCAGGTCAGAAACTAGCATCCCTAGCAAACAAATGTCTAATGAAAAACCCAAAGTCCCGCCCTAAAATGAGCGAAGTAGTAGAGATGCTTGGCAACATTATCAGTGAGACTTTATCTAAAGATGAAGGTGTCTCTCAATTAGTCAGTGAAAATGAAGATGTAAAGGAAGAAAGTGAAGTAGAGACCGAAGTCAAGTCTACCAAGCAAGGGCACAATAACCTGAAGAAGGTTTTTGATATCAGAGAAATAATTAGTTTGAGAAACAGATCAGTTGGGAAGTTAGATTGGAGAAATTGGACACTTGGACTGGTGAGGACTTGGTGATGAGCTTTCAGCTTGTGACGGAAAAAAATGTTATGCCTCTTGCTTCCTTAATCAAATGCACATGCTTTAACTGATGAAACTACAGGGGACTGCTAGGGGTCTTAAAAGCTGATCTTTTACATGAATTTTCAACTACATTTGCTTGAATCGATCTTTCGAACCACTCCATTTTCTGAGTGGGTTTTCGGAAACAACAGTCCGGACCTAAGTAATTTTATCTGAAGAACAGTATCTGATCAAGAAAGAATTGATTATTCCAGGACTTTGATTTGAATATTGCAATACAGATTGACAAAACACCTGAGAATTAAGCAGATTCTTCCTAATTGTATCCCCTCTATACTCCACTATCTTCTGTTAGCCTTCTCTGCTTTGAGGCTTGCTGGGTCCGGAACGTGGATTCTTTGGAGTAAGCCATCAACTTAGTACCGCTGACATTTATAGTAGACTTTATATTGGAAAGAAATTGAACCCAAAAAAGTCTCAACATCAAACTGAAAAGCTCAAAAGCCTAACGGAATAAAGCCATTTCGAATATAATCCATGTCCCCAGCTTCACCTCCCATTCTAGTCCAAGGTTTTTCTATATGGAGTGAACATTAGGAGCGTAAATGATACATTAGTACTCGCAAGTTATTCGGGTTCGATTTGAAGAAAACTCGAATTCGGTTCGATTATTATCGAGTCGAGTTCGAGTTCGAGTAACTCAACTTATCAATTGAACCGAATTCGGGTATTCTTATATCCGATTCAAGTAGCTCGTAAGCTTAATCGAGTTTTTATATTTAAATATATTTTTATTATTTTAATTAATAAAATATTTTGAGTCCGAGTTCGAGCATAAATATTCAAATTTTTATCGAGTATACGAATCGAATTTATTTTTACATATTAATTGAGTGAGTTCGAGTGACTCGAATTTAATCACAAATTAAACTCGAACTTGAAAAATAAAACTCGATCAAATTCGAACTGAGTATCAAATTTCGAGTTATGAGTCAAATTCGAACTCGAATTTCTCACTATATCGATTTGATTCGATTCGATTAAATTCGTAATGAACATCACTTATATCACTTTTCTTTCCTTCTTTATCTCTTTCCATTTTTTGTCTAAATTTGTTCGCCTATATTTTTATGCAGTTACTTTTGACTTTTACTGTTTCATCAAAAGAATCAGGGCCAATAGGCCCCAGCCAAAGGTACAAACTCTTCCATTCAAATTCAATCTTATAACAGGGACGACAACGGATCCAATCAAGATTAAATTAAAAGTGTAATTGATTGGGGTTTAAATTGAAACAATATTAAGTTTAAATTGACTTAAATTTTAAAATTTAAAATTTGATTAAAATTGATCAAATTTTACATTTTTAACTCTATTTCAATTCGAGATAAAAATCGTATTATGAAAATTATCATAAACTCGATTTAAAAAAAATTTTCACTCACAAAAATCAGATCAAAATCTATCGGATTGGATTAGATTGCCATCCCTGCGTACCATTCTCAAAAGCCAAGAGTCAACACACCAATAATCTAGTGCATGTAAATGAAGATTTGACAGATGTATCTGGCAAAAAATAAAATGATATGATTATAAATTTCACCAGACATGGCTAGAAAAGCAAGACCAATTTGTGGTCATACAAAGAATTACGCCCTTTTTCCAAGTTGGCTCTCAAGCGTTACAAATACTTGGTAATCTCAAAAGAAATACTGCATTGCATACATTCCCCTTGTTATGGGTTTGAACTTGCAATTGTGTCAAGGGAAGATTGGTTTTGAGTACATCAGCTAAAACAAGAACTGTACAATCACAGGGTATACAAAAGTGAATGCCTGAGTTCCAGAGATTGTTACCAAACCACCTCCTGCATACACTTCCATTGGAAAGCAGCTTTTGTTGAGTGCCTTGATTCCATTCTCAGGAACAATGAGGGGAAGCAGATGGCCCAGGGTATGCAGCAGTACTCCTTCCACCACTAGCATCATCTGCACTTCGCCCACATATCAGGGATGTGCTGCTCGTATTGCTCTGATTACTCCCAGATTCACTGGAATCCTGGAGCTGCTCTAATGCTGTTACAACCTCATTCATGCTTGGTCTGAACTTGGCTTCGGTGGACAGGCATCGCAAAGCAAGGGTAGCAGCGTTATAGGCTCCTTCCATTGAATACTGGCCTTCAAGGCGGTTATCTAGGACACGGAACATTTTACGTTTGTTGGCCAGGTAAGGTTTGGCCCATTCCACCAGGTTATGTTCTCCAGTCGGTCGATTCTTGTCAACTGCTCTGCGGCCAGATAACATCTCTAGTAGCACAACTCCAAAACTGTAGACATCACTCCTGGCAGTAAGATGACCTATAGTTGGAATGGTTACAAGAGTAGAACATTACATCCAGCCAGTTGCCCATATATATAAGAAATGACAAATAGTCAGTCAGGTCAACTAAATCGAGCACTTCAAAATTATGTTAACAAGTACCTGTGGCTAGATACTCTGGAGCAGCATATCCGTAGGTCCTCATGACCCTGGTAGAAACATGGCTCTGGTCACCTGTTGGCCCATCTTTGGCCAACCCAAAATCACAAAGCTTTGCATTGTAGTTCTGCAATTACAACAGAACAAAAACGTTCTCAGAGGAGTCAATAAAGGACAGAATTTCAGAAATTATCAAATGACACCATACAGGGGAAGTGCAAAGAAGTGAAGAACATAGGCTTAATAAATCACATACTGAATCAAGCAAGATGTTTGAAGTCTTAAAGTCTCGATATATCACTTTTGTTTCAGCATTGTGAAGAAAGGTAAGCCCCTTTGCAGCACCAAGGGCAACCTTCAAGCGAAGGCTCCAAGAAAGAGGCTGGAAATAAGAACCTCCTGATGCAGATAATTTAAATGTTACAATAAAAAAAAAAGGCATTTAAACACAATTTTGTTCAATGGTACCAAGAGAGGCAGAAAGAACTCACTCCTGAATAAATGATTCTCCAAGCTGCCACGAGGCATGAATTCATACACCAACAGACGGTGTTCATCCTCCAAACAATATCCAATCAACTTCACAAGATGAGGATGATAAAGCTGTCCCAGATAATTCACCACAGCCTATAATATCAAAGAAAGAACACGAGTGAATCTCTAACTTTAATCCCTATACATCATTTTAAAATATTTAACCATAAGAAAGGCCAAAATGATAAAAATAAATCAATAAGCATTCTGGATAAACATCTTAAGCAAGCAAGTTGAACACCAAAATAGTGTGAGGAAATTTCAAATCATTGGATACACAACCATATCTTAAACTTTAAGCTTAAACTTCCTCCACCTAATAAATGTGATGAACAAATGCAAAACCAATCGGATGCTTCACATGTAAGAAGAATGATGAGGCAAACATGCACTCACCAGCCACTCCTTGTGACCTTGAAACCCTTCCTGGTTAAGCCTTTTCACAGCAATAACTATGCCAGTTCCAGGCTTGGCAGCAGTAAATGAATTTTCATCAATCCGTCCCTTAAAAACTGAGCCAAAGCCACGTACTCCAAGCACACTATCCGGACGAAAATTCCTGGTTGCCATTTTGAGATCAGCAAAACTGAAACTTTTCAAATTGGGGGACTCTAAGATCTCACCCTCACTCCGAGGTGTTGGAGGCACTGAAACTGATGAGGCGATGCTGCTTGTATTGCTCACATCTTTCCCATCATTGCTAACATACTTTGAACTCAGCCCTGTATGCATGAAGATGTCACGGATGGTTTCATTGACATAATCCATTTTAGAAATAGAATTCTCGAGGTCCAATCAAACTCAAGCTTCTAGTATTTCAATTCAAAGAAAGTTAAGGAACCGAAATTATGTAACCAGGAAAGATTTCCACTATTTTCCTATGCTCACAAATAACAACAATCCATAATGCTGACACTCCCAGGATCCCAAAGCACGCCGGACAAGGACATAACACATGTTTAGTTGTAAAGAAGACTAACATAAGCAATGGTGAGAGGTAAAGAAGTGAAAATTTAGAAGATTTGCCATTCAGTTTCAATCGTGACAAAATAAATCAAAGCCAATGTACCCATGATTAAGAAACACATCCAAAAGCACGTATGGAAACATTTACAAAGCCATCTCAACCAAATTGATAGGATATTTGTCAAATTACTAATGAAGATACAGTTATCACTTCTCAATAAACTACACCTGCTGACATTTTCAAACAAAATAAATAACTAATTCCTTCCAAAAGAAACTTGCACTGTACTCCAAAATTTCTAAATTGCAGCTTGAAAGTTCAAACCACCCAGATAAACCTGGAAAGGAACCCCGAAAGAGGAAACAACAAATAGGAAAACCCAACCTAAAAAAATGGAAAGGGCAACAACAAGTACTCAATTAAGCCAATCTAAAGTCCAGAGCAACTAAAACAAAATAAACTAAATATGAGTACGATACTGATAAAAAGGGGAAAAAAAAGGCTGTTATAGAAGATCCAACTACCTGTGATACTAGGGCTCTCAGCTTTGATTGTGGCACTTAAGCAAATCCCCATGAAACCAAACCTCCCTCTTCAACTTTTTTTCTGTAGAATGTAGATCATAAAACACATATACAAAAAATGAACTTTTTGTTCATAACAAACCAGAATGAGAAATGAAAAAAAGCAGATCTACGTCTTGAGAACCAAAACTTCTCCTTTCCATTAAACAAGGCTTCCCAAAGCGATCACTTTTTATCACAACATCAAATTGTCATATTTAAAAGTTAAAACAAAAAAAGGCACTCTAAAGAAAATGAAAAGAAACTAAAGAAATCTAGAAAAGAATACTCAATACGCTAAACCACCAAAAAAAACCCGAGTCTTTTCTCTGTAAACCAACCCAACATAGAATCAGAGTAAATAAAGCAGAAAGGAAGTCAGGAACTAAACGAAAAAGGTTTTAAGAGAGAAACGAGGTTGATCAGTTTGTAGTAAAAGCTTGAATTTTTTTCCTTGGAAAGTAGTTGTGGCTTAGTATGTTCAATAGTGATGATACTTACAGAGAGAGAGAGGGAGAGAGAGCGAGTGTTTGTGTGTGCGCGAGCGCGCGATCAGGCGTGTGTTTTACAGGAAGGTGGGAAGAAATGCATTAACGGTGGGACGATGTTTTGTACTGCTCTTCTCTCTCTCTCTTGAGATTGTACGGAGTCACGTCAGAGAAGATAAGCCTTGCACGGGATTTCCATGTTTTGCCAGGCGTTGGATTCTTTATGACAGTGGCTTAGCTTCTCTCCAACAGCTTTCACAGCTTCTTCTGTCCTTGTAGCTTTCAACGTATGGCAGTACTGTCAAGTACATAAACTATTGAAAACTATTGAAAAATGAAACCTTTCTTTTCTCAAAAAAAAAAAAAAAACCTTTTTTAATAGATAATAGTACTTGGAGGACAATTGGCGACCCTACATTTTCAAGTTGGATTTTTTAGCTTTTAGCTTTTAGACCGCCCCTGGTCCTGATGGAAGGAGCAAGCAGTTTTCCATGGCCCATGATTGTATTCATCTGTATTCCATGGCATAGTAACTTCCTGGAACCCCAGGGCAACCATTAGGCTAATCAATCTTCTTCTGTCATTCTTACCAAAGAAAAAAAAATCTTCTTCTATCGTATCCTTTCTTTATTACTACAATGTGATATTTCAGGTAGTGACTTTAACAGCTTCACTTTCCTGGAAAGTTCAGAGCTTTGGGTCACTTTTTTAATGTGAGAAACTTGATTTGTCTTGTCCTTCTGTTTGAATATCCCAAGTTGGAAAACAGACAATACGTTGAGACAAAACCTTGATCTCATCTGGTGTTGGAAATTTTACAAATAATAGTATACTATAACAAAAATGTCAATTATGAATCTTTGACGGATGCTTCTGGTTAGATTCCAAACCTTGGATTAAAAAAAATGGAGATTTTATTACATTATTGTTGTTTATTCCTTAAACAATCATGTCAAAATTCTCCTCCTTCCAATTTTGGTTTTAATCGGATAAGTTTCAAACTTTTTTTTTTTTAAAGTTATAAGCTTTGATTTCAAACATTTTTAAGCCAATCTTCTTTACTGTAAATCTTATCTAAATTCTTATGATACGACTAAATTCATACCTTTATCAGCCGAGGAAAAGAAATAGTAATATTAAAATCGTTACGTGAACGATAATAAGAAAAAAAGTAATTTAATTATGGAGGTTTATATTCAGGAAAAAAATCTTTATATTGTTAATATTTTTATTTATATGAAAGAGTAATAGAAATTTTATTTATATAGATGATGTAAAAATATATGAAAAATAATAATATATAAGATATTAGAGATTATAATTGATTTTAAATATATTTTTAAATTAATAAAATTATTTTATAATTGTCTTTAAAAAATCTTTAAAAAGTGAATACTTTCTAATGGTACCATCACCACTTATGTCAAAATCAAAAGGAAGTTTCCAGCAATTGACAACAAGGGCTATCCCACAACAACCATGGTGGAGCCAAAATGTACAGATGAATCCAATTGAAGAGGAGGATCTGTGCCTCAAACCCACAAAAACATAGTTAAATTCGGCTTATTACACCAGGAAATTTTGACAAGAAGTTCTAAGGAAAGATCACAACTAAAAAAATATAGTGTTTCTGGTTTAAGCTCTGATTCCTGGCTGTGAACTTCAATTCTTTTTCACAGTAGCAGCCTTGATGATATCAATGAACTCGGGCTGATTGATGAAACGTAAAAGAAAAAAAAGGTGCAAGTTAGGCGAAGCGGTGGACGTGATGAAGACAAGGCATCATCAAATAAATGAATCAACAGTGGCACAATGAAAGAAGGAAAAATCACTAACCTTAAGAGAAGCTCCACCAACCAAAAAGCCATCCACATCTGCTTGTGCAGCCAATTCCTTGCAGTTTCCTCCATTAACGGAACCTACATTTAATTTGCAATGGATCCAAAATCAGATTCAACTGGGTTTAAGGGTGCAAAAACTTTAACCCAAGAATAGAGAGGTCAAGCAAAGTTTTAGATTTAATTTTTTAGAATGGCATTCTGAAAAAGAAGAATCCAATATGAATAGTTGTATACTATTAGTTCAGTTAGGAGCAGACACCAAAAACCACCTTTATACCATATTTACGTGTTTAGAAAGATTATGCGAAATTTTCTTAAAAGCACTTGGATAAGATCAGTAGGCTATAAAGAAAAATACCTCCATATATAATTCTAGTCGATGCAGCAACTTCAGCACTAACATTGTCATGAAGCCATTTCCTCAATTCACAATGAACCTGGAACATACCATCACACATTTGTAAGTACAACAATAGAGGATATTATTTCCTTGCGCACAAGTTAAGAAGAAACTGCTTAGACACCTCAACAAATGCTTAGATACATGATACTGAAATTCCCAAGGATTTATGGACCTTGGTAAAAAGGTAGTTACATATTAGCACTCAGCATTTATGGGAGGACAAAACAATTAACAGACGTTAAATGCCAAAGTGAATACTCCTCTCAAATGATATATGCAAAAAACAACTTACTTCCTGAGCCTGGGCAGGGGTCGCAACCTTCCCGGTACCAATGGCCCAAACAGGTTCATAAGCCAAAACAACATTACTCCAATTTGTTACTTTATCTACAAAAGAGCATTAACAGTTAAAAAGATGTATCAAAATGAAGAAAATGCAAAATTCTAATCCAACGTGGTTAAATAAATACAGATGGAGCCCACAATCATAAACTTTAACTAGAATATCAGACTTATGCTAACATGCATAAACAATCATAAACTTTAACTAGAATATCAGACTTATGCTAACATGCATCTGAAAAACAAATTATGCTAACATGCATCTGAAAAACAAATAATTGCTTTGCTTTTTATATTTTAAAAGAAAGTACCAGCAATTGCTTTGGTTTGTGCAGCAACGACAGCCATGGTAGAGCCTGATTCTCGCTGTTCAAGAGTCTCTCCAATGCAAGCAATCACTTTCAAGCCTTGAGAAAGTGCATATGCGACTTTGTCTCCAACAAACTGTAGAGACAAGCATTTGGAATAAACAAATGGACATGAATTAAAAGTAATAATCATAATAACTATTTGAGTCATTCAGAAAACAACAAAAACAAGCCCTGGAATTCATTACGTAGATTATGAAATAACAGGAACCTAATCGTATTGCTTACCTCATTGGACTCACTCAAGAGAGACCTTCTCTCAGAGTGACCAATAATAACCCATGGAATGCCCAGATTAACAAGCATCTCAGCACTGTTCAAAGAGTAGAACAGGAAGTTAATCGCCCATACGCAGACAGTGTCTGAATCTAAAAAGTCTGCTTAACAACAATGCTACAGACAGCCTAACATAAAAAAGATCTACATCGAGAGCTGTGAAAAGGAAGCAGATGATAACAGATAAAATCATACCTAACTTCCCCAGTAAAAGCACCACCTTTGCGAACCCAACAGTTCTGAGCAGCAACATGGAAATCAGACCGCAACAGACTTTTCACAAGGGTAAGAAACACAAATGGAGGGCTCACAACAACCTCTGCCAAAACATAAATTTGAACTTTGTAAATCTTAAAAGTAAAGTTTGAGCAGTTTTCAAATGAAGGAAATTTCGGACAAAAAAAACTAACCCACGACATCCTCAGAAGGAACTTCAGCTTCATTCAACGTGGTAACAATCTTCTTAACTTCCTCAGTTGTTCCATTCTGCAAAAAAAATCAAAACCCCAAATCATATAGATTTCAGCTAGAATATATACAACCAGATCTTAAAAGTTGAGAGCTATTTAAATTACCGATCATCTAATTTTTTGTACAAAACAAAATGAGATCTAACTACGTTTTCATCATCGGATATTAATAAAAAAAAAAAAAAAAAAAGAACCAGCGATCAGCGCAAGTTGAGGAGAGCATGGGATCGGAAACATAGATCGTTTGATTTTGACTGAAAAAGACGCAAAACTAAAGAGAAGAAGAAACATACGCATTTCCAGTTGCCGCCGACGAAGAATTTGCGAGCCATGAAATCTTTGCGTTTGGTTGCTTTTGGCGATGAAAACGAGAGTTAGGAGAAGAACAAGAAACCCAAAGCTACAATAAGGCCCACTGTAACAAGACTGAACGACAAAACCGTGGGTTGTCGCCCAGGGTTTTGTAGTGGGTGTTTGTGAGTGAAGGCGATCAAAAGTTCTCCGTTATTACAATAATGCCATTCTCATCCATTTTTACTAATTTAGTAATTTAAATTCCTATTTTCTTTTTTCCAAACTGTTTTTTACATATTTATATGGTTGTATTAATATAATAATAATAACTGTTTTACAACTTAACATTTTGACTCATCGTCAATGCTTATTATCATAGTCCTTTTTTTTTCCTTCCAATTTTTTATGCACACAAAACATTGTTGATAGGGATAAAAAAAAAAAATTGATTTAAAATTGTAATATTTAATTTAATTTCGATCGAATTTTTTTATTTGATTTAAATCAAATTTAAATATTAAATGTATATTTTAGATTTAGATAAAATTTTAGATTGAGAGATCAAAAATTAAAAAAAATTAAATCGAATTGAATTATATATTTTTTAATTTATATATATATTTTAAAATTTTATAAAATAAAAATAATAATTTTATATCAAAATTTATTTAAATATATTAAAATTTTATATTAAAATAATATATAAAAATTAAAAATCAATAAATCAAACTTAACCGAATAAATAAAATTTGATTTAATTCGATTTAGATCGAATGAAAGTTTGATTCAAAATAAAATCAAATTTTAAATTTTTATAATATTATATAATATCTAAAAAAATCGAATTGAATTTAATCACAACCAAAATGTTATCACCCCTAATTATTGATTATGCATATGCAGTACCACACTATGCCCAAAATAATAGGCATGCCTTCTAACTTGACAATTTCAAATAGGATATAAAGATATAATATGAAAATAATATAAATAAAAAATATAAAAATAACACGATTTAAAATTTTAATAAAAATTATAAATAAATTTAATAAAATAAAAATATATATTATATATTTTCATATCGATATAATTTGTAACACAAAATTTTTATATAAAATACGATACAAATATATAAATTTTTAATATTTTATATGACATAAATACATAAATTATCAAATAATGGATTCTAAAATTTTTTAACTGCTCATAAATAATATATAATTATTAATTAATTTATTAAATTTATCATAAAAAAATCCAAAAAATTTTTTTTAAGTGTTCGAATAAAAATTTTCCTTCAAATATATATTTTTTATTTTCTAATCTTTGGAATTTACACAAGCACTCTTCTAATATATATGGAACCGACACTGCTCTAACAAGTAACAAAGATCCGTTTCACTGTGGCTAAATTTGTTGCGTGGAAATCAAATAACTATCAAAGTTTCGAAAACTTCACGAAACTTGAGTCACACCATTTGATTTCACAGAGATCAACTTGTTTTCCACTGTCAGATTTCTAAAATCATTGCTGAAACAAAAGGAGATGCACAGTTTAATTGTAACGAGAAATGCAATGCTGAAACAAGAAAAGCAAATCCATAAGAAACCAAATAACAAAGTATCTACATTTTATTTTTTAAAAATTGAAACAAAACCATCTATTCTGAGTTTTGAAAGAACAAAGCTATTTTGAAAGGAACATCTAACTACATGTACATATAAATCAGAGCAAAGATAACAAAGAATAAATGCATGTGTGTAAGAAACCTATAACTATAACTAGAAAGGTCTCCTAACTCTTGTTGAGCCTGGCTGCTGTGTGAAATGAGCCCAAGTATAGATAATAAGACATGAGTGATTAGAGCTGATACTAAAACAATTGGAGCTGGAACAAGAAACGCATATTCCTGGTCAGTGCGAAACCATGCATTTAAAGGTGCAGTGAATCTAATCAGATGTAGAATGTCTTTCAAACATTGCTTGATCGCTTTTGCTGGGTGTTAGGGAAGTAAATGCAGCAGTCCAATCTTGTCTAGTAGATTCAGGCACTTGGTCATCCCCAAGGAAGGGAGTCCATGAGTCTGCAGAGGCATTCATCAACAACCAACCAACTTTCTCCGGCACATTACTGAAATCAAAGTTTAATGGCTTTGGTTTTTTATCAGACTTCTTCTGTTTGTTGCCAGCAGAGATCCCTGTAGACTGCAAAACAAAATTCAAGCATTCACCAAAAGCCAGGGGGTAAGAAGTAAAAAATTGGATAAATATTCAGCATTTTTTACCAACAAGGCTTTTATTCTGACTTACAACTTCTTCACTGCCAGGAGTCTCTGTTCCTTTCTTCCTTTTAGGTTGGAGCATTCCAGTTTCTAGAAAGTAAAGCACTTCTTTCTTCGATCTGAATTTTCGGCCCGAGGATGGATCAACATAATACTGCACAAGAAATGTTATCGTGTATGGCCATATTATCACCGCATTGCCAATTATCTCCTCACATAAATAGAACAATAGGGTCTCAATAAATTCTAATACATCCTACATGCACAAGAAACGTAGTACAGATGCAGCAAAATAAACCGATCTCAACTCAAATACACCATAAATGAAACGAAAATTTCTCATTTCCATAGTTTTCTATAATTCAGTAAAGCAATTTTGTAAACTACTAGTCCCCAAACTATGCAACATTCTCCCAAGTCCAATCCACATTTTTAGGAACCAACTTATACCGTTCCATTCATTCGCCAGATCCCATAATGCATCTTGTATCGGTGATGGGACAAAGACAAAAGCTCTTATATGTGTGTTTATGCCATACCAACTGTTAGCCTTTCAATCTAAAGGACCAACATTTCTGTCATTCAATTGAATTTCAATAAATTTCTTTCAAAACAAATGCTTCGATACCCCATGGTTATCTTAAGAGTTCCAAAGGTCAGTAACCATAAGATCTAAGTCTAGTACAAAGCATATGGATATAAGCTGGAAATACAATACAACTAATCTAACATTTAGTTTGCCTAGCCTTGGGAATAGAAGAAAGGAACAAGAAAGTTGAGTTCTTTCTAGATCAAAGTTCGCAAAACTAAGAACCCGAGAATTTGCTCTATTTATCAATTTGAAGGCTATAAGGATTTAATCTAACAAATGAAAAAAACCAAATATACACAATTTGATATCAGATAATCGTCGAAACCCAAAGAGAAAATCAAATAAAATTTTAATCAATACACTAAGATTAAACTTAACAGAAAAAATGAATCATGTTAGAGATGAGATGAGATGAACCTTATCAACCAATCCAGCTGTGGCACCTGAGCTCCGAACCCTATATTCGACCAACCATCCAGCTGGCAACCAAGTTTTCGGCGCCACGACGCGCCGCTTCACCTTGGGCTCTGCCGAGGACGGCGAGTTGTACGGGCCTAGTGCCGGTGTCTCGGGTTGGGCGCCATTGGGAGATTTTGGCCACTCAGCCGATTGGTTTTGGGCATTGGCGTCGACAAACGCTTCGGGTTTAAGGAGAGGTTCGGAAGGCAAATGGTCTGTGGAGAGTTGAACTGGGTTTGACATTGAGTAGATAAAAAAGGAGCTAGAGAAAGGGAAAGTATAAATAACAACTGAGATTTGAGACGCCACGCCACGGATTTCGGTTCCAAGATAACGCCGTGAGACTATTGCCGTTCATCTTGAATGCGTGTCATTAGCTTAGCATAGTATGGTACTTAATCGCCGTTAACCTTCAATAAACCTACTGCCAAAAGAAAATCTTCAATAAACCTCGCAGCAACATGCTTTCCATGTGCGTTCTAAGGGAAAAACCATAATATTATCATAATATCAATGTTTGTTAGTAAGTTTAATTTTGTTTACATATTAATGTTTGTTAGTTCAAGTGATAAAAAATTTTAATTTTATTTAAATAAAATTTTGATTTTAAATTTTATGAATAAAAAAATAAATTTTAAAAAATTTATCTTCCTTATAAAATCAAATTCAGCTCAACTTTGAATTATATAAAATCTAAAGTAAATAATAAAAAATTTCATATTAAAAAAAATAATATTATCACGGTGGATAAAAAAAAATAAAAAATTAATTTATAATAATAGTATTTGAAAAAAACATTCAATAAACATCGCAACAACATGCTTTTCATGTGTATTGTAAAAGAAAAACCATAACATTATCGCCGTGGAAAAAAAAAGAGAAAATAAAAATTAATTTAAAATAATAGTGTTAAATTTGGTTTTGATTTTTTATTCGGTTTGATTCAATATCAAATATTAAATATATATACATGAAGTTTGAATCGAATTTTAAATTTAAATATAAAAATAAAAAAATAAATATAATCGAATTATATATTTTTATTAATTTTTATATATTTTAAATTTTTATAAAAAATAATTATTTAATATATAAATATATTTAAATACATTAAAAATTATAATAAAATAATATATAAAAATAAAAAATCAAATATCCGAATATAATTGAATTAATAAAATTCAATTCAAATTAATTTTAAAATAAAATTAATTTAAATTCAAATCAAAATTTAAAAATTTATAATATAATATATTATTTAACAAAATCTAATCAAATTTAATCCAATTAAACCGTAATGATCCCGTACTTATTATATAATATTTGACTCGAATCCTTTACATAGCCAACATGGCATCATTGGGCCTATAAATTCTACTGAAACTTTGACCATTGGGTTTGGGTTCGGCCTAATTTAATTGGGTAGTGTCTAGTAATCTTGCACTGCTTCGGCCCACTCACAAGGGCCCTAACCTAGAGCATGAAGATAGAAAACACAACTATATATCAAAGCTTGGATCGAATGATTGCAAGCACTTTATACGAACATTCATCATACTTTAGAATAAGACCAAAATTAAAATGAATTAATAAACTTTTAGCATTAATTTTCAACAATACTAACTTAGGTTATTGTGAGGGATATTTTTTGAGTCAAAAAGTAAATTAGTTTTTTTTTTTTATATAGAACTGCCTACAATCGGAGTGGTTGGTTCCAAATCGTGGATAGAACCACGACGAAGTGGGCAATACATGGCCTTAACCAGCCACAGATCTATATAAAGTTGATGGAATTGATGGTTGCACTTGGAAAGAACCCTACAACGATCCCCATCCTTGAACTCTTCCAGGCAGACAGCACATGAGTCGGTGCAGTTTGACTCAGTTTCTTGATTCTTGTAGACAATAATGGTCCCAGCCGAGATATGCATTGAAGCCTGCTGCATCTCTGGTGGCTGTGTTTCCATGGCCTCAGGATGTGGCCCGGTTTCAATATCTTGTGGAGTACGACCAAAGGAGTCTTGCCCTGAAGTCCTTGTTGCTGCAAACCACGACGCCAGCTATTATAATAACTACAAGTTGCAGCCCCGCGAGTGCAATTATAATATCGGCAAAAATTGATGACGAAAACGTGGTGAAAAAGGGCGAGAGATCTCGACAGAGTATTTTGATTCAAGTGATCAGGCAACTATACTAAACAAAACCCAGCTTGAAGAACTATATATTGGCTTTTACGGGATTACGAATACGCGTAGTCTTAAGCAAAATTGAAATAGGGTTACCTATATCTTTTTCTTTCACATATCCCTATTAATTCTAAATTCATGCATGTGTCATAAAAATGTTCTTGGAACTTTCTCTACAAGTTATACAAAGATAAGAATGCAAACCTTTCCAAATCATTAATCACCCAGCCGCAGCCTGCCGGGCTAAACTTCAAAAAATAGGCTTAATTTCGTATAACAAAGCCCTGTAAACATGTGGTGGCCTGCCGTCAATACTTGGCCTTTAGTCAGTTAAATGCCCTGTGGCTGATGACTTGACCCTAAACCTCGTAGAGAACCACGGCAAAGCGGGCAATGCCGATCCCCTTGCATGCCAGCCACTGATCAATACAAAATTTATGATACTTGTGTTTACAATTGCAAAATCGGAACTTTTCCAGGCATATCGAATAATCGTCACAAGTTTCTCCGGTTTCATGGTTCTCTGCGTTGTCTGAGGCAAGGGAAATTGTACTACTCTTTGCATGGCCTGCTGTGGATTGCTTGGTTGCCTGCCTTCGATATCTTGTGGTGGTTGTACTTGTATCCACCCGCTGTTAAGGGCCACATTGCAGCACCAAATGAATAAAATTGGTAATAACCAAAGACATACAGATATTAGGATGTCTAGCAGATCAGTGACTAGTTCAAGAGTTTCCATTGTTAGAGCCTTAGAGGGTCATCTTCTCTTTTGGCTGGCTGTTCAAGCTATTATTACACACTTGTTTTTTATCCTTGAATATCCTGGAACTAGTAATTACTGGTAGTCTTTAGTAATAATTTACGTCTAAATAAGTATGATTCCAATATTGGAAGAAAAAGAAAAGCAAAGAAAATATATATGGACATAATTAAACAGGGCCACGACGAAGAGGCCAGCGTTCACTCGTACGCAGCCACTGATGAATACAAAGTTTATGATACATATGGTTGCATTTGGTGAAAATCCCATTCTCATCTACATCCTGGAAATCCTTTAAGTATGTAGCACAATTTCTGCAACTTGGAGTAGTAATTCCTTCTTCAACACTATCATAAAACACAGTTCGGAAAACTTCTACGACTACATGCTGCTGCTGTGCTGCTGTCGTTGTTCGTTTATTGTCTCTATTTCAGTATCATCAATATTTGCTGTGTGATCTTGATTTTGCTTGCACGAGACGTATAAGCTGAAGGTGATGATCATCAAAGTAGGAATCAAGTTTAGGAAGAGGATGACGGAGGGTCCTGCTGATTCTTTCGATGGAATTGGTGGTGGTTGCGTAGGCGGTGGAGGTGGAGGTGGAGGGAGGAGACTGTGCTAGCACTATGGCTACGCCTATAACTCTAGTATAGATCAGTGCTAATCGCCTGAAATTTTCCCTCTTCATATTAACTTATATTTTATAAATAGGAATCAATAAATAATTATGTTTTCAAACTTTTATTTTTTTTCTTGAAAATTGGTTACCGTTTGAATTTTTTTTTTCAATTTTAATAAGCAAATTAGAAAGGAGGAGTTTCAAATTTATTTATTTACTTTATCTTATTGAAAATTAAAATTAAAAAAAAAGAAAATATTGTTGGAAGCTAAGTACTAACAAACCAAGGTATTAGAGTGTCAATAAACAAAGGTTTTGACAAACTCTTGGTGAATATGTTTGGTTTGAATTCGTTTATTAAGTTTAACAAATAATTTTAAATAATATTTTTATATTTATTTATTAAACAAATTGAATATGAATAGATATTTTTTTAGTTTATTTATATTCATGAATAATTTTATTTAAAATTTATTTAAAATACATTCGTTTTTTGTTCGTTTATAATATTACTAATAAAATTATATTTTTATTTTTTGTTCTAATTTTATTTTAAAATTCATTTATATTTATTTAGATTCGTTTATATTTATTTAAGGTTTGTTCATTAAATTTGTTTGATTATAATTTATTTATTATTTATTAATATGTTCGTTTATATATATTTATAAATATATTTATTTAATATTTATGAACGAATTTATTTAATTTAATTAAATAAATATGAATCGAACATAAATAATTTATTATTTAAATAAATAAATAAAAATAAATAAAATAATTTTTTTTAGCAAATACGATTACTTCTAAAAATAAACAAATAAATCATAAATATACATCCATTTTTTTTTTTATGTTCGATTCGTTCAGAATCCTACACATTAGTTATTTTACGTATGTATAAAACAATCTATTGGGAGGTCCAATGGACCCTACGATATCCACTCGGGCTTGACCCAAATGAGAGGTGGGGGGGATGGAAATTGAATCCCATCAATCCGACGTCGTTAAGATCGAAGATCCTTAACACGCTTTCTTATTCCCTTACTCCCACCGACCTTGTTTTTAACTATAAATAAACCTAAAGGAACATTGGAGAAACCAAAAGAAAAAATTCAAACCCCCAATTAAAACTCTCAAATTTCCCCAATCTCTCTATACCTTTGTTTTTGTCTCTTCGATTTTCGTTTCCGATTCTAATCCAAAATCTGGTGAATCCCCAATTCTCTTCAAGAAACCCTAGATTCATGTCCAATTTCCCAATTTTAATATTATAAAACCCTAACTTTTCTGTTGTCTGCTGTTATTCTTTGATTTTTTGAAGTAAATCGAAATTCAATCCCCGCGCCTCAAAAAAAAAAAAAAAAACCTTCATTCGTCAATTTTGGGTTCTTCAATTGCTACAAGATGCCGGCCACCGCAGGTAGGGTTCGAATGCCCGCGAACAACCGGGTGCACAGTAGCGCCGCCCTTCAAACGCACGGGATTTGGCAAAGTGCAATCGGCTACGACCCTTATGCGCCCAATAAAGATGATTCCAAAAATTCATCGAATCAGATGGCTGCCGCTGCCGAACCCGAAGGTGAAAACGCATACGCTAGCTTTCAAGGGCTTTTAGCGCTTGCCCGAATTACCGGCTCCAATGCTGATGAGGCTCGTGGAGCTTGTAAAAAGTGTGGGCGTGTTGGTCACCTTACTTTTCAGTGTAAGAATTTCGTTAGCTTGAAGGAGAGTAAGGACAAAGACCCTGAAGCGATGCAGGCAGCGGTTTTGAATGGATTGGATAAGTTGAAAGGAGCGAAATTGAATGGAAAGAAGGAGGTGGAGAGTGAGGAGAGCGAGGAGGAAGAGGAAACTGAGAGTTCGGATTCTGATGTGGATTCGGAGATTGAGACGATTATTGCTGAAAGATATGGGAAGAAGGCTAGTAGTCAAGGGAAGAAGTCTTCGAAGAAGAAGAAAAGTGATGAGGGTGATGGGTTGGATTCAGATGATGGAGAGAGAAAGAAGAGGGGGAGGTCGAAGAAAAGGAGTGGTAGGAAGAGAGGAAGTAGTTATTCGGATGATGAGAATGAAAGTACGAGGAAGAGGAGGAAGAGGGATGATGAATCTTCGGACGATGATGATGAGCATCATCGTTATAGGAAAGAAAGAGCAGGAAGGAGAAGAGGAGAAGGAGAACTCATAGGTCTTCTGATGATTCTGAATCATCGGATGTGTCGTATGATTCAGGTAAGCGGCATAGGAGAAAAAGCCTGAGGGATGAATTCCCTTCTGATTCTGATGTTAGTGGCTCCGATGATTCTCGGGTTGGAAAGGGTGCAAAGCGGTCTAAGAATAGGAGCAGGAAACGCCATCGTGAACATGATGAATAGAGGCTTTTATCAAAATAATGCTTGTTTATAATTCCCTTTGTTTAAGGTATACTGTGATCATATTCTGGTTCTACTTTTTCGAGCAAGCTTCAGATTGTTTTGTCTGCTATTACTCTTTCAATATGTATAAGATTCTATATTTAATCTTTTTAAGATACATCCTCAAGTGATTGTGTGCATGGTAAAAATCATATTGAAATTGCCCCAGTTTACGAAGAACTAGATTATGGTATTTTCAGTGCTAGAGGTTCATAAAAGACTATTTGTTCAGTGGTGGGGTTTTTGCCTGAATGATTTCCTCTTTGCACACCAATCGTGGTGTGATTCTGTTCTTTGAAATTAAATACGTGTGTTAAAATTAGTGCTGAAATAAAAGATAATGAAAACAGAGTTATTGATTGAGGCTTACTACATTAATTGATATGATTCATATAAAAAATGAATGTGGAATTTTACTTTTGAAGATGTATAAGTTAGCATGCACAAGTGCAGTCTGAGAGGGATAGATTTAACTTGTTCTTTTTATCTCTTCTTCCAACAGCCTCATAATTTATATTTGTCTTGGCATTAAAAACTTCAATGACTCTCTGGGCGATCTCTCCTTCTACATCTCTAGATCCTTGCAGAGCTTCTTCTCTCTAGTTCTCCTTAAATGTCTGCTATCCTTGGTTTGTAAGTTTTTTTTCTTAAAAAATTGAAAATGACCTTGTGGAAAGCTTTACTGCTATCTTACGCTGGCTAGGAAATTCTTGCGGGAAAATTTATAGTTCGACATGTTCTTTCTTGTTTTGCCTGTTAAATCCTGTTAAGAGTTCTTCCTGCCTGATGAGGTGAATTTGAAGAATCTTTAGTCACATTGTTTTTATTCTTGATTTATTCTGCAAGGAGTTGCATTTTATCATTTTAAGTGACCTATGTGCCACTTTTGTAAGGGATTCCCCAGTTTCTCATATTCTGCAGTGCCTTTCAATTTTGCAGAGATGTTTGTACCTTAAGTTGTTAATGTCTTGGAGAAGATTGTTTAAGTTGTTTGTCATATTGCAAACATGTTATAGTTCTGATTTGGAAACCAAAAAAAAAATGTAGTAAAAGAATTTGCAGAGTCACATTATGTCTTGTGTTTAGTTGCCCTGTGAATAAAGCTGACATGTTCAATATCGTACGTAGGGCATCAAATATCTAATGTAAGATTGTTATGTGCAATTGCTTGTTCTTTAAACAAGTTGCTACTAGATGTGGCTAATGACCATCCTTGTGTCTTTTGCGGACGTTTTGAGGCCATCAAGCAGTAAAAATCTTGGTGCTTGAAACATAACTTGTTGAAAAGAATGAACATTACACAATGGTAATAGCTCATTAACTATCAAGGTGAATGAACCATCTTGCATAACAAATATTTATTCAATCGTATTTGATTTCGCAAGAGGAAATCAATAATAACAAATTCTTTCATAAACAACAATTGTCAATCCCCAGCAATATCCTACCTTTCATATGAGATTGAGAAGAACCCTATTAATCCAAAAAGAAAAATTCTACATGATAAGCAAAAACATTTTGAGCCCCACTCATGGTGGTTTATTGGCTTTAATCTTGTGTTGCAGCCTGCGAGTTGAGCTCTGCAAACCTCAGGCCCACACGCATCGAGTGCTTCAAGAACTTCTCAGCACATCGCATGACACAGGTCTCCTCTTGCTTCTGCAGAGTCTTGCGAGTAAAGTTGTCAACACAGTCATTGAAGCATCTCTCTACAAGTGAATTGTACATTCTCAGACTGGACATCAAATTGAAGGAAATAATTAGATCAATAGAGACAACCCCCTAGTAGTAATCAGTATAAATAACAGGTAAAATCAAAAGCACCAATTAACCAGACAAAGGTTTTTTTTTTTTTTTGGTTGGCTAAGGGGAATCAGCACTTTAAACAGTATGAAAAGAAATTTACAACGCCTTCCAATCATGGTGAATATTGGTACATGGAAATATGGAGATCCTATCCTTCCAACCCGAACCCGCCCCAAACAACAGGTATGCATTACCATAAATTGCAGAAACAAACGAATCCATGGTGGCATTATAAACACAAAACAAAGATGAAGGGCCGGTTATAACAAGAAATAGGAAAGACCAATAAGGAGGTAGCTATAAACCAAGTGGGGAATTGTGTCAACCATCATGCTCACTCCATCCAATGAAGGCAAATACAAAAAATGCAGGCAAAATACTAGCTAAAGCATCATAAAAAAGGGCTATACATTATAGAATGTAGTTCCCAAAACGTCCAGAGGCAACATAAAAGTGCTGCACTGGTTATAAGGAGAACATCTCTTTAGCTTCTCGTCATACACAGAGCAACAAAACCCAGATGTGGAATTGGGAACCTGCATTGACTACAATCTGAGAAGCTAACCTATAAATAAAAAAAATATAATAAATAATAAAAAAAAAACCCAAACAAGCTGAACCCATTTCCTATAACCAAATTTCTTAGCGAATTCAGAAATCTCATTTGCATCAATTTTTGGATTCAGGAATAGGATAGGAAACGCAATAAGCGAAATGAAGGGGAAAAATGGGAAATTTAAGAAAAAAAGAGTGAATCACGTCACCAACCTGTCACGAAGCTGGAGGTGGTCGATCATGGCGGACATTCGGATCTTATCTTCTTCAGGGAGACCCTCGAGCCCTGCTAACATGTTCTTGTCCATACTGGATCCTCTCTTTTCCAATCGAATTTCCTGTTAGGGTTTTTCTTTTTGTTCTTTTGAAAGGAGATGATGGGCAGGAACGAAAGGGCTTAATTTCCCTTATTTAAGTAACAGAGAACCCTAGATATCTGCGGACTAGAACGGTGTCGTTCAAGCCCATACTGGGCCATAATTTGACACTTTGGATGTGTAATGGGCCGGATTTTTCATGGTCAATTTGGACCCATCCGGAAAATATGAAACATTAATTATATAAAAATGCAAAAAATTGTAAAATACTGACCAATTCAAGGGACCATTTATTCAAGGAGAAGGTCTTCGGGAAATATATAGATGACTTTTCATTGATCTCAAGAAGTGCCTCATTAACTAGATCAAAAACGAGCTGGTGATCACAGTTGATTCCAACTTTCTAGTTCAGGGTGCAAAAATGTCTCCAATTCCTTGAACAATGAAGGGTTCAGTGGTTGGTCCGTTGAGTACCATGTTTGGAGGTACTCATTTTGTATGAAACCTGAGAGCTCAAGAATATCTCTAACATAATTGTAGCAAGGAACGGCGTTTTTATCTGATTCAAAGATTAGGAAGCGACTGCTGATTCCCATGATTTCATATTCAACACTTTCATGGTTTATGCGGTCTTTTAAGAAGGTACGCAGTTTAGCCAAAACAATTAGCAGCCACTCCTCCAACAATATGCATGGATCAATTTTCTGAATTATGCATCGGAGAAGTATTCAAAATTTCTATTAAGCAAGACTGCAACTTCCATTGTGCAAGTTCATATTGTAAGGTAGACATATTTATCTTCTGAGATTGTAAGTACTGCCTTGTTAGTTATGTCACTTAAATATGAAGTTGGTGTTGAGAATAATGACTCAAATCTCATAAGAGATTTATTTGAGATTTGTTTGAGATTTGTCATATATTGCTTGACGGACAAGAAGACTTGTCAAAGAAAAATTTTAAGAGAAAGATGATTCTTAATAGGTAAGTTTGACTTACAGAAAAAGAATTCTAAGAGGAGAAGGATTTTTAATGAGTAAATTTGTATGGTTATAAATAAGTAAAGTCTCTACAGGATTAGGTATGAGAAAAAGATATAAGAGAGTTGTAGAGTTTTGTGGGATAGACACCCCATAAGAATATTGGGGCTTAACGTCTTATGGGTGTGTATGTTTGTTTGTGAGTGGATTAGAAGAGATTAAGAATATTTGGGAGCATATGGGTATGTATTTAGTTATGTTGAAAGGGTGCACAAGGATTTTGATTTGTGTTTGTTTGGATTGAGAATACTTCATAAGATTAGAGGAGATTGAGAGTGTCTTATGAGTATTGACTGTTGAGTGAGGTTGATAATTTGATGTATGGTTGTAATTCTCTACAATTAGTCGATCTTGTTTCTCATCCGTGAACGTAGGTTGATTGAATCGAATCACGTTAAATTATTGTCTTTTGTGTATTTGATTTATTGTTTGATTTCGTTCCGTTAATGTGATTAGATTGAAGGCTTTTAGCCCAACAATTGGTTGTGTAAGCTCTATGCTTGGATGAGTGCAAAAACACTATCCCGCTCATGGTAAGGACTGCTTTTATCCATTGGCAGCTAACTGTATCTTCATTGGAGTCGCATGGTTTCCCATCTGTCAATTTTTCCTGTAAGTCAGCCCCTAGAACAGCTTCTACTTGTTCAAATTTATCTATATCTTCAGGAAAACTAATTGATTTTGGTTCATTATGTGCATCACTTTCCTTGTTTGCATCATAATCTAAGATACTACTAATTGGCATCTCTGAAGAAAGGGCATCGCGAGACACCTCATCTAGAAGGAAGCAAAAGGACTCAAGATCAGATAGAGAGGAAATCCTTCTGAAAAAATTCGGAGCATGCCCTCTTGATAGAAATTTATCGTCATCGGTCAATTTTAAGCTCTTAAGAGTGATGCAAATCAGCCTCTTTGCTTACACTATGCTCAAACAATTGAGTATATCTATCTAGCGACTCATTTGTAGACATTGTTCTTCTTATCCTCTTGAGTCTACAATTTCTTGTATCATTATCAGAAGCATTAATCTGAAGAGAACTATTGAAATTGTTTATAGTATCCTGCTCCATAGTTGTCTTTTCGGACACTTCTCTGTCATTTGAAGATAATGTATCTCTTAAAGAAACCTGGAGGGTGAGTCCATCCACCATTGTGTGGCTAATGCTCTTTCTCCTTTCCTTGAGGGCCTGCTTTATTCTCAGCTTAATATCCTTGAAGGGATTCATAACAAATGATTCCACCTTTGAGAATCAGATCCCTGGGACGAAGAGCTTGCTTCTTCTGTTATGATACTCCTAGAATTATCATCAGTTCTCAAAGCCCTTGACTCTGATAATTGAGTACCAGCGAGTGATTTTTCTCCTTTTCTGAAGGACCAAACTTCCTTCCGCTTGTGCTCAAGTGTGCTAAACCCAAGATATCTAGTGCGAGATGAATCAGGTACTGGAAATAACCCTGAATTTGTTAATTTTACTGTCTTGGAAGTTTGCTTTCCGGGAAAATGCTGTGAAATACCAACCTCCGGGTCTTGGAGAATATCTAGGAATAAATCTTTGTTTACCTTAAATATCTCCAAAACATCCACGCCCTCCTTAACCTGATTATCTGAAACTTCTTCGTTGAGCTTCTTAGCCATTAGCTTCTGATTAATTAAGGTTATGGGTCCCCTTCTTTTATCAGACTTCTGGAATATAGTATGCTTTCCAGAATTCTCAATATGTTCCAAGCCGTTGTCTGCATCCATTCTGTCATGGATATCAGGCTTTTTACTCCTTGTAACTTGTTTCCTCGGGATCTCTGTTCAGAGAGGAAGTCGAGCTGGTCTCAGAGGTATCAGCTTTCATTCCGACGAGATTAATTGGATTAATCCAACCAAGACCAAAACCTGAAGGTACCAGATGATGCGTTGAATCAGTTTGCTGTGACTGTGGTCTTGCAGAAAAGCCCAAAATCTCAGGTATATGGTTCTCTTCCTTTGGCTTTTCTTTACCAGTTAACCCTTTTGTGGATGCTTTACCAGAGCTTTTGTTGGTTGAGCCTGTTTTTCTTGTTTGCTGTTGAACCTGTTAAATTAGGCAAGTCAATTGATACGGTTGCATGCAAAAGAAAAAATTCCATTGCATGACTAAACCAACAATTAGAACTTGATGTTTGGCTGTTGATCGTCACATGTAATAGTATATATGAAGTTACTAAGAATTTTATGTCAACTTACTTGTATGTGGCCCTCCTCACCATCTGATAATCCTTGGGTTTCACCAGGTTCACATTCCATTGTAATCGTTTGCAGATATGCACAGCCTGCAATTAAGAAAAAATAATGCTAAGATCTGGTTGGATCAAGTTGGCACGGTAAAATCAGATTTTTAAGATGAGATCTAATTATGTTTCACTTAGCAGTGAACTACTCAGCTTGCTTATATTTAAATGCAAATTAGTGCTGCAACCGAAATGGCCTAAATTGTACCATACAAACCAAGCATTGTGCAGCGTTACAGATAAAATTTTGCTGCCTGGGGTGTCTGAGGATACAAACTTTTGCAGCCTTATAGCTTTGATGCCATGGTCGATTGGACAAACTAACACGCTAACGGTCCATTTGGGAGCCCAATTGGAGGGCTCTCATTGCACTGGAGGGTGCGTTTTATGGCTGGAACGGACTCCCAAATGAACCCTAAGTCTGGAACTTTTAATAGGGGATGCATCAGAATACTTATTATTACATTTTAGTAAGAAAAGCCTTTACCATTGTTATATCTTTCACTTAAATGCATCAAAACAGTACATTCTATGATATTGTGAAGCATTTTATCTTAATCCTACATTGGTTTTAAAGCAAAAATTGCATTCATCTAATTAAGGGGACTGGAAAAAAAATAATTGACACTTTCAGCAATAAAAGCCTTAAAACTGATATGGATTTTGCCATGTCAAAGCATGGTTTAGAGTGTTAATATCTGCAGCAAATACATGAGATAAAAATTAGAAGCTCTAACATTATTCTCTGTACCACATGAAAAAGGTCAAGCCCCAAAATTTCTTTCGAGGTCCTTTTACACATCATAATGAAGTAGTTTCTTGCTAGCATTACATCTGCCATGTCTTCCTCTGTTGTACTTTCAGTGTTGGAACATCATTTTGACATTTTGCCAATGATGGTAGACAAGAACATTAAATATGTCCCCCATGCAACCTGTATGACAACTCTCAAATTCAACATCATCATGATGTTCATAAAATTCCCTTCCCATGTTGAATTCAGCCACAAATAATTGCTTCCTTAAAGCCTGAACCCTCTGGAGTAATGCTCGATTTCAACTAGAAGGCCCAGCCTCCTGTAAAACCTTACATAGCGGAAAAACAAGGTGAAAAAAGGGGACTCAGTATTTCCTATACCTAATGCATCAAGTATGAATAGGTAGAGGGAAAAAATTAATTTGCCAAAAGCATTTTGAAAGCTTAATCATGTTAAAATCTTACCTGAAATACAGAAGGGCTTAGGATTTTCTTTAGGCATGAGAGAGCTCAAAGCTCTGAACCAAGCAAGAAAGTGAAAGAGACAACAGAAAAAACCTATATATTCAACATCTAATTTATTTCTCTTTGTCTCCCTTTCCGTTTAAGCTGAGAAATCCTTTCCAGTGACCTACAACTTTGAAACTTAAAAACTATACGTGCTGATTAAGCCTTTAGGCAAAGAATTACCCTCGAATGTTTACTTAATTTTTGGTACAAAACATGCATGCATCATCAATTGAGCAGAGAGCATTGCAGTTTTGTTTGTTAAATCAAGTTTTGGTGGTTGAGAATTCAACAGAGGGGATCCACTGACGGAAATAAGAAAGTCATGAAGAAATAAGATACTTCAACTGATAAATATAATTAAGAAAAAAGTATATATAAACTGTTCTTATCATTATATATTTATATGAGTTGTTCAAAGCTTTTGATGTCCACTTGGAGGGACTGAACATTAGAATTTAGAACCTAAAAAATTGGCCTAGAAAATGGGTGAAAAGGTTTCAAACTATTCCAGAAGCCAATGCCTCAGGCTGATCATTGATCAAGATCAACCTACCCAAATCCCCTAGCAACTTTGCCTGCACACTTACTTTTCAGGTGGTGGTGAATGGTGATGGAGATGCTTGACGTTATATGTAAGCAGGGCCAAAGCTATAAGTTGCTTTTGCCTGTTGGATTCAAAGTAGCCCAAAATGCAAGCTGTTCCTTCCTGTTAAAAAAGTTTGTCGTTTAGTTGCTATGAGAAGCAATCACTTTTGTCTTTAAATCTGCCATTTTACTCCAAAAAAATGATAGCCATGCAGAACTCGACACCTTCAAATTAACAAAAAAAGGAGATGCAAGCAAAGCTGCCTTTGTCCTTTCAATTTCTAAAGCAAATATGGGTCTCCCTGCATGGACGGTGACTGCTGTCGTAGCCACCGCCCAGCATTTAGACACAGTCCTTACAATCAGGGTCCCCACTCTTAACACATAGCCGTCCCTAATAAGGAATCCTAATTTTTATGACAAAAATTAAACAAAAAATAAAATGAAAGTGAAGGATTTAACAATCTCATGTTCTCATCAGGACAGATCAAATTGCTTTAAATAAGCTCCATGTATGTAAGTCTGTATGGGATAAAAGTTCAGGTGTGTTCAGCCTTTCACCAATAACTTTCAGGACTCATGTTTTCTGCTATAAATTTATTGCTCTCACTTATTTCTCTATTTTTTTTTTCGTTACATAGGGGCAAGTTCTAGTACAAATAAAAAATAAAAAAAAAATTCGATTTGAAATCAAATTTTTAATATTTCTCTAAAGACTTTTAATTATTAAATTAAAAGCTTGAAGATATTTATTTTTTTATTCAATCATAGTCCGAAACACCTCTCCGACCAAATTAGTTTTATCTCTGGCCATTCAATCCTTCTCAATATAAGAATACATATATATATATATATATATATATGATTAAGCAAATATTTAAATTTTATTGTAACATTAATTGAATTTAAATATTAATTTTAATAAATTTTATTTAATATAAATATTTTGATAAAATCTTTAATCGTAATAATAATTATTATTATTTTCAATCTCACCGTCATTCAAATTCCACTCAAATGTTTTTTAATTTTAGGGTTTTATTCTTTTTGTAAACAATCCATAGTATATAGCCCTACTATATACATATTTGACTCAAATTAAAGAAGCATTGCACTTGAGATATTTATAAAATATTTAGTAATAATTAAATTCGGTTGTAATTTATGATCTTGTTATATTTTTGGAATATTTATATTTCTTTCCATGTGGATTTGCTGGAGCTGGAGTCATACATCTTCAAATGGCAGCGTGCTGATGGTTCGTGCACATTGAGGCCACCATTGTCATCGCAAAATTTAATACAATAATCAAGTCAAGCTATCATGCTTAGAAAACTATGATCATGTCGGACAACTTTATTTTGAAAATTTTTTTGTGAGGTCAGCGATTCTTGATTTGTAAGTTTTGTTAAGTAGATTATTTTTTTAATTAATTAAAATAAATTTATTTATGTCAAATTTAATAAATTTATAAAAATTATTTTATTATAATTTTAAGTGAATTTAAACTCAGGCAATGAAAAAAGTATATTTTATTTACAGCTTGAATTAAATATTTGTTAATACTTTATTTTATATTTGATTTTTTTAAAGTGTAAAAAAAATTATTACAAAATGTTTGGATTAAAGTAAATAAATTCAAACTATGGATAGTAGCTGGTTGGATTAAGACGAATTTTTACTCGTCATGAATTTAATCTAATTCAATTTTCTTTATATCCAAACTCGATTTTTAAAAATATTATTTTTAAAATATAAAATATTATTTTTAATATAAATATAAAATTAAATAAATATAAATATATAATTAATTAATTAAAAAATATTTTTTTATGTATATCAAGTTGAATAAAATTAAATTTACCTAAAACTTGACTTGATCTTAATTTTTTCTTCTATCAGACCTGATACTTCGTTTTAAAAAAAAAATCAAGTTCATCAAATATAAGTCAAATAACCTTTTCTAAATTAGACCCTAATTCATTAAAGTAACGCTTTGAATTTAATCAAGTTTTTCTCTTAATTTTGGTTTATATATACACATAATATTTATTTTCTCATTTAAAACCTAATCTTATCATCAATAAAATTAAAAATTATTGAAAATATTATTGATAATTCAAATTTATTTAATTGTAAAAAATTTATCAAAATTTTTAATAAAATACTTATTGTAAAAAGTAAAAAAAATTAATTTTTTAATTTTGTATTCTTATACCAAAACCTTTCAATTTATCGTTTTAAAATTTAAAATTTAATTGATTATTTTTAATAAAAATCTCACAAAACTTTACTTGAAAATTTCATTTAAAGTTTTGTCTGTAACTCAAGTTATTAAAAGGATCACCCTTCGATTTTATATAAAAAAAAAAAAAATAATTAGGACACCCTTTGTTTCAATTAAGTTAACAAAACCTGTCGTAACAGCACGTGTAGTCACTCACATCAATGCTGCGAATGTGGAAAATGAAAGGAAAAAATTGCATCGATCTGTATAGAAATCCAAATTATCATCATCATCATCATTATTATGATCATTATGATCATCCATCATCCCCACATCATCAAATCATACTCTCTTTCTCACTCACTCACTCTCCTACTCTCCACTCTGCCACCCTTCAAACAATCTGAGCCTCTACGCCCATTGTTTTTCTTTCACTCTCAAAACTCTGCAAAGACAGAGAAAGAGAGCAAAAGGTATGGCAATTTCATTCACAATTTCCCATATTACCCCTCTCGTATTCTTTTATTTACTCCTCCTATCCTCCTCCTCTAAAACCACCACTGCCACTGCTCTCAACATAACCTCTATCCTCTCCTCCTTCCAAAACCTATCCTCCTTTTCCTCCCTCCTTTGCTCCACCTCCGTCGCCTCTGACTTCACCCGCAGCGACCCCATTACTTTACTCGCCGTCCCAAACTTATACCTCTCGCTTTCTCCTTCCTCCGACGTCACGCGCCGCCTCCCACCATCCTCTCTTGGCGACATTCTCCGCTACCACATTCTCCTACAATACTTCTCCTGGACCGACCTCCTCCAGATCCCACCCTCCGGCGTTCTCGTAACCACTCTCCTCCAAACAACAGGCCGGGCCCGTTCCAACTTCGGCGCCGTTAATATCACCCGTAACCCTTTAACCAACTCCATCACAATCCAATCACCCGCTCCCTACTCCCCCTCAAACGCCACCGTTTTGTCCTTAATCAAAACCCTCCCTTACAACATCACAATCCTAGCCATTAATTCGCTCCTTGTTCCCTACGACTTCAATCTAATGGCTTCCGAAACCCGCCCTCCCCTTGGCCTCAACATTACCAAAGCCCTAATCGACGGGCACAATTTCAACGTCGCGGCCTCGATGTTATCCGCTTCTGGCGTTGTTGACGAATTCGAAGCCGACGAAGGCGGTGCTGGGATCACTCTCTTTGTCCCCACCGACGGCGCCTTCGCCGATCTTCCTGGAAACGTGAAATTGCAGTCGCTTCCAGCTGATAAGAAATCGGTGGTTCTAAAATTCCACGTGCTTCATTCTTATTACCCTTTGGGTTCACTGGAGTCCATCGTGAACCCAGTTCAACCCACATTAGCGACGGAAGATAACGGCGCTGGCAGCTTCACTCTCAACATTTCCAGAGTCAACGGATCCGTGGCGATCGATTCAGGAATCGTTCAAGCATCGGTTACCCAAACGGTTTTCGATCAAAACCCCGTTGCAATTTTCGGGGTTTCCAAGGTTTTGTTGCCTAGAGAGATTTTTGGGAAAGATCCGACGGTGGTAACAGCAAAACCGGGGAATGCAGTGGTGGGGACAACGGTTCCACCACCGGAAATATCTCCATCGCCAGAGAATTCACCTGGGTTAAGTGGCCCAGCATCACATCTTTCGTCACCGCCGGGGTTTCGAGAAGAGATAAAATCGGACGGTCAGAGATATCGAGTGCAGAGCTGCATTGTTGCTCTGTGTTGTATAGGATTGTATCTACTGGTATGAGCTTGAAGCATAATTATTTTCATATTTTTTTCACTCTAAATTACTGGATTCTAAATTCTATCTCCAGTGCATCAATTTTTCTTCCCTTTTCTTGTTGTAAAATGTAAATCTTTTCATTTTGGTAATATAGTATCCTGCATATGTATCATTTCAATAATTAATGGAATTTTCAAGAACATTCATGCTTAATCTCTTTTTATACAGTAAATTCATATTTTTGATTATTTGGTAGATAAAAAAATCCGGGTCTTCCAAATTCAACAGTCAAGACCCAATTTTTTTTTCTTTTTCTGTTTACCCTTCTGTAGCAATTACAAAACTATAAAGAACCAAACTTTTCCATCAAAATCCTGACTTCTCAGAGCTTTGCAGCACCACCAGTTTTCCCAAAGTTTTGATTTTTTTTGGGAATGGGCAAAAAGCGGCTTGTTTTGGCCGGTAGAGCAAAGTTGCTACAAGAAGCTAAAGTGGGGGCAGTTTAGTAAAAAGAGAAATGCATGCATTTTACAAGAAAACTGCAGAGAGGCTGAGAGAGGGTGAGAGAATCTAACATGTTTTGGACTGTTATGGCGTTTTGCTAGATTTTTTTTTATCAAGTCATTGCATTGCTGTAAGGGCAGTAGTGAAGAAAGCAAAGAAAGTGGGTGACAGAAGGCAGGGTGACGGAGGATTCTGGCCTGGTCCCATGATTTTCTACGGTTGAGATACGACATTGAGTTTAAGTGAAAGCGTGCTTAGCTGTTTGATTGCTTGATAAGATCAGTGTGAAAATAAAAAAAAGAAAAGGACAGCGTACGGGGGGAGATCAAGGGTGAGGTGTGCTCGCAGCTCAGCTTTAATTGAGTTCTTGTTGGTTCCGTGTAAAATGTAAGACGTGGGCACTTGTCTGATAGTTACTGCATTTTGAGAGACTTTGTCACGATTTCAAAAGAAAAGGGTTGATGGGTCCGGTTGGAGAACTTTTGGATACTGCCTTTGGCAAGGGAACCCCACAAGAGTAGAAAATTTTATAAAGCTTATGATCTCGAATCCGGTTGTAGAAAATTTTGTAAAGATTGGTTTTCTATGAAACATGATAGATGATTTTGACTTTTAGCTAAAAAGATGGGATCGATGGTTGTTTGTTTTGAGCTCCATAGAAATGGTGCATCTCAAATAAATTGTTTGCATAAATTCTAAAGTAATTTGTTCCAACTAGTAACTAAATTGGTGGTGTTAGCCATTAATTCTTTCAAATATACCGAAGACCTTTTCCTTGTAAGATATGTAGAAGGTATCATTTTTAGGCAAAGGATATCTTTATTGGTGTAGACTTAATAATTTATATATTTATTTCATGTAAAAAATTAATAATTTGTGTATTTATATCGATTTTTATATAAAAATTATGTGTCATAATTTATATCAATACGAAAATATAAAATATATTATTTATGATTTTTATTAAAATTTTAAATTATATTTTTTTATATTATTTTTATATTATATCGTATCGTATTTAAAATTATCATATTTTAAAATCACATTTTTCATATATATTTAATATGACATGGACCAAGTGCTACAGCATGGAAAGGAAGGAGCCCAATCATTATAGGCTATTTTCTTCCTCTAGGCCCAGCAAACTAAGAGGCAAACAAGGTCTTTTCTTCTTGATGAGCCGACATAATTCCCAATTTACAATCACAACTCAATGGGCTGCAATTTGGGTTTAAATCTGTGGGGTTTTAAATCTGTGAAGAGAAGGCAGAGTGTGAAGCCTATGAATGATCATATTGTCTATTTTGAACATCTTTTTCAAGTCAATGCCATGTTTTTTTTGAAATACAATAAACCTGTCACCCCACCCACAAACAAAACCAGTTATCTTGGTCTCATGGTCAATTGAATTTGAACTTGGGAGTTGTGCTGTAAATGAGCTGTTATTTGAAAAAAATGTGTATGAATTGGTCATAAGCAAGAAACTTTTGGGTCAATTAAAAAGAAATTGAAGATGTTGGTATTTTACTAGTAATAATTTATGATAAAAATACTCTGTAAATTAAGAAGGTTGAATAAAACTTTGAGTAAACAGGAACCAAAATGTCAAAGCAATTTTGTTGAAAATTCAGTACTATTGACAGGATCAAAACATGGAGAACAATACAGGAATATCATTTTCCCTTTGAATATCGATTGGCAAATAGTAAGTCAAGACCTCTCTCTTCTGCCTACCTTCCTCGCACGCATAAGACAAGATGTTTCCCCATGGGCGCATGTGGATGAGGTAAGAGCCTAAGATAGATTAGCCTGAGAGAGACTATATTTGATTTGAGTGATCGCATGCGTGTCTTTGAAATTAAATAAGAATATCAATTGATATTTATCATCTTAATCAACTTTAAATGATGATATTTATCGTCAAATAGTAATGTGAATTTTCTGAAATAACAACCAATCTTGTTGTCGAAGATGGCAAATAGGAGGAGGGGATCAGGATGTGGGATGGCAACAGAATGCAGAGACAATTTTCTCAACAGTGATCCCTAGTGGAGATTGGTGGTGGTGATCCTGATAGTACCTGACACTGACCATGGTGGCTACAATTTCATTCCCAGTCAAACTATCTGGATTTGTGTTTGCTCAATGGCTAGCATTCTCTCTTTAAATTATCTTTCTTGATTCACAAATTTTACCCCAATTTGATATCCTTGCAAATTAAGTTTCATTGACTTTTATAACTTCTAGATTCTACCTGTAGTCTGAATCAAACTTCTATATTAGGTCATGTTTGAATTCATTTTCCCTGTCCAATATGAAAGCACAAGCAGTTATTCATTGACTTCTTATAACTTCTACAATATTAAGTTTGAATTTACTTTGTTTTCAATTATTCTTTCCAATACTCTTCATGTAATAATTCGCAGATCATTTCAAACCAAAACATCCTTGATGTTTTATGGAAGAATAATTTAATTCCAAAACAGTAACATTGATCACACAAAAACAGGATTGAGACAAGACAGATTGAGCATAAAGATAGAAGATTAGACCCAACAGAACTCAACCTATGACTTTTATGGGGCTTTAAGAAAAAGCTTTTGTCCCTTTGTTCCAGGAAAGGTGATTTGGAAATTAGGATTGAGGACAGTGAAATGAGGGAAAAAGACCAAGGTTCATGGAAACTCCCTTTCTTCGCAGTTAAGGGATTCACAGTTATTGTTTTTGGTCAAAATCAAAGTGTGTTTCTTGATAGAAATGGGAAAAAAAAATCACTGTTAGGGGAATTTTTTGGTTTTAAAAGATAAATTGGTTTTTGCTTTCATTACAAATTATAAATAGACAATTAATAACATTTTTAACTTTTGAATTGATTTGAAATATATAATATCACATGAATTTAATTACGTTATTATTTTATTTCACAATTTTTTTATTTATAAATAAAATCATTCAAATACTATCTATCTATCTTATTTTCTCTTAATCTCTTTATTTCTTTACTTCTTTCAACTAACTTTTAATTTGAACTTCAAAATGTAAATGTAAAAAATATTCCTTGCCTTCATCCTTAATTACTCTCTTTCTCTCATGTAATATCAGGGCATTGACTCTCATCTCCGAGTTCTAACACCAACATCCACCTACCAAGTTCGACACCAACATCCACCTACCTAGGACAAGAAATTCAATTGTCTTCCATCCTTTTAAGACACATGATTCAGAATGCTGGGTTTTAGGTAAAAAAAGAAACAATATGAATCTACCAATGCCTAAAAGAAAAATGTGAATGGAAGAAATAGATTAGGCCAAATAAAAAGAAAAACAGAATGGTTTAGATGAAGTGGACAGCAGTATGAATGTACACACATGCAATTGTGCCAGCAAGGCCAAAAGGTCCACCATGATAATAACAACAAGACCCACTAATGACTAAACTCCACAGCTTGAATTGAAAAACACCCACCAGCTATAGTGGAAACACTAAACAATTAAGCTATCAAATGTTGCATCTTTCCTAATATAATATATATATATATATATATATATTTTAACTAAAGTCAATATTTTAGGCACCCAAATCAACATTGACATATGTATATACATTTTTTTATATCTCCAGCTTGATGAGTCAATGTATCAGGCCACCATATTTTCTTCTAGAGCTGTTTGAAGTTCAGAAAATGTGTTCTAAAGAAATATGGGTTGATGAATTAGTCATTATTCATGATATAAGCATTAGAAGTTTGTTGGGATTTAGTATTATATTATTTTTGTCAATGTAAATGATCACCAAGGAAGGTTTTTTTAGTCCAAGATTGAGATTTCCCCCCCTTTTCCCTCCTTTTTCAAAATCAAAACCTAAACAACCCATTTCTCTCCATTTATCTTATTGTTCATAAAACAATTTGTTACCCTTTTCTAATCTTCTTCTCTTTCTTTGTATTTTATTTTCATACATGTCAATAAGTTCAACGAGCGAAAGAGATTCGAATTTCATTCGAAACTTCACATTTTTAACTTTATTTATTTTTAGTTAAAAATTTGTAGATATCATTTTTATCTTCATTTCCATCTTTATTTTCATTTTCTCGAGAGAGGGTAAAGTTGTGTTTATGATCAAATTAGATTAATCTTCAACACCATGATTATTGAGTAAGGCACTAATGAAAGTGTAAACTGAGCAATGTAACAGTAAGTCAAAGAGTGAAAGCTATACCCAAAGGTGAATCCAAAAGTAAATGGGATTTTATTTTCACATCCATTATCTATATATAAAGCAAGGGACCTTGAAGATTCATATTATTTTATGAATATTTAAAATATACATATTTAGTTGAATTACACAAGAAAAAGTAAAAATAAAACAAAATAAAAATTGACTTTTTTTGCTTGAATAAAATAAAATTTAATTGAAGCATGGTTTTTTCTCCTTTGACAACAATTCTTGGAAGGAAATGCAATGAATTGAGTATCTGACCATCTATCTTTTATAATAAAATATGAGAAGCAAGTTATAATTAAACACACTTGGTCAAAGTGAAGAGTTGAGAATTGAGATGAATTGGTGATAATAAAACAATAAATTAAATTAATTCATAAGAAATCAAAACAAGATCAAGTGTATATTTGACTAGATAATATAGAATAAAGGAACTATGATTTTAGTTCCCTTGCATGGATAATGCTTTGACTTGTTCTAGAAATATTCAATGAAGGTGCCCCAAAACAAGGTTAACAATATAATATAGTGGTATTTATTTTCTTTCAAATTGAAAACACTACTCCATATTTATCCAAAAAAAAAAAAACCCTATTTCATAAAACAAAATACTCTCCTTTTATTTACTCATTCTGTCATATTTGCTTTGTCTATTTTTTTTAGGATATCTCAAAATTATGTCTTTTTTTCTAATATTTAAAACTCTTACTTTTTATATTTTAAAATTATATTTAAAATTTTTGTTTACTTTTTGACATTAAAAATCATAGAATTTTAATTTTATAAAAAATTTTAAATTTTAATATTAAATATATTAAAGTCAATTTTTTTTAAAACTCCATGAAAATTAATACATGACAAACATATTGGGATGGAAAGAGTATTTAATTAAAAAGTTCAAGATATAATGTTTCTTTTATTTCTTTTGGGAGTCCATGTTCCAAATCTTTTTTTTTTTTTTATAATTATTTTGTACATTTCTTTTATAAAACACCGGTTAATTTTAATACTAAAAAGAGAACTCAACAACTTAAATGTAAATAAAAAACCCTAAATCATGAAGTTCATCTTAAAGTACTTAATAGAACTACTAAATTTAATTTGAATAAAAGAGTACTAAACAAAAATCTCACCATGAATTCATATTAATTAAACTACTCCAAGTATTGAATCATTTGATGTGTGAATACTATAAGAATAATCCATTTAATTGATAAAATAACTAGAGTAAAAATAATTATAAATTCCTTTAAACAAATTACACTTTTAAATAAAATTTTAGAACAAAT